TTAAAAATTAATAATATTTTTTCCTTGATTGCAAATTTCATAAAAAATATTTTATAAAAAGTCTCATTTCAAAAACATGCCTCGTATTAGAAGATTTTCGCCAACCCGCGCGCTATGTTGTGATTATCTCCAATCATTTTGCTGTTTACAATTTTGTTTTATGTAAACTCCAAAAGACAAACACTTGCAGAGAGGGGTACTGAAAATCGAGTTTCCACACGCGAAACGGAAGCGATAATTACATAAATTTGTTTAATTTCTCGTGCAAACTTCAGTAAAACGCGTGCACGAGAGATATGACGTGGCTTTAAGGCCCTACAAAAGAAAGTGGTGACGAGTGCCTCTTGAGTTGGAAAGCATCGAAAGAGCGGCCGTCGAGTTCAGCGGCAAACAATTAAAAGAGGTGGCGAGGGTGTTGCTGCTCAGGAGGATTTTCTCTCTCTCGCACTTGATTAGAGCGGAGATTGTCGCAGGCGTAGAGGCTGGTGGCGCTCGCAGGTCGGCGCCGAGCACAAATAAACAGTGAGTGGGCTTTATTGGTGCGGCTAATTAGCACTGCAGTGCCATCAGTCCAGAGTCACGAGATGCGCAGCTCATTTTTGTCGCTGGAATTAAACCAGCTATTCGCGGTGGTGCTGCCTTAATCACATCGAGAAAGCCGTTTCGAGCCCTTCTTTGATAGATGTGCTCCATGTGTATGCGTAATTGAATCAAGTGTTCGATGTGGTGGCCACGCAGTGGATGGATTGCTGGCTGGCCACTTTGAAAACCAATCAATTACCGCACTTAATCAATGGATGTTTGCGTATTGCCATCCGTGAACACATAATTTGCTATAAATGGGAAGTGATATATTCGAAAATTGAAAACGAATGCTAATAAAGAAGCGATTGCTTTTTTGCTAATAAAAAACTAATTTCAGCCAATGGTTTCCTTTAATTTTGATATCCATGTTGTTCAACTTTTCCTTTTTTTCAGTAAATTGTTTTCAAGAATTGAATGGACATTAAAAACCAATAATAAATCATTTATTTATTTTTGAATATTTTTCGCAGTATTCAAAAAGAAAGTGCACCAAAAAATAGGGAAATTTTTACTTTTCCCTTGCAAAAACAATAAACTGCTTTTAACAAACCCGTTCCATTGCAGCTTTGAACAGCTATTTTAAATCAATTCACGTTTATTATGAACTTTATTAGGACAATAAAATAGTTATTAATTTAATGCTTGATAAAAATTAATGTTGGCAAAAATCCTCCTTTTTAATTATTTATCAGATCTTAAAAACTGAAAAATATTGGTGCAACCAACATTTTTAAATTGATTAATTTTAATTACATCTTAATAAATATTTATATATTTCACTCCCTTTGAAATTGAATTTTCAGGGTAATGATTTTTGGAGTTTAATTAAATAAATGAGGAAAACTTTTAACTTAAACCAATATTTTTATGTATGTATTCAACGCGAGTTTGTTTGTTTTACACGATTTATAAATAAACACCAAACAGCTATAGGGCCTTGTGGAGTCTCACGTTATCATTTTCAATATTTACAACGGAGATTCTTTTGAGTTGATACATTTGCATTTCTTTTGAGTGAATTTTGAAAGTTTTTTGCTCGTTACCATCTCTCCTTTCATGTGTACTCTCGACTCTCCCACGCATTACTTGATAAATGCTTCTGAACTGCGAAACTTCACCGATTTCTTGTCCCAGACAGAAACATTAGCGATCTCGGCTGACGATAGTACTGAATGGCATCAAACTACGAGCAAAAAGATTTTTGGCCAGACGGAGAGGAAATCGGAGATCAACTTTTTCAATCCAACCAATCATGTCTGTCGGATGGATTAATCTCTTTCTTACATACAATTTTTCTATCTAAAAATCTTTTCATTAAAAAAATCTGCAGAAAACTGAAGTCACGATAATTATTAAATTATGATTTACGATGAAGAAATAAATCTGGTTTTTGTTAAGAATTCTAAATTATAAATTATCAGGAATGAAAATTAGCGACACGTTTCAAATTCAGATGACCTGTGACAATTTATTTATTCCGAAGGTTTGCCAAAAATAAAAATAAAATGCTAGCCGCGGCCGTCACTTGTACGATTATGAGTGTTAAGGTCAAGCTGATTTGCACAAACGCGATGTTTGCGCGCGGCCAGGTAAAAATAACCCCGTATGTGGTAATTAGCCGCGCCAACGGACCGACCTGCAGCATTCACTTGCTCAACCCTGCGAAAGCAAAGTCGTGTCACCAAAGAGCGGCTTGTCGGCTTGCCACTGCGCTTAGAAGCAAATTAAAATTTTGTTGTTATGTGCGCGGCGCGAACCGCATAAAACACACTTGGTTGAAGAAGTTAAAGCGTAAATTAGAAAACGTCCCTGACAAGTTCTACATAATACGGAGCGCGATGATAAAGCACATGCCAAGGTGCAAGTACAAAGTTGCACGCTGAGACACACACCTGGATTGTTGCTTGAGTTGAATACCTTCTAACAACGGTGAAGTTCATGAAAACAAGACTTCATAATCATAATACCCTTATTCTTTAAAGAGGGCTTAATAAATTGATACTTTGAATCCAGTTTATTGAGGATTAAAAAATTAATGCTTTAACGAAAAATTACCTCAACAAAGTAAATTGTGGATGAGTGCGGAATAAAATTATTTTGATTAATTATCGAAAAACTTACTGATGAGCATAAGTTAAATTTACAATTGTGTCAATTAATGCAAAAAAATTATTTTATGGCTTTTTTCTCTACTTAATTGGTTTTTTTTTCAAATATTTAAAACCTTCCATATTTTGAATCACTGAAATGCAATTCGCGCATTAATAATATTAAATACTTTATATGATGGTTTTAATTTCCCAAGTTGATTTGGATAACTTTTCTTGTTGCCTGAACAACATTTCGCGTGGGCTCCGTGTAAAGTGCCAATTAGCACGGAGAAAGAATTTTTTCCGACAGCAGATGATCCTGAGAGAGAATTGTATCAGTACGGGCCATACATTTACACAATATTTCATTTATTGCCGAAGATAAATAACAACAGGCGTTGATTTGGCGTCGGGGCAATTAATTATGATCAGCAGCGCAAATGGATTTAGTCAAGTGAGAGTGCTTTTTGGGTCAGCGAGCTTTCGTTTCCTGCCGAGAAAGAAAGCAAATAAATATTTCCCACTCGGGTGCACACTTATTTTTTTCCTGCGACTCAACCCTTAACGCATTGCGGAAGCAACAAAAATATCAAACAATTTTCTGCTCCCAAGCATCTGGTGCGACCGCATAAAATCGTGAGGCGATATAACACATTCCAGCACAACAAACCTTGCCGCGACCAAAAGTTCCGTGGATTTTCCCATTGTGGTGATGCCGCCGCCGTCTTTAATGCTTAATATGCAAATTTTCCAACCCGAACAATGTGCAGGAGCGTTGACGATCTGGAATTTGGCTTCAACACCTCACCCGTCGCGCGCAATAATCTTTCTCCGAATAATAAAATGCAGAGATGCGTGATGGTTGCGAGCGCGATTTGCATGGGATTTTCTCTCTAAATTTCCGATCCTTCCTCAATGTGCTACCGTTTTTTGCAAAGCTTTAAATTTATATCTTCGCTGTGCATAAATATAGCCAGCGCTCTTCAAATTCGTGGAAAGGCGGATTTCGTTCAACAGAGCCTCAAATTCTCTCAATCAACCATAATATATACAGACGTGTCAAGACATATTCCACTGAACAAGAACTGGAAAAGTATCCGCTACGACGAGAACTTTCTATTTCTGTACATTACGGAGAAAAAACCCAACTTAAATTCATTTATTTATTTTCCGAGATTTCAACGGGATTATTGTATAATCGTTCCCGAGAAAGACACAATAATTGTAAAACGAGTTGGAAATGTTGGTAATCTTAAAAGATTTTGGATATTTTATAATAAATATTTGTCATTGGTATAAAACTATTTTTTAAATTAATTTTTTATCACTCAAATTTTTAGATAAAAACAATGTAAACAAAAGTTTTATTCAAAATCAAAAAGCAAATCATACAACATCACACTTTGCCTTTTACAGCGACAATATTTTTGCACTTCTAATGGAATTAGGGCATAAAAAATTGTGCAATAATCAAAGATGTGATAATAAAAAAAAATAGATCCTCATGATCCGTTTGATTTGAGGACCAAAGGAATTTTAATTTTGATGCATCATTCTTTACTAGCAAAATTTATATGCCCAAAAATATCCTCAGCATACCATTTTGAAACATTGACGCTTTAAACATTTTTTTGTGTGTGTGCTCTTTTACACGGGATCCACCAAAAGGTGAAAACTTTTCCTTAATTTCTAAAAATAAAAATACTTGAAAAAGTACACTTTTCTGGCAAACATTACATCGCTTTAGTTTTTAGCCTTTCTTTGCAAAGAATGACACAAAAGAAAGAGTCAGAGGCATTTTCTTGAGAGAAAAAAACAAGCATATAAAAAGGTAGGCTTGACGCATTGAAGTGTTTGTTCAAATACTTGAAGGCTTTTCCAAAAATAGCTTCTTGTGTTTCAAAAATAATCAACCTTTAAGGTGCGAGGATTTAATGAAGTTTTAAAAATGTAAATTTGATACAGTTAAGAAATTTAAAATTGGAAAAAAAATAAACTAAACCAAACGTCAAACGAAGTGTTAAAAAAATTACTTCTCGGTAAAGTAAAATTAAAAGGAAAATCAAATAATGCATTAAATTTATCAATGCATATTTCTTCTAGACTTCCAATATACACCGCTTGATTTTGGTGCATCACGCGACAAGCCCGCCTGGAAAACGACGATTCCTGCTAAATAATGCACATCGTCCGCTGTTTGTTCGCAAGAAAAAAAATACAAAATACACACTTGAAATTTCTATTCACGCACCACTTGGGGCAAAAAAACAAAAGAAAATACGTTCCAGGTCCCAACAAAAGGAAAAGTCTGAAATTGGCACTGACCTTGCGGCGAGGCGGGTCATGTCGTGGGGCAGGTCATCCCCGGGTGGTGTGCACGCCGCTGTCAGGCAACCACTACTGCCAGTGCAGAGCTGCTCTGGTCGCCGCCGCGTACAAGTAAATGTACCTTCGGCCGCGCGGGCGGCCCACCGAGCGCAGCCGCACTCCACGTGCGCTTATGACTTTTTCAGCAGCATCTGCAGTGCAAAAGCGAGGAAGAGAGAGATCCACAGTACGCGTCATCTGCTCGCGTGCGCGATATTAATTCGCAACCCTTTATTCAAGCCGCGAGCTTTTCTGCTCGCAATCGAAACTCGCGGCGCCGCGAGAGATGTTTTGCATTTATCGTGAAATTAATTTGGTTGTGTTTGTTAATTGCAGAGGTGCGGCAATTTCGTTGAAGGGATTGAGTTTCAGAACAGCCGGAGAAATTAATTTGTACGCTTTTCCGCCGAGGTGCACTAATGTGTGTGCGCTCTCTGTGCCGCCCAGCGGATTAATTGCGGCGGGCAGGGCGTCTGTTTTTTGCGCCTCGACAAACATTCATAAAGACCGAATTTAAAAACTCACGGTTGAGAAATATGTTTAGGCTTTTGATTGGAGCCTGCAGGAATAAAATAAAATTGCTTAATTTAATTTGCGGTGGTTACAGCAAGATCGATGGTTAAAATAATGATTTAATAAATAATAAAACAAGCAAAGGAATGTTGATTTATTTTAATAATTATCATTAGTATCATTAATTTCAATAGTATACAAATTTTGTTATCAGTTAAATTAACATTTTATATAAACCTAATATAGAGGGTGGTAATTATCCAGTTAAATTTAGAAACTTTAATACAAAGTAATAGATTTTATGAGTAATATAGAACTGGGTTTTCCCCACGTTGTTTCCTAACCAAAAACAGCCAGCTCAGCAAGATTCGGCTAACATCTGCAGCCATATTTCATGAGCTCCATATTATATAGTTGATCAATACATAGTTTGCTCACACTTTGAGCTATAATGCAGTTTTTAAAATTAACGACAGGAGCACTTTAAAACTGACTTCATTTTAATTTTAAAACTTTAAAAAACACATTTTCTCTCAACTAAATTTTAAAAAGAGATGTTACAGCTTTTTTTATCTATGATAATGAGAAAGGTCTACGAACCACTCCAATTTTTCCAATAGTTTCCTCAAACTTTTTTGCAAAAATCGGAAATTAGCGAAAATATTTAAAGTTCATTTGACATCCTATAATAGCTAAATCAGATTTAATTAATTTTAAGATTTAATTGCGTTACTTTTCGTTTAAAATTTGTGGATTAATTTTCATGCCATCCAATGAGAAAGAATTCAAATTTAAAAAATAAAAATAAAGTCAATTTAATACAAATAAATTTTACTTTTGTGGCCCAATTTTTGTAGATAAAATATTTGAGTGCCAAAATCCCATAATTTTTTATTTTTTAACATGAAAAGTGCTACAAATATATCCTATTTTTGTAAACTCCTCAAATGTACCAAAATGGAAAAATCCAACCATAAATATTTCAATAATCTGTCTATTCGAACAATAGTTGTATTTTTGCTTCTTATTATACGTCGTATTAATTAATTCACTCACTTGGCGTGAAAAGAAAATTATTTGATGGGAATTACATATTTGCTTGATATGCGAAAAATTCTATTTATTCTAATAGGTAACCTAATTGTAAGCACATCGTTCATAGTCCGTTTCATAAGAGGAAGGGGAATCGCAAGAACAGACATGAATGCGAACGAATCGAAGGAGGAGCGTGAAGGTCCAAGGAGAGGAGAGAAAAAAGCAAAACAAAAAACATGTGTGGCTGAACCCGCTGAGCGTCGTCGTGACAAGAGACGAACAACTACTTGTTGATTTGGAAATTTCATTAATTTAATTTAAAAAAATTCACATTTAATAATTATTTATCGAAATGAACGGTGAACCCGTCGATTTCCTTTCTATTTCCGACGCTGCGAAAGTAAAACTTAAGGACGCCGGAGCCGTTCTCGTTCAAAACGTTCTGGGTGATCGAGTGTGTATGTTTTGAAATAATCATATTCCTGCTGCGTGTGTTATCTTTACTGAGACGACCGCATCGTGCATGCTAATGTGCCACTGGAGAGTGATCCATTGTTTGTTGTTTTTGCAGCGTTCGAAGCGATCCCGACCTCCGAGCACCGAGACGATGAAATTTACCTCAAACAACTTAAAACGCCGATCCCTGTGATCTCTTGTTTTGATCTGCTGCAGAAGGTGAGAGAGATGGTTATGAAAAGTCGCGTGGCAACATTATTTTTAGACCTTTTGTGTTGACAGCAAGGTGAACGGTTAAAAAGTGGATCTGAGAAGCTCGACGAGTTATTGGACGGAGGATTCAAACCTGGGTCTCTGACGGAAATATCTGGCTTGCCTGGATCTGGGAAAACTCAATTTTGGTAATGCTTAATTTGTTAAAGTGATGTTTTTTCTTATTCTTATTAAATTTAGTCTACAACTTTGTGCTGTTTGCCAGAGACCAGAAAATTTTGGTGGCCGTCCAGGTCAAGCTTTGTTCGTCGACTTAAACTTTGGCTTTTCCAAGTCTCGCTATGAAGGTTGCTAATTTTTTTAAAATGTTCCACATTAAATTTGATTCTGAATGTTTCTAGGAATAAGAAAATATTTTATCGATCAGGAAAAAGAATTGGATCCAATTATTTTACGCATTTCAACAACCAATCAATTATTGGCAGCAATTGAGTCTTTTCCGGATATTTTGCTGAACAATGATAAAGTATAATTCTGTTTGAATTAAAATTGAATTTTTTAATTACATTTATATTCTGCACAGATAAGACTGATTATAATTGACTCGTTCAGTCGACCGTTCATGTTTGATCAAGTTTCCTCGACTCTGATGTCAGGAATTATGATGGACTTGCACTCTGTGGCAGAGGATTTTGATTTAGTAGTAAGATTTATTTTCTTGCATTTAAAGCATTGAACAATATTGGGATTCCTTAGATTATACTAACTAGTCAGTTAATTACCAACTTGAGCAGCGATCAAGAGGAGGCAATAAAACATCAACCAGCGCTACGCAGTGGTTACTTGTATTATATCAACGAAAGGATTATGTTTTACGGATCTCATGAAAAACGAGAAATTATATTTCCTGACAAGCTGGATGGTGTTGCTGCAATTTATGAGGTAAAAAGATAACTTTTTCATCTAAAATTCTGATTAAAAGAAGTTAATCATTTGCAGATCTCAAACAGTGGGTTTGTGTTAAAATAAAGTACACTTTCTTAAATAAATTATGAATATTTTTGTAGTTTCGCCACATTAATTCAAATATATGCTTTGGTTTGATTAGATCTTAATTAAAAAATTGGCTTCATGCTGCAGTCGTAATTTCATCAATAAATTAATCATTTCTTTTTCCGATGTATTACGATATTTTTTGATACAAATTAAATTAAATTAAAAGTCTTAGGTACTATAAATGAACAGCATTCCTATTTTGAGACTATGATTTTAAATTTGACACCCTTTTCAAATTACGGTCTCCATTGGCCAATCCGTGCCAAGCTCAGTCACGTGCCACGGGGTCACCGACCAATAAGGGCGCTGCTCTCTGCCTATCAACAGACCAAGACTTGTAAACATCGCAGGCGAAGTCTATGCAGTTCGCCGACATTTTCGCTAATTTGATTAAGTTTTGAAAGGTGGCTACGATTGCTTGCAAACGGAGGAGACAGGTCGGCGCCATGGAGCACCCAACGTCGTCGGACATCATGATAATCACGGGCAATTCCCACCCGGAGCTGGCCAAACTGGTCGCCAAGTGAGTGTGCCTCGCAAACCCCGTGCCGAATCCCCCAATTAATGCCAATTTAATCAATCATTTTTACTTTTCAGCCGCTTAGGCGTTAAGCTCGGAGGGACGGCTGTGTATCATAAAACCAACAGGGAAACCATGGTGGAGATTGGCGACTCTGTCCGAGGGAAGGACGTCTACATCATTCAGACGGGCACAAAGTTGGTTCCGTTCTCATCTATTATTTAACATGTTTTTTGTAAATATGCGTGCGTGGTTACGATTTTTTTCTCATGATACTATGCACTTCATGACCCATAAATTATTGAGAGGCCCTATGCCTATTTTCAAGGTAAAATTAAAGAAATCTTATAAAAAAAAATTTATAGACTTTTAGTTTGTCCCATTTTTATTACTCGACTTTTAGCTAACATTTTTTGACCCTCATTTTGTCTCTTGTAACCCTCCCAAAATTATTATAATACCTTTTAAGGTTTAGAAGACTTGAACCTGATTGATTTATTTTTGTCAAATTTTGCCGGGATTAAAAATTAATTAATTTTTGTTATTAACTTTATTCGTTTGCTCATTAAGTATTTTAAATTCATTTCCAAAAAAGGGTCAAACAAATAAAAAGTTTTTAATTGCTTTGAACTCCGCAGGGATGTAAACAACAACATCATGGAACTTCTGATCATGGCCTATGCCTGCAAAACCTCATCAGCCAACAATATTGTTGGCGTCATTCCATATCTGCCTTACAGCAAGCAATGTAATACTGCGGCCTTGAGATTGTCATTTAATATCTACGGCAATAATTAATTTTGCTGCAGGCAAAATGAGGAAAAGAGGCTGCATTGTTTCCAAGCTCTTGGCAAAAATGATGTGCAAGTCGGGATTGAGTCACGTGATTACCATGGATTTGCACCAGAAGGAAATTCAAGGATTCTTCGACTGCCCGGTGGATAATTTGAGAGCTTCGCCTTTCTTGCTGCAGTACATTCAAGATTGTGTACGTCCATTAAATCTATTAGCAAGTGCGATAAATTAATATTGCTAAAATTTAGATCCCCGATTATCGGAATGCTGTGATTGTGGCCCGAAATCCTGGTTCAGCTAAGAAAGCAACGTCCTATGCGGAGCGTCTGAGGCTGGGCATTGCAGTCATTCATGGTGAACAGAAAGAGGCTGAATCCGACATGGTCGATGGACGATACTCACCTCCGACGCTGCCAAAGTCTTCAAGAACAATGGATGTAGGTGTCGGTGTCCCTGTCCACCCAGCAAAAGAAAAGCCTCCCATCAATGTTGTTGGAGATGTTGGTGGAAGAATTGCCATCATGGTGGTCAGTAAATTATTCCGTAATAAATTATTAACACGAAAAATTTATATATCTTTTCACAACTAATAAATTCTAAATATCAAAATTAAATTTTCAGGATGATTTGGTCGATGATGTCCAATCGTTTGTTGCTGCTGCTGAAGTTTTGAAAGAAAGGGGTGCCTACAAGATCTATGTGCTCGCAACTCATGGCCTACTTTCGTCGGATGCCCCTAGATTGATCGAAGATTCGCCAATTGATGAGGTATTCAATTTTTCCTCTCTTGTGGAATTACATTTAAAACAATTCCATCTAATTTTAGGTTGTTGTTACCAACACAATACCTCATGAGCTTCAAAAGATGCAGTGCCATAAAATCAAGACCGTAGACATCAGCGTATTGCTGTCAGAGGCAATTCGTCGGATTCACAACAAAGAGTCTATGTCTTATTTGTTCAAGAACGTCACACTTGAAGATTGAAACACCTGGCAAGGTGTAATCCGAGCCTTCAGTAGTATCAAAGCTATCAATCATTGCTGTCAAGCACCTTAACCAATCAATGTTATATTGCAATTCAAGAAATTAATTCGAAGCACTTTTTGTTTAATTTTGTTTTCTTCAAGCAGGATCAGTTCCTATGAAATCTGGAAATCTCCAAATTTGGAGGCTCGAAGAGCTAGCATCAATTTTTATAATACGAAAGGTGAAAAGCAGCAACAATATTTTTCTATATATTATTCCGGTATCATCAATTGGTGTTACAATTGAAGCTACAAAAGAAAGTAATTCCAATGAATTATGAAAGTTGGAATTTGCATTTCGTAAAATTATTTTATTTTAGTTTCATTGCGTTATTATAAGGATTCTGATAATAATCACAATGTTTAAACCGTTTAAAATTATACCCCAAAATGAAGTCACGGAGACAAACTAAGAAAAAAAATGTAAGTAAATTTTATTTTATTCTCTTAATTTTTTGGGCCTATAGAGTGTATGTAGCTCTGGGAAAATGAAAAAGCATTTTGTGACCAATCATCTTACAAATATACCACCTCTATAATATTTGTTGTTTGGACGTGCTCTTAAAAATAAATCATGCAGTTATGGTAACTAAACTGTTATTTTTATTTCTTGTAAAGTTTAAATTGCGTTTCTTTGGTCCAGTGTACAGGCATGCGAAATTTTTCCAATGTTTAAATTGGTTTAAATAAAAAAAAAATTTTTAAATAGCATGGATCGACGCACAGCACAAAAATGGTGCTAAGTGCACTACAGTATTAAATCGAGGCACTCGGCTGACTTTTTGCTTTTGACAACCCCTCACAAGCAATTCCAGTAAGAGAAATAATTCAGGTTCCCATGGGTAAATCCTCCAGAGCGAGAATTATATATAATCAATTTTCTGAGGCGAAATAATAATTAAAATTAATATAATTTTTTAAAGTGCTTTTCTTATTTCTGCTGTTTCCGCGCTGAAAGTAAGCAAATTTTTTAAACTTCAGCCAATCACCAAAGTGCTGAGTCATGTGACTTTTGTATTCGGCACGCCTTCTTGTTTAGATTTCTTATTTCTTTAAAAAAAATTATTGCAATTTTCATAATACCTACAGTCGATTTAACATTACAATTATGCTCGATTTAATTTGTTGTTTTAATTTTAACACTCAATCATGGTCAATTTCAATGAAATAAGAAGATAATTTCAGTTGACATGGAAAAGGAAATTCCAAAAAAGAAGCACGTCCCAAGGATCACGCAGGTATATTTTTTCTATTGTTTCCGCAGTTGTAATAAAATAATAATTGCTTTGATTTTCAATTAAATTCAGTAATTTAGTATTATCAAATATAACGAAAATTAATCTCTTAGCTTGACGCTGCGTCCCTGGACAAGGAAATTGGCTCCGTGCTAAAATCTCAGGTCGAAGAAATTTTTCGATCAGCGGCGGTATGTTTTATCATGTACCATATTTTAAAATTTGAGTTCTAGTTTCTATTTATTTTGATGATGAAAAGAATTATTTCGTCCTCAGCCATCACTCATTAACAAATTTGAGCCTGAAATCGATGCTCTACTGAGTTTGCTTGTATGGAAAGTAAGTTAAATTTAATATAAATTACTCCCTTAAAAAATATAAATTTTAATAGTACTTAACAAAAAATATATCAAGCACCATCAATAAATTATTATAAAAGGTTTACTTTGAAAATCAAGCTCTCCGTGTATGACCGAGGTGCAACTTTTGGCCAAACACTGCTGGACTTAAAATACTACAACAGCAGCCGCAGAAAGAAGGTGCTTCTGGCCCTCACGATTATAGGAGGAAAATACTTTGTTTCCAGAATTCGATCACTTTCACGCACTTTGACTGACGAAAGAAACTTGCTCTTGGTATATAAATTTTTGTCATGAATCATTTAAAGAGCGTACAAAAAAATGATCATCAATTTTAACTTCAGGTTGAGCAGTTCTTCCGATTTGGTGACACTTTCTTTCGGCTGGCAAACTTGGTTAACCAAGTCGTTTTCTTGACGCAGGGAAAATACCCTGGCCTTCCCGAAAGAATACTGAACATGCCACCAACCCCAGCTTCTGACCAGCTCAACCGCCATGTGGGATATTCGTACATGACCAGAGAACTTTTGTGGCACAGCCTTATTGTAATTTTAATATATATTATGGAAGGAATCAACTAAAAACCTAATTTACAGGAGCTTCTGCTTTTTGTTCTCCCCTTAATCAACTATAGAGCTTGGTATGCAAAATTTGCATTGTTCTTTAGGCCAAAAGCAGAAATCAAGGACTCCGTGTCACCTGTATTAACATTAACGACGACCTGTGCCATTTGCAATGAGAAGCCAGTCCTTCCTCACCATATCGGCTGTGGACACATTTTCTGCAGCTATTGTTTAAAAGTATAATGCATCATTTTAATTTATGTAGGCCTTAAATAATTTGACGTTTTTCAGGGAAATTTGGCTGCCAGTAAATCATTCGGTTGTCCATTGTGTGGAGCGCTTGCGGAAGACAGTGATATGCCAGTTATTATATGATTATTTTTTGTTATATTTTGAACTTAATTAAAAAGAAAAGTTGTTGAATATTTTGTTTTAAACCACACACTATTGTTGGTATTTATTATTGACCAAAAACAATTCTATAATCACAAAACCCTTGATATCCTTGTGAAAGTAAAAAAATATTTCCTCACTGTTCACATACTCGTGAACCTTACAGGAATCACAACTCTGGGATTGCAGTATTTTAAGAAGTACACACAAAATTTTAAGTTTGAGATTTGAGACATTGGTCCAAATGTACGAGCTTAAATGACAAGAAGAAAATTGTTTTTTTGACATGCATAGATTTCAACCAGAACAAGCGTTCAATTTGAACGTGGAATGTCACTGCCTTAATATTAGAACAGCATATTAATGGATATGGTGAATTTTCCATCATTCGAAAAAAACCACTACTAGTGGTCCACTAGCTTTACAAACTGCAACATTGATTTTAAGGCCAATTTGGGCCTCGGGAAAATAACACAGAGTACGTGAGATTTTTGTAAGGAACAGAACCTAATCAGTTGAATGATGTTGTTATTGCCGGGCACTGCGCTCCGTCTCCATCAGACACTCCCGGACGAGGATCCTTGCGTGGACTAGACCTCTTTTCAGCCGCTCGGCAGAGCTTTTGTTGCCGGCGTACGAGGGTCGAATATCAAGGCCCAACTCTTCAATCACCAGAAGCAGTTGCGCGTACTTGGACTGTGGTATCGCCTGTTGGTGCTGCAGCATTGGAAACATGTCTGGGTTGGCCCCAGCAGCCACCGCGGCCCGCTGATCAGCCAGCATATCTTCGTCCATTTCGCTGCTTGAGATCGCTTAATCGAGATTCACGTTAGCCTGTGCCTGAGGATTTAAAAAACACTTCAAACTTATGCATGTTTTCGTCAAATTACAAGTCGTAAAAGTAGAACCTTGTTTATGTACTTACAAGTCTATTTACACACAGGAAAAAAATAACAATCAGTCAGCAACCAACTTTCATTAAATTTTTGCCAGATATTTTAGATTTGCATTTGGGGGGTGTGGTGGATATGGAAGGAATGACGCTTGAAACCTGATTGGTGGATTTCTCAACCAAGGTTTTAGAGAAGGAGACAAATAATTTAATTATTTTTTTGCTGAAATTTCTTTCAAAATTAATATATAAATACCATTCAGCATTATAGTTTTAATAAAAAACATATCATTTTTCAGATAAATCAAAATAATTGTAAAAACGCAATATACGCGTAAGTAAATTAAGTGCTGTATCTACTGCTCCCTATAAACATGTTTAAAAGCGCGGGTTTTTATCATATGTTTACAGGTCGTTGTATAAATCTCGTGTTGGAATTGGAAATTTGCCAAAGGAAAGAAGTTTTTAGTTTATCTTATTTGATTTTAATTGCGGAATTAAAAGAAATCTTAAAGAGAAAAATATTTTAAGCATAAATATGGGAAGTACACTGCAGGAAACGAAAAGTGCCATCACTCTTCGAGGCTCGGCCGAAATTATCTCTGAATTTCTAGGTATGTATTAAAACATTTTTGTTTTTGCCCTCTCGATTGAAATTTACATTCATGCATATTTCAGACTATGGTGTGAACAGCATCCTGTTCCAAAGAGGAATTTACTCAAGTGAGACTTTCAATGCTGAGCAAAAATATGGTCTGACAATTCTCAAGTCTGCCGACGACAAAGTCAAGGATTTCTTGCAAAATGTTTTGGAACAGACCAAAGGTTTTGAATTTTTTATTTTAAAAAATTGACACCCATATCAGCAATTTAATAGAATTCATTACAAGATCTTTGGCAATTTTCAGAGTGGATTGCATCAAGAAAAATTCAAAAAATTTCAATGATCATCTGCAATGCTGACACAAAAGAAGTTCTTGAATGTTGGGACTTCAAATTGCAGGTGGAAAAGAATGACATTCCTGAAGGGTAAACGCTCAAGGCTCAAGTGATTATTTCTGTTTGTTACCATTAAGTCCTCCAATTTCAGTGAAACTGAAGTAGTTGGACACAAAGACGTGAAGGTAATTCAAAATGAAATTCGTGACGTCATCAGGCAAATTACAGGATGTGTCACCTTCTTGCCAATGCTTGACTGCCCATGTAAGATATAAAATTATCCCACCTTAAATTACTGGAATTTCATTTCCCTCGTAGGTTCATTTGATCTGCAAGTGTACACAGACTCCAACTGTGATGTTCCCGAGGGCTGGGAAGAATCTGCTCCAAAAATTATAGACAACTGTCAGGAGTTGAAGATGCGCTCTTTCTCCACGTCCGTTCACACTGTAGACACTGCAGTCTGCTACAAGCTCAATATGTGAATATGTAGCTCAACACTTATTCAAATGCATTTGATGCTCAGGTACTTGATAAACTTTTATGAATAAATATTTGAAAAATAAACGACGAAGACCAATTTGGTTTTGATAAATAAAAAATATTTATTTCTTCGTCTTTACATTTCATCCGGCAATAAAGCCATTCTGGAGGCTGTGTATGTTAAGAAATGCAAGTCTGCTCGCAACTGCGAAAGCCTCTGAAAATGTTTGTTTGTGAATGCTAGTGCTTGGGCCAAATCTGATGCACTAAGCTGAACAGAACCCTCTGTCAGCATAAACTCCAGAATAAGCTGCGAAATGAAAATAATTAGCATTCCATATAGGTGAATTTCCCTATTTATTTATGTGTTACCTGAGCTTCAGTATAATTCCTGGTGTTGCTGTTCCACTTCAGGGCCAATTGCAAAAGTGATTCTTGCAATTCAGGGTTCAACTTTTTCACAGCACCTCTCAGTTTGTCTTTCTCTTGGGACAGGACTGATACAAAATATTATTAGTTTCCCATTAAAAATTTACTTGTAAGAACATCTCTTACTCTGGATGATTTTCAGTGTTGTTTTGGGTCTATTCAACTGCAGGGATAGTTCCAACGCCGACTCATACATCTGGTTGTGCATTAAATTTGACAGAGTTTGATCTTGCTCCACTTTTTCAACCATTTCTTGTCTTGTTTTCTCTTGCTTCTCGACTGTGGTGTCTCGCCAGACCACAAGTTTTGAATCCGACCCTCCAGACACCATACGAGTTTGGTCTGCCTGAACTGTAAATGGATAAAAATTATTATTATTATTTTTATTTGCCTTTTTGATTTTCTTTACCTGCTAACGCCCAGATTCTTCCGTCGTGCCCATCCAATGTTAAAGTGCATTCGCTGTTTTTTATTGTCCACAACTTTAAAAGACCATCGCCAGCACTTGAAATAATTTGCAATCCAGAAGCTAGAAATTCTAATTTTAAGACTGATGCGTCGTGGCCTTCAAAAGTCTGTGGGAATTTAAATGTAAGTTAAATAATTTAATTTGTATAAAACTTGAAAGTACACCTTAATGCACGTGAGATCTGCCAAGTTCCACAATCTAATGGTGCAGTCGGCCGATCCAGTAGCTATCACCTGGTCCGCAGAAGAAAATCTGGCACACCAAACACCTCTTTTGTGACCGCGGAGAGCCCCAATTAAAGTCAGGTCAGCATTCCAAAGCTTTAAGTTGTTTTATTTTGTAATAAAATAAAAACTCAGCTTAAATCAATTTATACCTTTGCCGTTTTATCCTGGCTAGCCGAAGCCACAAATTTGTCATTTGGAGAGACACACAGTCCATTGATTTCTTTGTCGTGTGCGATTGCAGAATGCACTGGAGTTAACGAATATTCTTTCTCTAAAGAATAAAAATTATTTAAGCACATAAAAAAAACTTCGCAAACCGTTTTCTTTAATTTTCCATGCTTTGATACAGTTGTCCTGAGCTCCAGAATACAGCCACTCGGCACTAGTTTGACTGAAGACCACTGCACCAATTGATCCTGTGTGTCGTTCTCCAGACGCAACACAGGCCACTTTTCCAACCTCTTCGTCAATAAGCCATAATTTTACCGTGTTGTCCTATAAATTTTCACCATTAGTACATATTTCTAGCAGGCAATGTGCTAAAATTTGCCTTTGCAGATGAAGCCAAAAGATTTGGTTGCGATGGAGAAGCAGACAGTGCTAGCACAAGATCAGTGTGCCCCTTGAGAAGAAGACAATGCATATCCTTGAGTCTGTACAGTTTTATATCAGGGCTGTTACTTGCAACTGCCAAGCAAGTGTCTCCTTTGCCACAATAAACAATGTCCAAGATTTCGTCACAATAACCAATCAACTGCAAAGAAATTAAAGATTAAAAGGCAAGTGCATATTATTAAAAACATAACAGGTTCAAAAACGGAGTTATCATCATAATTATTTTAATGAATTAATTACCAGACGTTGGCATTCAAAGTCACTGAGGGTGTGCAACGCTATGGTGTGATCTACACCGACCATGGCTAAGACATTGTCATGCAACATGAGTGTAGTAACTGCAAGTCCGCCCGGTTCAGTTGATGGAGAAATTTGGGAGTTGGACTGAACAAATATTTCCTTGGCTTTCTCAACTTGCCACACTCTTACCACACCTAAAATAAACTTATTTAAAATAAAGTCCCTCAGTACCTAAGAAAATTTACCTTTTTCTCCAGCAACAGCAACATGCGGACCACTGTTGGACCCGACATGATAATTTCCAGGCAAAACACAACTGGCAGGAAGCAAAACCATCCCCTCCATGCTCTCATAAGTAGGAATTGTTTTTAATAATGCTCCTCCGTCTAAGTTCCACAAACAAATAACGGAATCACGTCCAGTGCTAAAATAGTTTTGCATGAACAAATTATGTATTTGTGCAGTAAATCAATACCTAACGAGTTGGTTTTCGTAAAATTCAATAGCAGTAACTTGGCTGAAATGCGATTCAAGCACAAGTATCTCTGCCCCATTGCTGACAGACCAGCTTCTGATTTTGCAGTCATCTCCGGCAGCAAATATTTCATTTGAGTTGGGGCGGAATTTGAGAACACTACAGAAAAATATGAGAATGATATGAGATGATGTTACTGTAATTCACTCACCTTGTGACACCTTGGCAGCCCTTGAGACTGTGGATGCAATTGAAGTTGGCCAGTTCCCAAATTCGAACTTTGGAGTCGCTGCCGCCAGTTGCTAAATAAATTGCATCTTCATCAACTGCTATACGTGCAACAGGACCCTTATGAACTGACTTCCAGGAACGTAATATCTCATTCTCTGTAAAAATTTATGAATTGAATAAAAATTACAGTTAAATTGGCATGAACAAAATATTGTGCAATTCAGTTTTAAAATTTTAATTAAAAATACATAAATAAATAACCTGTTCGGCTCCACTTGGCAATCAGGCCACTTCTGTAGCTGACAAAAAGGTAGGAACCAAATTCGTCTTCACTAAGAGCAAATGCAGTAACAGGGTCATCCTTGATATCTTCGTCTTCAGACGAGGAGGTACAAAACGTGGTGGTAACTTTTCCACTTTCAAGCTCTAGCATGTTCACTTTAGCACCATCCTGGCACAAGAAACTAGTCCCATCACTAGTCCACTGTTAAAGAGAACAAATTTTTATTAGCAAAAATAAAAGTATTATTCGATAAATGGGAAGACTCACAGCAATTTGGTTGCCAGTAAAAAATGCAGCGTGCTGGGATTCAACTTCAAAACTGAAAATAAATCGATGGATCACAAATACGATAACTTTCGCGTTTCCAGAGTAGCAAACCTTTCTTTTAATTTAAAGCGACTGGCCATTTTTGATGGGAAAATCCTTGTAACTTAGATAATTAACGATGAACTTGTCTAGCACATTAGCACAACTTGTTCACAACACGTGCTGCTGTTGTTGTTGACTTGCAAAAGTGGGAGGGTCATATGTGCGGAGCGCCGCCTGTAGATGGCTAAGGAAAGTAAAAATTATTATTATTTATTGTCTGTTTTGTCATCAATGATAAAAAAAATCAAGGATCAAGAGGTGATATAAAATAATCTACTTTATCCATCTTGTGTTAATTGTAAATTAACAAAACCCGCTTTTCCAGCCTGAATGAACAGTGAATGGTGACGTCTGGTTTGCTCAGAAAGCAAGTCATCCGCCGGGTCCTCTACTCGTGAAACAACAATTTGCAACCTGGTCAAATTTGCAATCATTCAATTACAATCCCCAAAGGAAAGACTTCATTTTAGACAAATCTGTTGATCAAGAAAGTGCTGAACCCAAAAGTTGTTCACAGTGAATTTTTCTTTGTTCACAATCAGCCTGAAAACATGCCGCTGGACAGCGTTAAAAACATTTTTATAGTACTCTCTGGAAAAGGTGGTGTGGGAAAATCGACAGTCAGCACCCAGCTTGCCCTTGCACTAAAAGACAAAGGATTTAAAGTGGGGTTGCTTGATATTGATTTGTGTGGGCCAAGTGTTCCATATTTGCTTCAGCTTGAAAACAAAGAAATCCATCAATGTCCTGAAGGCTGGGTACCCGTTTATGCAGACACGGAACGCAAATTAGCAGTCATGTCTATCGGTTTTCTCCTCCCCAATAGAAACAATGCTGTTGTTTGGAGAGGTCCGAAGAAAACAGCCATGATCCGGCAATTCCTCAATGATGTCTTTTGGCAAGAACTTGATTATCTCATCATTGACACTCCACCTGGCACATCTGATGAGCATATTACTGTGATGGAAAATCTGAAGACCATCAAATGCAATGGAGCTATTGTTGTGACCACCCCTCAAGCTGTAGCCATCGAAGATGTCCGCAAGGAACTGACATTTTGCCAAAAAACCGGAATTAAAATCCTAGGCATTGTTGAAAACATGAGTGGATTTGTCTGTCCTCATTGCACTGAATGTACAAATGTTTTCTCAACGGGCGGCGGGGAATTGTTGGCAGAAAAGGCAAATGTGCCATTTTTAGGTCGCATACCATTGGATCCAAGACTAGGACAGTGTTCGGAGAGAGGAGAAAGCTGCTTGATTACATTAAAGGATTCGCCTGCATCTCAGGCCATTGATAGTGTTATTTGCAAGCTGACACAACAAGTGCCTTAATTTTTTATTAAAAATAACTGAACTAGTGTATAATTTAATTTTCTTCAATTTGTAGAATTTCATTTCATATCGGTGGTTGATTCATAGTGTTGGAATATTGATTGGGTATTTGGAAATATTTCTACACTAGATAATTAAAATCAACAATAATTGTTTAAAAAACAATGTAATTAAGTTTATGCGACTTTGTAAATATTTTGCTTACTTGTGAGAATAAAAAAAAATGGATAGATCTAGTAAGTTACATTGATGTTTCTCTTATTAAATAGCTTTAAAGCTCTCCCAATCTTTTGCTGACTGATTTTTTGTTTTAGAAAACTTAATATCTTTTGAATAATTATATTTCTTATGAACTCATCCTTACACTTTCAGCACACAAGTATGGATGTGCTAAATTGTCGATTTGATTTACCGCAAGTTAATTATTCAATGTTTAAATGGTTCAAATGAAATTACAGGCACGTGTTATACATTTGATTTTTGCTTGTATTTTTAGCCTTCATTCCATTATTAGCTCAATTGACAGAATGAAGGCCACTTTCATATCGAGGTTGAAGTCAAAATTATACAGAATACTTAAGCGTTTCATTATTAATTCAAGAACTCGTGAAAACACATGAGGAAGAAATCAAATTGAGTACAAACTAGGTCACAAATAGTATTCTCTTTTGTATCCAATGGCCATTTGTGAATGGGATGGATATTTTTTTGGTTGGCAGAAACAGGCTGAACTACATCGTTAATTCCTGGAAAAAGATTAAATTTAGTGAAAAGCAAATTTTGTATTATCAAAACCTACCATAATGGCATTTACGATGTCGTTTTGGTTATTCTTTAATGCCTTGATGGCTTTGGACCGACTAACGCTTGCCTGGGACATGACCAGGTCTACGTCCTTTGCGTCCACTCCCGCTTCGTCCACCTCCTCCTCTTCAGATTCCTCTTGAATAGGGGCAGGCATTGCAGTGCTGTGGCTTGTCTCGCCAGAGGGAGAGGCTTCGGGGGCCTTGAACTTCTCGGCAGCGGCAACTTGGGCCTGCTGGCTCAGATCCTCGATCTTGGCCTCGCCGAAGACAATGTAGGTGTCAGAGGCTGGGTTCTTGTAGACGTCGGGCTTGTTGATGACAAAAAGTATGCTCTTGGACTTGCGGATTGTCACCCTGTTTACACCAGTCACCTAAAAATATTTAAATTTTAATAAGTCCTACAAATTTTTAGTACGGGGGTTGAAGAGAGGAAAAGTTTTCAGACTGCCAAGGGGTGTATCGTCAAAATAAATTCAGGAAAATAGCGAATTATTTTTTCCATTTTATCATCATTTAAATTTACTCAACTATGTCAGCGGAAATCAATTTCTTTATAATACTTACTTGTTTCAGTCCAAGCTTGGACATGATCTTGCGAGCCTTCTTCTCGCCACGGCTCTGCTTAGCCTTGCTGATCAAATCGTCTGAGAGACCCGCAGTTGAGGCCATGTGCATGTTTGAGCTGCCTGGGAACTGTCCGGCTGCCTTGTCGGCATCTTCCAGTTCAGGAATGGATTCGTCCGAGTCAGACTCGGTGCCGGAGCCAGAAGCTGCTGCGTCACGTTTGTTGCTCATGGTTGCTGGCTGGTCCAGTTCTGTCAGTTCAGGCATTATACTGTGAATTAATAAAAATAAATATTTTTTGAGTAATGTTGCTACTATGTAAAGAAAATGTGTGGAGAAAAAATTGTTAACGCGAATAAATACATATAAAAATTAATATGATTTCAAACTCAAAAATAAATAAAGGATCGAAATCTCTATCAGAAATTAAAGTTGGAAAACAGACGAAACGAATATAATATGTATTCCGTGCGCACTTCCGCAAACAACTCCTCCAAGGTTAAACACGACCATTTTTCTTTTTCAAAGCGCCGATCAACAATTTCGACCAATTATTCCACTCCCAAATCATTGTATTTTATGGATAGCAACCAGAATCAAAGATTAAAATTGCATTTTAATTGATCAAAAAAATTGACAGAAAAGAATAAAATTGTCCTGTCCTTCCCCGAAGTAAAGACGATGCGGAATAAATGCCCGGCGTAGAGGAGGGTTTGCGGAGCATGTAAATAAATTGCAAAATACGCTGTTTCTTGGGCAAATCGAAACATATTTGACGCACTACATTAATTATATACTACAGTTGACTAATCTTAATATCAATTACACACCATTCATGCAGCGATGACCAAAATAATAGAGGATTAAAATTGTTTTACTCACTGTGTGCTCCTTTTGTGTTTTGGTTGTGGATTGGGGTGTGAGCAGGGTTTTGAATAGGAGTTAATACATGGCAAACTTCCACCGTTGCCTTCATTCTTGAAGTTCGAGTATATTGCTGGCTCCTTTTCTAAATACCCACATACCATTCGGCGGCAATACAAAAGCGGCGCGAAAGCCGCGAAACGTGAAAAACTCGTTTCAAAAAATGAAGGAAAAAAATCTAAATTATTGTTAAATTCGTGATTCGTGTGGCTTAATTTTTGACACTCTTTGTCTATAACCATGAATAAAAATTAATAAAAATCATCTTTCTTCATAATGCTTAATTGATTTCCAGCATATTATTGATATATCAAATTTTAAAAATTGCAATTCAAATTGAAGTCAATTAAGCAACCATAAAGAAATTGATTATTCAATAACCATAATCATAAAAGTGTGTGACATACTTTAATATTGATATTTAAAAAATATTATAACATTATTTGATGTATTTAATTATTCTTAATGAAAGAAGAAATTGTAAGTTAATAGGAAACTAAATATATAGTTATAAATATTAAAATATTGTGATGGAATTTCACAACTAATTGGAGGTTAATTCGTGGTAATTTCAATTTAAAGTCGCCTTTTCCTCGATCCTTGATGGGTTTTGTAAGTATTATGTTTATTTGTTTAATTACAACAATAAAACTCGCAAAATGAATAGAGAAAAAGCCAACTTCAAATTGAAATCACTTTAAATTACAAGTTAATAAATTTTATTTTGATAGTCAGGCACAATTTAATTTATAGTAATCCGCAGGTTGTTCTCTACATCCATGTAGTCATATAAACACAGCTTAAAAACACCCACCACATTAATATAATAAAGTTTTGACTCAAAATTTAACTACAAATTTTAATCGAGTCGTCTTGTTCACATAACCTTCAGCGCTAATTATATAGTAGTTTAGTTTGTTTGTTTGCCCAAGTCACATAACGGCAAGAAAAGCGCAAAATACAAAGGTTTTTAGCAAAGTTTGACGCACTTTCAGTTGAGTAAATTTGTAATAAGGGTTTTTTTTATCTTTTTTGCTTTGGCATGCCAGAGGATCAAATGAGCTTGTGATTTTTTATTAGATTAAAAATGAATGTGGCGATTTAAACTTTTAAAATCAACAAAATATTATAGTATTCGGATATTATTTACACACCATAAATACGGAAGTTTTGATTATCAAGTTATTTTAACTGAGCAACTTTATGGTATTTTTCTCTAGCTTTAAATGAAGTTAAGCTTACATAGTTAGTCCAAGGGTGTAAAATGTCAATAATATTGTAACAAAAATCAACAAGAGGGCTCATTTCACAGCCAGCAAAATAACAAAACACATAAGCTCAAACCCACAAAATGCTATTAAGTCTCAATGTATCATCACATTATAATTCTTGAATCAAAGCCGGTGGAAAGCAACAGTCGAAATTCCTTTGCATGGTTCTGGAACAACCTGGAAATTTAAAAAATTTTGTGCATCACGACACATCCTAGATATTTTTAAGTTATAATAACCTTGAATCTAGTGCATAGTTCTTCTAATAATCTCTTCAGTAGAGAGGCTTGATATCCCAGACTCTGTTAGAAAAAAATGCTTCAAATACAGAATTTCAATTGCTTTTTTTAAATAAATATTTCACCTTGTTAACTTCAATAGTAGGAATGAATGTGACAGGAGGGTTCAGTTTATGAGTGGCTTCACCCATTTTGGCAAGCAACTGGATCCCTTCTTCTTTTCTCGAACAAGCAACAATTGGATCCCAATCAATCCCTAACGAGCGGGCGCACTGAGATCATCATAATAAAAATTAGAGAATTTAAAAATTAAATAAATGTTCATTACCCTTTTGCCAGCATCCTCAGGGTCAACATTGTCGCTAATCATGCAGGTAGTGTATCGAACCAACGTGAGCTGGTCAAGGACGTATTTGGTTGCACAGGCGTGGACCCTGTTGCCGTGACACTCCAGAGGTCCATGCTGGCAGCTAAATTTGTAACTGTTGCCATCGACCATAGACTGCAATCAGGGAAAAATATTGAAGGAAATTTCAAAATGAAAATTAGAATTAAAATTACCACAGCTTTTCCGTACGGCACAAGTGTGACATCGATAATATCAGGTGCTCTCTCAAGAGTTGGAAGCAGTTGATTTATAAAAAATCCTCTTGAGTCGGGACACAAAGTTTCGTAGAACACGGCAATGGCTACTTTTTCTTTTGCGGTAGACGAGGAGGAAGAAGTCTCGACCGCAGATACTTTATCAGCCTTGAACAAAAACAAAAATTAATATTTTGTAATATTTAATAAAAATAAAAAAAATCAATTTATATAGTGAGAACAGTATAATCTAGTTTACTTTTTTCCACTTTTTGGAGCTTTTTTGCCACTTTTTAGACTGAAAATAAAACAATCAATGGATAAAAAAGCCTATTGTTTTTAAATTAATTTGTCCGCATAAATCTGTGGCACAATATATAAAAAAATACTTCTGCAGAAGTGTCTTCTAAATAATAGTCAGTTGAAACATTAAAGACCTCAGGCCAAATGGCTCCCTTTCCCCCAGGCAGGCCCTTTTAATTTTATAGTTTAAAATTTTAGAAAACATTTAGTTAAAAAATTTTTTACATCAATAAATACCTCTTTTTCTAGCACAGCTAAATCTGGTCCAGTCTGACGAGACGAGTAGCCAAGCAGCTTCCAGATTATCAAACAGCTCACACCAGCGAGAACGAGTTTGTACCTCAAATTCATGGTGCCTTGTCATCAATGAAAATGTAAATTTGGCAGAAGATTTCCTAAATTTCGGTTTCAATCCACCAGTGCATGTCCGCTAATTCATTTTACTTTCTAAGATTGTGCCCTCCTCCTCGCGTTCTCAGGACATACATAAATATGGAACGCGCTCAGCTATCAAAATAAAGAGAAAGAGAAGAGCCCACAAAAAAAATTCTGACTTGTGAGATCAAGTGGGAGTGGCAGATTTTTGTCACGTTTATGGGATTTTTCGGACTGGCAGGTGACGTAAACTGTATCACGGAATGCAACAAGAGTGGAGGAGAAATGGAGAGGGGGGTGTTGGACTGTTGGTGCAGTAATTTGCGGCCTATTCGACTTCTGTTTCCCCCACCCCAAAAAAGCACATTTCTCAGACTGTTCGTCGCCGTCTTATGCCGATCTCCATCAAGAAACCACGCCTATCTGGGCAAAATAAATACCAAAAATACATCTGGGTCCAGAGAAATGAGAGAGAATGTCCCGTTACGTTTATCTAGGACTTAACTTTTCTACACGAATCCTTTCTTTTAATCAGGGTCTATCGTTCTGAATGAATTGTAGGTGAATCATCTAGTATTTTGTGTCATATTTCTCATTCTAATCACACAAAAATTAATTGCTCATTTCAGTTTTTGGATCTTGTATAAAGTTTTGAACTTCTACTTCTGCCTTCTGCAGTCAAGAAATGCCCAGCCAAACTGCAGCATGTGCACTCTGTCCTAAATAACATCACATCGCACCTATCTAAAAATATGGACGTCGGAGTGATAAAAATCGCCGAGGACAGCGACTTCCAGTTCTTCAGGCGAATGATTGACAACCACGATGAGTGGGATCTCAACTACTCCCGTGATGACACAAAAGTTTGGACCAAATCTGTGCCTGGAATTGAGTTCAAAATGGTTAAGGTAGGAAGATGGAGTAGTAAAAGATGAGTTGCTCAAATTAAAAATTCTGCATTTTCTCTTCCAGTTAGTTACGGTCTTTCAAGACGTCTCTCCCAGCGTGATGTACGACGTCCTTCACGACCCTGAGTACCGAAGAGTTTGGGACACGCATATGATCGAAGCGCACGACATTGGTTACTTAAATCCCAATAACGACATTGGATATTACGCTAGTAAGAACAAATTTTATTTATATTAAAAATGAACATCACAATTTACCGCAATTTACGTTTTGATATTTCTAGTGTCTTGCCCAGTCCCTCTGAAAAACCGGGACTTTGTACTTCAGAGGTCATGGCTGGACATGGGATCCGAGCAGATAATCATGAACCATTCTGTCAATCACAAGGACTATAAAGAGAAGCCCAACTATGTTCGTGGCATATCATACATTACGGGTACTGATTATCATAATATGTAAATAATAAATCGACCGAGCTTTTCCTCTTTTAGAAAGTTTCTTTTGTTTATCAAAAAAGAGCTCGGCTAGTATTGGCAATGAACTGCAAATCTTATTTCATAGAAAAAATTATTTACAAAATGTTAAGTTTTAAAAAATAAATGTTCAACTTTCTCAACAAGGAAGAGAACGTTTATAATCATTTTCCAAACAAATGTTAGTTTCTTAAAAAAATATTAATAAAAAATTTTAAATTGTAGGGTACATAGTGCGGCCAGCTGGAGACTCAGGCTGCTTTGTAGGTTACGCATCTCAGACCGATCCGAAAGGAACTCTTCCCTCGTGGATGGTGAACAAAGTGACCACCATCTTTGCACCCAAAGTACTCAAAGTGCTGCAGAAAGCGTCACAAGGCTACCCTGTCTGGAAGGCAAACAACAACCCTTCTTTCAAACCATGGTTCTTCCCCGAACAAATCGCTGCCCCTCGAATCACCGCAGAGGACTGTGGTGCCGTCGTTGCGGTAAGAAAAACAGCGCCCGAACTGGTGCCTAAATCAAAAAGCGATCAGCAACAAAGTCTTTCAAACCCCAATAACTCCAAAGATGCCGAGTCTTGCAGCTCAGATGACCCGACGCCCTTTTCGTGTGTGCCTGGAATTAGATTTAGCTTAAAATTTTTCTCCAAGAGTCGCAAGAAGTCAAAAAAGCAGGACGATAGTATTGCGGACGACTCTTGCAAACAGGCTAGTGAGTCGAAAGGCAAGCATCAAAAGGGAAAGGGCTAATGGCTGCTTTTTTACCTCAAAATGAACAACGACAAAGGTTTACGATTTTGACTAAATTTGTAAATATATGATATTTACAGAGGCTTCAAAATAATTATATGCCATAGTTATACACTAAATATTTATCAAAAACCGGTATAATAATCTAGCTTGTAATATTTATGAGCTACACCACTTTAATATAATCAATATTACAGAATTCACATCAATTTTGACTTCCAGCACAATACTGTATTATATCTAGTCGGAGAAAGACACAATTGCATTTTAACCCTATTTTAAGATTTTGCTACGCGCACCTCCATTTTGCTGCTAATTTGATCCATTTTTACAAATCAAATGAAAAGCTCAAGGATTTATGTATCACAAATTGACTGCTGATATGTTTTGAACGATGTTTATCGATGCTGACAATGGAAAAAAGGAGTGAGATTTTATCGCTCCCGTTACCAATTTTTGTGAGCGCAGTATGTGATGCACCTTTTTGCACACCATTTCTGTGTATTAGCGTGGACTACGTAGTTAATTAGATGCATTACTAATTTTATTATTATTGACTGGTTTTGAAGTATATAGAGCGCATTTACTTAATTTTTTAGAATATTTTATCTAACCTTCTTTGACGACAGAAAATAAAATAAAATGATCATCGAAATACATTAAAATAACATCTTTTTAATTTATTTAATACAATATTAACATATCAGTCCTACAGTGTGGCAAAACATGAAGATTTTTTTTTTAAATTCCTGTGTGCGAAATTATCCAGAGAGGCGCATCGACCTTTTCATTGATAACCGTACGAGCTGGGATTGTCTCCAGGGGCAGGCATGGCTTTGTCCTTGTTAGCTTCCAAATAGTATCTGCTCTTAAGGGTCCGATACTTCCTCAACATGTACAGAGCCTCGATCTCCTTCACCACGAAGTTGCCACGGGCGATCATGACCTTTATTTTCTCGGGGTCAGTCTCACTTTTGTTTTTGAGGAACGCAGTTTTGAGTCGTTGACGAAAGTACTCATAACCCTGAGGGTAGTCCTTGCCCAGGTGCAGCAACTGACATTAAGAATAAAAGCAACATTAAAAAATTTTTTAATAAAAAAAAAAGAATTGTACTACAAGTTTTATATTCACGCAGAAGTGAAACAATTATTACATAATAATTAATTTTGTTTTTAAAACGAATTTTACTTACGGTTTTGTACAAGTTTATCACTTCCGTTCTAAGTGCCATTTTTTGGATCGCATCTGATTATAATTAACTTGTAAAATTGATGATTAAAACTAGGGCACAGGTGATTTGGCTGCCATTCGAGTTTTTATTCTGAATCAAAACACTCTAACCCTTCTATTCCACTGCTGCCAACTTCTGGGCTGGGAAGCAGATTAATATTGTGCAGAACGCTTACATTTTTGTTTTAATTTAATAATATTTAAAATTATATTTTAATTTACAGCAGAGAAAGTATGTGAGAAAAATTTAAAATTTTTATTATGCTGTACACAAATTTGAAAATTAATGTGTACAATTAATTTTGTTAATTTTATATGAATTCATTTCAATATATTAATACATTGAAACGGTTATATTAAAGAGAAAAATTTGCAGAAAATTTAATTTTAATTCCAATGTATTGAATACTTCCATAATATATGCCATATTTTTTTTTTTTTTTTTTTTTTAATAAAAATCTTATAAACACAACATAATATGGTTAACATTGACAAGGTCGCATTTTATAATATTTTTTGTTATTTGCTGTCTTGTATGAGTTTGGCTAAAACTTCCTTTAGCTGGAACTTTTGAATTTTACCTGTTGCAGTTTTAGGATAATCCTGTACAATTATTATGTGCAGCGGAATTTTATACTGGGCCATCTGTAAAAAGTTTTGAACTAATAATTTTCAATTTATTTTATAATTTGAAATAATTATACCTTGCCCTTGCAGAATTCCTTTACTTCATTCAAATCCAAAGTCTTGTTTTCTGCAACTCTGACAGCTGCACAAACGACCTCACCTAGCCTTGCATTAGGTATTCCAACGACCTAAAAATATTTTTCAATTTAATTAAAATTGAAATATATTGTGCACCGTAAAATTTCAATATTCTTAAATTAATGGAATTGGAACCCCTGCTAATATATGCAGCACGCACGATGCACATGCAGAGCTCATGGTTATACATTTTAAATTCCTTTCCATCTCACCCAAATTCTTGTGGTTCTTATTTCATGCGGGTAAATATAATGTAAGAGAACTTAAACATACATAAAAACACAAACATTCTTATTTTGGAGGGGGATGTTTGGTTTCGTTTCACTTGCAAACTATTACATACAGATTAAATATGAGTGAGTGTTTATCAACGTGAACGATGATGGAAGCTCCGGAAAAACCAGCAGCATTGGATTACCCTTTTATTTAAGTGTTTATCGTTCAACTTTTATTGTCTGATCTGCACCGAGCGCTTACAGTTTACTATGGATAATAGGATTTTCTTCATCCAACTCATAATGTAAGTACACGGAATTTTTGAATTATTATTCTTATTCATTACAAACATCGATCCTAAAGCGTTTTCCGAGATGATCAATGTGCCTATTTTTCTTTTTCTTCAGGTATTTATCACCAAAGTATATGGATGAAACCGCTTAAAATCAATTTATTTCTCAAATTTTTCCCATGGACAGGAACTTTCTTTTGAAATATCGATCCGCCCGTAATATGATAGTGCACTGTAATTAATCATACCTGAGCTTCAACAATGTCAGGGTGCGTCTGCAAAACGTCCTCAACTTCGCCAGGGTAGATGTTTTCGCCGCCTCTAATAATCAAATCCTTAATTCGGCCTACCACTTTGCCGAAACCTCTCTCGTCGATTACAAATTGATCCCTATATTAGCGAGTTTTTAACTACTTATTAAAAAAAAATTAAAAAATTCACCCCGTCCTGAGCCAGCCATCTGGTCTGAGCGCTTCGTTAGTGGCTCTTTCGTCTTGCCAATATCCGAGCATGGTGCCGTAACCTCTGACCCACAATTCGCCTGGCGAACCAAAGGGCACCATTTTGCCATTGAGGTCAACCACTTTGGCCTCCCAGTGGTCACACAGTTTGCCTACGGACACGTCAAATGTGTCCTGCGGGTCGGTGGATGACGATTGGAAATTTACAGGACTGCACTCGGTCATCCCATAGCAAGTCTATATTAACAAAAAAAGAGACAAAAATGCATAAATGCATGGTAACAAATAAAAAAAGGAAGCTTTTTCCCCCAATATGAATTTAAAAAAAAAGGTTTTTATATTAAAAAAATTACTTTTTAAGGAAAACTTAAATATAATATTTAAATTATTTGTTAAAAAAAATATTTATAAAAAAAAATTTAAAGTTAAATTATTTATTAATAAAAAAATGCTACATACACTGACAAAATCTGCCAAACTGGTCTTGATTTTTCGTTGGATTTCGGCAGGACAAAATGCGCCAGCTGTGACTGCAATTTTGACGCACAGGTCAGACTTTTTGACGGATTCTGCTGAGATTGCGTTGAGCAGGTCAATGTGCATGGTAGGAGTGCCATAAACAATGGTGCACCTATTTTTGTTCTCAATTTTATTTAATATTTTTATCTTTAATAAATTCATACTTTTCCGCTTGGAGGGCTCGCAAGCTGTCTTTTCCGCTTGGAAGGGGAGAAGGCATAACCAGCTTGATTCCATGGCTGAGCGCAACAAGTGTCCCGATGACGCAACCGAAAGCGTGAAACAGCGGGTTTGGCATACAGATTGAATTTTCGTCCTGAAAGATTTTATTCAAGTTTTTATAACTGTAAAAAAACTGGCTTTGCAACGTTGATATTTTTTATTGTCTTATTTTGCAACAATTTTTACGAAAAATTTGTCAATGGCGAAAGGTGTATTTTTTTTTTTTTACTTTTGTCTCTTGAAAAGATTTTTTCAGATTTCTTAGTTTGCAATTTATAATAATATACGTTTTCATTCAGTTTGTATCGATCGCCAATTAGGTAGCTGTTGTTTACTATGTTGTGGTGAGACAGCACGGCAGCTTTTGGAAGTCCAGTCGTTCCCTGAAATTATTTTCAGTTTTATCAAGTTTTTTGGTGAAAATAATATGGGAAAATACTGAGGTAAATTGAACATTGCAAGGGTCATCTGGTTGAATATTTTCAGCAATTCTTAATACGGTCTCTGTCGCGGCTTCCAAATTTTCACTCAGCAAGTCCTCGAAGCGCAGAGAAATCCTATTCGGAAACATATTTAAGGAAGAGGAAATTACAATTTACATACAAATTAATTATAAAATAATATTATGTAAAATATTTTAAGTTGTTCATAAATCAAAATAAAATGTGTGTCTAAATTTTGCGTATAGAATAAAATAAAATGAAATTGAAATAATCAAAAATGTATGTACTAAGTAGTTAAAAATACTCAAGGTAAAAGTGCAAAAACAAGTTTTCCCTTGCAAAAGATATTTATAATTTTTTTCTAGTAGAATTCGCTTTATCAGTTTTGGTCATTTAAGACGCAAAGGAAATTATTAAAAATGCTGCTTGTATACAAAAAAGTAAGTTTTAAAAAGGAAATGCTGAAAATATTTTCTTTCACAGCAGCTTTTTTGAAGGTTTTAAAAAAATTATCTTATATTAATTTCTTCTGGCTTGCGTCAGGGCGTCAATTAGGTCTTAAACCGTTTTATTTTGAATAAATTAATTCTTGTTTTTACCTTAAATACCAACTAATATTAAATTTTCACGCTAAATAAATTAACAAAATATTCACTTTGGAGGACTGGACCCGATTGCGATGATATTTTGGAGACTTTCAACATGCCAGGAACGCACCGCGCCGTCACCCTTTGTTTCCAAATCGGGCGCAGCCTGCATTAAGATGTTATGCATATTTCGATTTCGCACTTGGTCTCCATAAACAAGCCCTTTGGCCTGCACTTTTCGCAAACACGCGCGCAGCTCGTTAGCTTCATAAAGTGGGTTAATTGTAACCTATTGAGACACAATAAATATTTTATTTATTATAAATTGTAAAAAATGTAAAATTGAATCCGAGCAAATAATAAATCACCATTAAAAAAAGTATTTATTTCTCAACTAAGTTGATTAAAATTTTTTTAGAATCTGTTTATGAATTAAAATTTTATTTTTGCACAAACCAAAATAAGGCCTGCTTTGGCCGCTGCCATCTGCGTGAGGTACCATTCCTCGCAGTTGGGCGCCCAAATCCCCAAGCGGTCACCGGACTCGAGTCCCAGTCGCACAAAAGCAGCTGCAAGTTGGTTCGCCTGTAAGAGAGTAGAATAATAAAAGTTGGCTTGTACGTACATTATGTTAATGACGGTGGCACTAGTCGACCTTGTCGCGCACTTGTCGAAAGGACAAACGCGTGTTTTGATGAAAGGAGACGAGCGCCGTCTTGTCCGGCCATTTTTCTGCGGAAATGTCCACCAATTGTCCCACGATCACAGGTGACAGCGGCTTTTCGCCCGGACAGTGGAAGTAGCTTGATTTTGGCCTGAAGTTTTTTTGAAGAGCATTCAAATGATCAATAAATCGCATTTTTAATTAAAGTAAAAACAGAAGAAAAAATAAATATTGTAAAAATTCAAACCTCCTCGGCGATGTTGAAAATGAGTTAACGGTTCTTGGCCACTTTTGCTTGTGTCCAAATTTTGAGCCATTCCATATGACAGATCTGCTCCTTTTTGCAAAAATGCAAAACATATTAAGAATTATCCTTGGAAGTCCTCTAAAGTCTTCGGCTCATAACAAGAAGTATGAAATTTGCAGGTACAGCACCCAATTTGTCGCTTTCTCGGAATCAAACTATTATTGCCTCAAAATATTTGAAGAGTGATAACAGCAGAAGGGACGAACCATATAAGTATATGGTGTCAGTAAGAAGACGCCTTAAGGCTCCCTGTCATTTGCCAACATCAGTTTACACAACCACGACCACCTCTCTTGGTTTTATTCCACCTCCAGACACCAAAGTTATAAATATAAAGTGTGCGGTTCTTCGCTTGAGATATTTTATACGCAGTTTTCATTTCCTTTCCATCTGGATCGCATCTGCTTCTTGTCAGTCTCATCCAATGCTGTGTAGTAGCTTATTTGCAACTTCATTAGCAGAACACTGGAGAGATTGTGAGATCAAAAAATTTATCACTACAATTTTAATTTTTCTTCTTCTAATATTCCGAATGTTTTTAAAAATTTGAATTGATTCAAAAGCACAATTTTCATTAAATTTTTAAACATTTATTTCAAGTTTGCTGCATATAATTTACTTTAAAGCTTAGAATGTTAAGCTTTTCTCAACTTAAATTTGCTGCTTTTGAAATTTGCTTTCAATCAGGAGATGGAAGCTGCGCAAACGCCACAGTTGGAGATTTATCTCCTTCAAGGAGTTTGGAACAAAACTCCTTGATCTCCTTGCGTAACATCCGCTGTGGCTAGAGCACGCCCAAATTATATTGATCTTTTTAGTCTTCGAGTTTGATGCGGTACATTACTACTAATATCCTTTCATTTGTTTAAAAAAACTAAAATTTATAGGGCAGTTTTCGTAATGAGCTCCTCGGCAGTAAACTAGATCGAGATGTAGAAAGCCACCATGATCGCCATGAAGTAACCAAAATTTTCAAACAAATAATCTGTGACTCACCAACAATATTTTTTTCCATTATTCTGTTTCCCCTCAATAGAAAATATCAAATGTCATTTTCAATAAAATTAACTTCATGGAATTTCATAACAGCCAATTCTTGATCCTGATTGTAGTTTTACTTAAATCAAAATCAATATTAAATTAAGTATCAAATATATATAGTTTGGTTTAATATTCTCTTTATAACTTGTGGGTCAAGAAATCCTAAGATTGCAGCGTCTGAAACTTTTGAATTAGGAGACCATGACCTTTTCTACAGCATCTACGACGTCTGTCAGTGGGTCAGTGGGAGGACAAGGGCACAAACAAAATCAAAGATTCTCTCCAAGAGGACATCATTGATTTCATACAAAAAGCGCAGCTGGTAAAAACATTTTGAATTTTATGATAGTTTTCTGATTATTTGTTCCAAACAGAGGGTTTTGGCCCACAAAGAGGATGAAGCCCTGTTGAAGGTGTACATCGTCGAGTGGAGACGTTTCATGACCCAGAGCAGCTACTTGCTGGCGCCTTTCAAGCACCTCGAAGCCGCCCTTCTCAAGAGCAGCCAACAAATAACGGCAGTATTTTCTCAAACATCAAGCAGCGGCTTCAAGATACGGCGATGAAACTGGTCCAGTCCGAAAGGAACGGCGAAGCTTTTGATTCTCAACTTGTGATCGGTGTGCCTTATGGTCTGTCTTAGGATTTTAATAAAATGCTTTGGTCCCAAATTGATCATTCTAGTGAATCTCAGCTTGAGGACAAGCTGCAGATTTACAGAGAGAACTTTGAAAGGGCGTATCTGGAGTCGACAGAGACCTTCTACAAGGTCATGTGTGCCCAGTACCTGGCAGCAACGGAGTGCAAAACTATATGCGGTTGCCGAGCTGAAGCTGAGGGAGGAGGAATTTTGGGTCAAAAAGTACCTCGAATCCGACGAATCTGTCCGATTGTTAAAACAATTCAATTGACATAGAAATTATTTCTAATCTAAGGTCTTTGATTTCAGTTAGTGAATACCTGCGTCGACACAATTGTTACAAATTACAGAGTCACAATTTTAGCAGAGTGTCCCAAGATGTTGATCAAGGCCAACGAGACTGACAGTAAGTTTCAATATTGAAATTTTGTTATTTTACCAATTTTTTTTCTTTTGTATTATTTACAGAAGTGTCTGTGTCTGTAATGTCAGCCATCAACGAGTTGAAACTCATGTTCAAGCTGATGGACCGTGAATCCGAAGGGGTCACGCCCATGCTGAGCACCCCGGAGTAGCACATTGTGTCCTCTGGCCTGGCGGACATGTTTACTTCGGCCAAGCAGGTCACACAAGACTTTGAAATGTACGTGGAGCACCTCTTGGACCTGTTCACCCTATTCAGTACCCTGTGACCGACGCTGGAAACAATGCTTCTAAGTGTCTGGAATTGCGGGCTAATTACTGCGACATGCTGCTCAAGAGGACCCCTTAGATCTGACTTAAGTGTTGAAATTGAGGCCAAACTTTGAGATGTATAGTAAGTTATGGTAAAAATTCTAAATCAATAAATTTAGAATAAATTAAATCAAGACTGGAGTTTCACATATATAACAATTTATATTTTTCACGTCAGAACCTTAATATTAGTAACAAATCTAACGTATTTTATTTGAACATATAATGACATCATATTGAATCACTTTCAATCACAAAAAAACTGCATGGCTATATTAAATTTTTGCAATTTTCTTTAAATGGCAGCCCTTATTTGTTTTGTGGGAGAGATGATAATAATACTGTCTTTGTAGGTGGTTGCGAATAAAGCAGGAACTGCGCTTCCTACTCAGGGATTGAAGCCTCTGTGATCCTTTTTGCCAGCACCAAACACACACCTTTTCCAGTCTTCCTATTCTCAATTGCATGTTGCATCACTTTCCGAACTCTGTCATCGTTGAGCTTGAACCAGTCACCCTCTTCCTTCACGATCGAATAGAAGTGGCCCCCTTTCGTAGATTTCGCAACCTTTGTTTTGGGAGATTGACATCCGGATTCTATAGGGTCCTTGTCCTTGCCACTAGTTTTGCTGTTCTCAAGAGTGATTTTGTAGCCCTTCTGGATGATGAGACCCTGCACAGAGTACTCGACAAAGTCTGTGCTTCTGTAGTTCCTAGAAAAAAGAAGGTAATAATATATAATTCTTAACACACAAAAAAATTATTTTACTTTCTCATGAGCTGTGGGACCTTGAAAGAAGGTTGGATTCTGATGTAGAAGTTGTTTTTGACAGCTCCTTCGACCGCCCTTCCAATCTCTATTATAATGAACCTGAAAAATTAAATTTAAAATAAATTTGCAAAGGAAATGTTTGACGAACTGAGGCATTTTCAAGCACTCCATGGTCTTCTGGTTGCACTGGCTGTTTTTGCACTGTTTTTCCATCATCTCCGAATACAGAAAGTCTGTAATTAGGGTTTGGAGGCTTGTGTCGCAATGAGGGTGGACTTGCATCGTTGGACTATCAATGATAATCGTGCTGGGCTCCGAGCAGCTATTTGAAAACAATAGATATGAAAAATTAAGTGAATTAATAATCCTATATAAAATAATCACACATGGATACCTGGAGCAGTTGACAACAATTTTCATGTTGAGACGTTTTGCTTCCTCGATAATTGATGCAATTTTTGTGCAGATACTCATCGCAAATTCGTTGCTGTCATGTTCACGTCCAAACTCCAAACCCCAATACACTGATGAGTAGTTGGCCAGGTTTTGCATCACATTCTTCCTCCTTGTTGCTGACACCGGATTGTCTCCGTCAATGATTTGGAAGACATCTCGCAGCACTCCTAGAATGACATCTCCGAGATCGCCGTAGGCAAGAAAAGTTATGTTTTCTTTCTTTATGTGTGAGCGAGAATTCTCTGCCAAGAAGGTTCTCTGCTATAGCAAGGCTGCCAACCTGTATATTTTAAGGTCCAATAATCTAAGCATAAAGAATTCTAATAATTTAATTATTGCCAGCTGCATAAAACCTAGTTAATTTTGTTTTTTATCCGTTTGAGCATTAATAAACTTTCATGTAACGCTAGTGTGTATGTTTGTTTAATTATGTCGACGCGATTACGATGATGTGAAGAAAAGTTTGGTTGGTAATGCGTCTGTTTAACTTTTAGCTGCGGAAAGGGGCGTGGCTTCGGGAAAAACACGTCAGAAGCAGGTGATCAACAAGATCTTGTTGCAGGTGATTTTCGGCCAAAATGCGAAAAATAGCAATAAGTATTGTGGGGCTGGTCGGCGTTAGAGCGACTGGCCGAATCTTCTGCCCGTCGGCCATGAAGTCGAGCTCGGCCGAAATGTACCTAGATCGTGTACCGACTACCGAATGCTGCTGAGCTTGGTGCATTTTCTGTTCTGGTGCCTCGAGTCGGTGGCGTTCGTGTGTCTCTTCGCCCGCAGAAGGTACGGCTCGTTGTGGGGCAGCGGCGAGCCGGCCGACGACTTTCGGCTCGTCGCCGACTGCGTCAAGCGCCTCTCAAGAACGTGCCGACGCACATGGCGTTCGTGCTGGTCGACGAGAACCTAGTCTCGGCCCAAGATTTGGCCAACAAGATCGTCTGGAGTTTCGCCGCTGGCATTTCCTTCCTCACCCTTTTACGACCACGACCACGACGGTAAAAATTTGTGCAATATTTATTTATCTACAAGTTTGTTTGATTAAAAATTTGATTGTAAAGCAAATTCAAGTTAGATAAAGGTTAAAAAAAATCCAATCCAGGCTCAATCGGACTGATATGGGACTTTTCTGATGAAATTTTGCTCTGCAGGCAAAATCAAGACATGCGAGGCTAAGCTGAGGAATATGAAGATAAAAATTCTCAGTCAATTGCTACAGCTTGCAAAGAAAATAAAGAGCAAATTAATTATCAGATTATGAGATTAACTAGTTTTTATTCATTCAGGTTATGGATATTAATTTAATATGGAATACAAAATTTCCAAAATTTATTTCCATCCCTAAAAACACCTTCCTTTTATTTTGTTTTTCAAAGTCAGCGCCGCTCAAGGAGCGCGCAACTATATAAAAGCCACTTTTTATTGTTGGAGTTTTGAACGTAATTTATTTAATCCATTCTCAAAATCCCCTTTAAATTTAGAACACTATTTCCTGTTTGTCCCCCTGACCGTTCCATGCCGATCGTTTTAAGGCAATTTAGATTGAACGAATTTTCGCGCACACCCTAGGCGCCCGCGGGGTTTGATCCAGTCCCGCGAAGCAGAGCAGTCTCAGAGTAATTGGGAGAGGAGTTTTCACGTTGTCAATATAGTGAGACACTTCCCTGTAGTCCACCAATTTGACTACTGAGGTCATCTGGCTGCACCTTGTGCATCAACCCATCTTGCTGCAACCCCAGCGTGGTTCAGCCCCTCCAAGTTTCTGTCTTCGATTGCATCATTTTATAACGCAAGTACAAAACGATAAAATCGAGTGCGAAAATTAAGCTTTCAAATATTTAAGTGATTTCCATCAAAGTGCCTTAAACAATTATCTTAACATTTTTTAAAACACAATATTTTCCTTCCTGTCCTTATTCCTGCCTGACACGAACAATGAGAATTAAAAAATTTCATGACTATGGAATTAATTTTTCAATATATTTCCAACATTCTTCCATTAAAACGATTAAATTTATAATTTCCATAAAATATAATCATTCTTCAATTCTTTTCAAACTGCCAATTTATTGATTTGTTATTTCATTAAATTTGAAGTGGTTAAAAACAGAGTGGCCGAAATTAAGCCGAACCTGCGATAAAAGGAATCAAAAAGGGCGCCCTGTTGCTGCAGAAGGCCACCCATGATTCCAACTCCTGCAGGGTAGATTTTGCGGATGAGCTGCAATGGTGTTAGCCAAGCCCTGCTGTTGGAGATGGCCGCCCATGATTCCGACTCCTGCAGGCACGGGAAGATTTTGTGGATGGGCAGCAATGTTGTTCGCCAAGCCCTGCTGTTGGAGGAGTGGTTGGTTCATCATTGAGAGCTGAAAATAAGAATTTGAGACAATTAATTCAAAAATTCTCAAGAGAAATTCAAATAGTGGACCTACCTTGACAGTTTAACGGACAATAATGACTTTTGCCTGTTTAATTTCCATTGTTGCCATTATCTATATTTGGCGAATTTTCACAGCAGCAAAAATGCCATTGTTGCTTTTTAAAAATTTTTATTTTGTTCAATGCTTGAAATAAATTTCAGATTTTTAATTATCAAAGTTATAAAATGTTAAATGCTTGTAGCAAAATTGGAAAAAATAAGCAGCTTAAATAATGATTTATTTTTAATAATTTTGTTAAGACAAAAGTTTATTGAAATTTCCATTTATTCCATTAATTATTTTGATATGTGATAAAAATAATTAGCAAACCATTAAATAAAATTGGAATTGCAGATTTTGATATTTTTATTATGTTTAACATAAAAAAAGAATAATAGAGTATTATCATATGTATTTTGTAAAATGAATGAATTCTTTGCATAATTATTGCTAGAAATTAAAATACCTCAACATTGAAAAGCTCTGGTAATATGTGTGCTGTTTATTTGGGATTTATAATCAATGCAATTCATGACTAGATACATAATCAATACACAACGCTTGAATAGAATAATTATTATTCTGCTCTCATTAAATTAGCTCTCGGATCACTTCTTGCACAGAATATGGTTCTTGAATTAGACTAACAAGGGCAAAAAGCACTAGCTCTTCTCACCGCTCTTCATTTCCTCCATCCAGCCACTCTCCTCACCAAAACTGTCCTGGACTTCTTCGAGAAGCCGCTTCGCCGACAGCTCCTCTTCCAAATCCCCAATAGTAATGTTTTCGGAGGAGCTGACGCTGCTGCTTCCAGCAATTTGGTTTCGGCCGTCGTCTTCGGACACCATGGCTTCGCCAGCCGCCTCTTGTGGCTGCAGACTGAAGGAAAACTCAAAGGAGGCGGACATGGTGGACGACGACGTCCTGTCCACCTTTTGTCCAGCCTGACGGAGTTGCTCTTCGTCGCTGACCTCAAAACTCTCAGAGTCGGACGACGCTGACCTCGATCGGTTTCGCGCTGGTTTCCTCGGTGTTGAGGTTGTTGCTGCAGTGACACCCTTCCGGGCTACCGGTTTGCGGCTGGGGATACCGGATGAGGAGGCAGATTTTTTGGTTGGGTAATTTATGCTGCAGGAAGGTCGGGGTGACTCGTTTTGGCTGCGAGACATTTTGTACTCTAGGTAGTCGGCGCTCATGTCCAGCAAGTAAGCCACCGAGTCGCTTTTACGAGCCATGATTTTTATTCGGGGAGAATCTTCCAGGCCATGTGAAGTCCTGGAATGGTATTACAATGTTAATGTTTGGTTGTATGCCAAAATTAATTGATATAAATTACCTGCAAGAATCGCTCGAATCATCAGAAAAACCACTAGGAACAGGACTAGCACAGTTCTTGAATGATGCGCTCATGGAGGGTGAGCCTAGATAATAATATTATTGTTTAAAATTATTTTCTAAGAGTGGTTTATATTCACGTTACCTCCGCACGACGAAGAAAGCCTACTAATTACTTCAGAACTCTGCTTAATCCTCCACTGCAGTTCTTCTTGCAATTGAGACAATCGTCTGTTATTCTGTAGCTCGACATAATAAGATTTGGCAAGAGATTTGTTTTCTTCTTTCAAGGACCTAAAACAAATACATGATAAATATTCCATATCATTGTCGGATAATGTCTATTAGGCAAATTACATTTCAATTGTGCTCTTGGAGTGCAACTGCGACTGCAAGTCTTCGACCTTAGACTTGAGAGAAGCAAGTTGGATTTCGGAGGCCATCAACAGGTCTGCCTTTTCCGAGGCTTCTGCAGCCACTTTTCTCAGGGACTGCAGCTCGGCGTGCCTCATATCAAGAACCACCCTCAAGCTGTCTACTTCTTTTTCCAAAGTCAGACATCTATCAGCAGACGCCTGGAACAAAAATTATTATTAAATTTTGAATTTTTATAAATATTAGTGGAAATACAAATTTCTTTTGAAACTTACCTGCATCAAAGTATCTTTGTCTTTGTGCATCAGCTCAAGGAACATCCGGCTGTCCCGGGTGGAATCAGCCAGCTGGGCGGTCATTTTCACCACCTGTTGGTTGAGATCTGCCTCTCTTTCCATGCCCTCCTGCAGCCTCTTCTCGGCCTCTGCCCTCACATCGGCCACCATTTGGTTTCGCTCACTCAGCCAATCGTGCTCCGTCTGCTTCAGGTTCTCTGCAGCTTCCAGTCTCAAAGTCTCAATCTGGCAAATGTAAATAATGCAAATTAGATAATTTATTTCAATCTTGAGATTTCTACTCACCTCTTTGACCTTTTGTTCGTACTGTGAGGTGGCGGCTGCCAGTGCTTTTTGGTGATTTGCTTCGATTTGAGCCAGTCTTTCTTGAAACTCCGCCTCCCGAGTCTCGAGGTGCATTTCGTGCGCTCTAACTTCATCACTCAGTGATTGCTGCAGTCTCTCAATCGTGACTTTGGACTCGGCTGCAAAGAGGAATAATAATTCAAAAATTATAATCCCTATTTTTATGCAATGTAATGCAGCTAAAAAAAGGAGGAAATTTAGTCAAACTGATATACTAGCTTTTGTGTTAAATTCACAATATCAGTTGAAAAAATAAAAAATTGATTTATTTAAATTTTACTTTATTTTGCAATCGTGTAACTAAAAAATGTTTTTATTCCTGTGCGATTTATTAATAAATTTCATCTCCAAAATATTTTTCTGGGACTTCCATGCCAAAATTATCACTAATGAAGACGCGTAATGCTGTTTAAATTGCTGACATATCTTTTAAAGGCACGTCTCTTTTATAGTTCTAAGAACGTGTGGACATCTTTGGGTCAGGTCTTAATGAGCGACCACCATATTCAGCCAAAAATTTCAGAGAATAAGTAGGGAACGAGGCGGCCAAATGTCACAGTTAGGCGAAATGCTCAATTATACGAGCGCATGTCCAGATTGCCAAACAGAGCGCCATGTCTGCGTGCCTATTTATTTATTCCTTACCGAGGTCACTTTTGGTGAGCGCCCACTCCTTTTTCAAACGCCCGAGCTCAGCCTTTAAGGAAGTGACGGAGAACGCGCCAACCTGCAAACAGCAACAATAGTATAAACAACTATGTCCGAATAATGAGCAGGCAATGCGCGGGTGGGGCGATCAAGAAAGAAACAAGGGCCACTGACCGAGTGCACCAGGTACTGCACAAGCACTGCCATCGCCTCACACCCTGCCGAGGCGTGGCTCAGCTCGTGGAGCAAGTGCGGCGGCGGCGGCACAATCACCGGAGGCGGCGCCGGAGCCACTTTTTTCGCCGGCGTCGACGGCTCCTTGCTCAGGGGATGCACGTTTCGGTTTTGGTCTGCAACATGAATATTTAAATTAAAATAAAAAGTGTTTATTTATTTTTATTTTCAAACACCATGGCACTGTTTAATTTTTTTTTAAATAATATATAACACAAAATAAGAAATTTTTAGTAAATTCAATTTAAAATGATCCAACAATTGATCTTGATTTATTTTTTTAAGAATTTGCAGAAAAATACTAGAATTCAATTATTTAATTAAAGTGAAACGGAAGAATGAAGGATGGAGTTATTGACGTGCAAAATTAATTAAAAGATGAACATAAGCGTTTACTCCAAGCCAACACATTATACATGATCAATTATTAAATAGTTAATTAATCACAGTATTAATTAAGTGAGATTGAAACAGCCGCGAAGCATTTATTAATGATCAACTCACCCTTAGAGGGGGTTAGTTTGGGTTTGGTCGGGGTTTGTTTTAGATTTCGGGCGTTGTTTGTTGTTGGTTTCGCCTTGGCAGCGCCTTTCTTGGTGCTATTGTTTGGACCTTGATCTGCAACAAGGGCAGGCAAAAAACCTAATACATGGATTTACAAGCGCAACAGCATTCGGGTTAATTAAGCTCCTGTTTTGGAATCCGAAGGAGAAAGTTAATGCGTATTATCGAGTGACCCGCCAGAATTTTTAAGAGTCGTGCGTATTATTTATATAAAAAAAAACTGCAAGCAAGTACATATTATGCGCGGTGACCGCTTTGATCGGACATAAAAGCGGTGCCGATCAAGCAAGGAGGATTTGTTCCTTCTTTGACTGCTTTCGAACTGATTTAATTCAATGACACTTTCTCGACCTCTAAAGAATCCATGAACTCGACAGGTGTTCTTTTCAGCCTGAGCAAACAGGCGCAGTTGGTGTAAAAAATTGTGCTTCGCTCGAGCTGTTGCGGGAAGCGGATTTTTATTTTCCTGGCAGGAGATGTAGCCGGTCGGTTATTAAGTAATAAATTATGAGTTCTCCTAAATAAAGTGCTTTTCTCGAAAATGAAATGATTAATTATAGACAGTAATGTGGAGGAGGTGCTCAGAACTCACAACCATTTGGAGAAGAACAGTAGGTTTATTTTTATTTTAATTAATTACTTTTGGCCAAATTTGAGAAGAGGTAAAGTGTGAATTATTATTTTATTGTAATATCAAGGATATTCCTTTTTTATAAAAAAAAAAATTTTTTTTTTCAATATTTTTCCATAAGCTTTACTGGACTTTTTATCTACTTTCAAATTGCTACGTTTAAAATATATTTTTAATAATGGATATCAAATCAGCAGTATTTTTTTTCTCAAAGAATCAAAAGTTTTAAAGTCTTTTTTAGTAAAATAAGTATATTAGTAAAATCTGGTTTTAAATATTTTAAAAAAGATTTAGAAGATTATATTGAATAAAAATTTAGATCCTAGTGAGACCCAAAATGGGAAATTTTTAAATCACCTTAAATATTTAATTAAAAACTCCTTATTGACACAGTCAAATCAAGTCTTTACAACAATAGAGGCCATTATACAGTCCTATAATTAAAGAACACGTTTTTGATCAATAATGAAGATCAGAAAATATTTTTTATACCCCACGACTAAAAAAACAATAGAAGAATGGACGAACAAAATATTTCAGCAAAAGATCCCAATCTATTTACGGAACACACGCGAAGTGAATTTAAAGGAGTTTCTTTTAAAAGTCCAACCCAAATTCCGGCTAATTTGCAGTGCATGTTTGTGCCATCAGATAGCCGTAAAGAAGCATTGTTAACCCAGCGGACTGACCTCCGAATCGTTTTTTGTGTCGTCCCATCGCTAAAAAGTCAAAATTCACGTCGAGAGGAAGAATTGCGGACGCTCCACCCTGGCTGATTCGCGGAACCGACGCTTCATGGTGCTCGAACGAAATAAAATTTGCCGAACTGGAGAACACACATCCGAGCGGAACCAACGCCAATCGCGAACTGGCCGCGCGCGAACGATGAAGACGCGCGATTCCCCGACTCCTGAGAGCTCTCCTTGCTCATATCTCGCGGCGGCGAACGCAATCGACGCACCAAATTTAGAAAAGAACCATTTGAACAATCCATTTTCTCTTTTTAGCGAGAAAGTACCTTTTAAGTTTAAGCCTCGCCAGACTAGTTTGGTCGTCGGAGATAGTTCGTTAAACCCCAAGAGTTGCTCTTCAGCCGCCAATTAAGCGAAATCGATTGCTCGGGCAAAATGAATTGGAGGCGTGCGTGAATAATTTGAGATGAATACGTACATCGGTCTATGTGAGCGAGAGAGTAGGTTGAGGTCACCGTGAAGTCAAACACGGTGTTGAAACTGCCTCTCATTGTCATTTCCTCGCATCTGTGAACACCTTTTGGCTCAAATATTTACATAAGTGCCTCCATTGAAGGAACAATTCCCCGCTCTTGTGCGCTTTTTAATCCCGCCAGTCTTTTTTTTATACATCTGTAATCTCAAACGGGTACCACATTTATATTATTCAATAGCGCGCATTGTGCACTTGAAATTCAATACCGCTCGCGGCAGGTGAATGCGATTTCGCGACGCATAATCTTTGATTTGGTGCGGATGTGTATTTTTTTTTAGCAACTTCCTGCTTAAATTTGTTATATTTTTGTAAGGAAAAATATAATTTAATTTAATGAACTAAAGCCGAATTTTAAGGAAAAAGTTGCAATTTGAGGCCATTGGAATGAATTAAAAATTTCAATTTTATTTTATCAATGTGTATAAACAAAAATTTTACTTTTAATTGGAATTCCATTCAAATTTTGTTTATTTTTCTAGGATTAAAAGCTTTCCGAAAAATTCTCTTTGATCTTGTCCTTGGAAACCGATGGATTGGCCGCCTATCAAAAGATTTGCTGATGCACGCAGTCTAATTCGCGACGCCAGCGTGATCGAATGAGCTATTGCTTCCTCTTATTGCGCCCATCCTACCCACACACAAACGAGCGCGCAATCATTTCTATGCAAAGTTTAAAGGCCCGACAAGAAATGATGTTCTTAATAATAATAATATGCGAAGCAGCTGAATGAACGCTAATTTTTTTGCGGCAATCATTAGCGCAGAGTGAAAAAAGTGGTGAGAATGCGGCGTGTTATTCTCAAACCAACATCTGCGACTTCCATTCATTTCTTCCTTTCTTGCACGCCGACTGAGTTCATTTTCTATTCGTTAGTTTATTAAAGATTAACAGTCTCCACGTGGTAAAAAAAAAACTTGCGCAGTCACTGCGGCAAATCGTGAGCGTACTTGTTTGCAGCCGAATGAATCCGAAGTAGCGGTGAAAGAGAAGGAAATAATTGTAAAAACGAAAAGGAACAGAAGCTTAATTTAACTTTCAGAGCATGAACGGTAATTATTATTTTTTTAATTAGCGCCTACGAATGCTTTCGAGAAATAAAAATGACGAACAAACAAATAATATTGTGAGAGTGCAAGTGCAGAGATAGTTACGTTAATAATTATTTTTTATAGTTAAAAGCTTGTCTGCAGTCATGAGTTATTAAGTGTAATTAGAAACGAAGAGAAACAGCTAAGCTGCTGATGTCAGATCTCTGGTTAAAAACATCTGCTGCTGCAATTCATGGATGGTATGTCGAGTACTCACCAGTGGCGATCTTGTACAGATTGGAGGCCCGACTCACGTCGCTCAAGGAACTGTTAATCGACGAGCCGATTTTGGCGTCGTCTTTCACGACGGCCTGCAGAGACGACGAAGACTCCGCGCCGCGCAACTTGCTGCGTTTTCTGTTGACAGATTTATTTATTCTCCACTTAGACAGTTGATAGAAACGGAGTTTGTGTTTGCAATCAAATGTTTTTGTGTAAAAAACCGTGGGTGGGCCGCTCAAAACATCTGGTTGGTGTTGTTACAAGTGACGAGAGAAATAAATGCGACGTCATTGTTTTTCTTGTAAGATTTTGCATCGCGGGCAAAATTTTTGCTTATGCAAATCTTTTACCAGAAACCAGAAAATTAATATTTAAAGTGACGCTATATTTAAAAAATTTATTTAAAGAAAATTATCAAAAAATTACTCACGCTTTGTTAGGTTTCGGTGTTGAAAGGTTCTCCCTCCTCGCCCTGGCGCTGTTTGGCCTCGAAGGTACATTTCCACCAGTTCTAAAGGGAGAAGCGCCTCTATTGTTGTTGTTATTATTGTTGGTTTTGGCATCAATTTGGGAAGATGGCTGCAAGGAGAGATTGGCAAACACTCTGCTTTTCACCTCCTTGACCTTTGGTTTTGCCTTTTCCTCAGCTTGGCTCTTGGCGATTTTATTCATCACAGCGTCCCACTTGCCCAAGCCTTTGCTCTTCATTTGCCGGCGGTTCTCCTGGTTTTCTATCGACTCAGCCACTGGCGCTGAATTGCTTATCAAGCTTTTTACCTAAAAGCAAACAGACAAAGTTTGATTATTAAAAATTCATGAAATACAAGTGCAATTTATGCAGCTTGGAACTGCCTCAACAATTTCAACACCAGATGATATACTCACTTTAGACGTAACATTTCTATTTGGCATTTTCATTTTCTTGGCTTGTGCTTTATTTCCAGGAGTTCCAGTTTCATTTGAGACCTTTGGAGTCTCCTCGCTGACCTCGACCTTTTCCGGCAAATCATTCTTCTCCTCCTCCTCCACCACCATCTCGACCTCACCAGGCAACTCTTCTATGCAGGGTTCGGCCGCTGAAAGTGGCTCTGGTCGTTTTGGCGGCTCTGCGTCGGAAAAGACGCCGCTCGACTCCATGTCTTCGATGGTGGCCGCCGAAGAGGTCATCAGGTGGGGAGCCGGTGGCTGAGCCACACTGTTGGCTGGGGAGGTGCTGTACAGGGTGCCGTCTATGACCCGAGCCTTGCGGTCTCCAATAGCCATGCCTGCTTCGGCTTCGTTGTCACTTTCAGGGCCCATTGCTCCAGGGTCGCTGAAGAAGTCCGAGTCGGTCATCGTATCAAACTGCAAATTGAGAGGCTTTTTGTAAAATCAGTATATTTATCTAGTTTTCAATAATTTAACTAAGAAAACTTTAAAAAACGATTTTAAATCTCAATTTGATTCAATTTGGTATTCAGAAAATTTTAAATAATGTAAATTTCAAAGAATTTTAAATTAAAACATTTTTATAAATATAAATCACCTTAATTTTGTGCACATCGATCGCTTGCTGGCCAGGTGGTGGAGCTGCAGGGGCAGCCATGGATGACGACGTCTCTGCCACACTGGTAGGGCGGCTCAGTTCTCCATCACCCTGGTACCCATTGTCGAGACTGGTGATGCTGGAAATGCTTGTGACAAAGCTGCAGCCAGGGTTAGGCACTGGGCACGTCGCGCTGATGGTGCATTGACTTTGCGACATTGACTCGTCGCCTGAAATAATAAAAAATTCTTATTGTTTTAGATTAAGCCACGCACGAGTAATTGCCACAATTGGGCCGATAAGACAAACGAGAAACTTGCATCATCTGCAATATTGTTCTTTAACAAGTTGAAAAAAAAGGGAAATTCATCACAACGGGGTGACCCTTTGACTGCTCCTCGTGAGTAAATTGGATGGGGCAAAGGTCAAGCAAGCCGATTACATTATGCAAATAATGCTGGCGGTGGCTTTCATTCGCCACGAGATAATTATTTATGAGAGTACGGGAGGCTGTTTGTTTACGTCGGGAAAAGTAAACTGCTGAGATGCGTGTTTACGTCCAGCGCGTTTATACATTTTAGAAATGAGGAAATTTCCTCGCCGCAGATAAGAGCAAGTCGCAGGGCGTCAGTAAAAGTGATTGATAATTGAAGCGAGTCCCACTTTCGCGGTGGCAACTCGCTTGTTGTGATTCTTTTTATCGATGTTTCGCAACACCTGCAAATACCTCTGGTTTTGCTATCATGAATAATTACCGAGTACAGTAATCAGGAGTTTCTGGAATGTTGAGATAAAAATAGGCTGCTGATGTACTGACAATTCTTAAAAGGCTTTCGCGAACTTTGATAAATATTTTAGAAAGCAGTGAAAATTTTTGGTTCAAGCACACAAATTTTATTTAAAATATTTATAAATTTTAAATAAAACTAAATATTTATTATTCCGTTGCCTCATTTCTACAAATTTAATTATTAGTTCATCAATAAAAAATCTAAATTTATTAAATATTAAACATTTTTATTTAAGTATTTTATTAAAATTCAAAAAAATTTAAAATGCTTTTTCTTTATGGATTGGTTGATCAAAGTTATAATTCGCAGATTTCATAATTTAAAAAAAATCTCGAAAAAATTAACTTTCATCTTTATTACATGAAAAAGAATTGAATTTTTTGCCAGCCCAAAAGAATATAAAATTTGAACTTGGTCTCACCTTTGCTGACAAAGTCGGAAGTTGAGTTTTCAGCCGAAACGGCGCCCGGATCCTTTGGTTCCGAAGTGCTGAGCGGCTCCTTTTCCGCTATGGGTTCCATGAACTCGAGTGCTTTCGGCGGCGGCGACTCGAGCAGCAAAATGCCCCCGTGCTTGGCCGCCTCTTCGAGCTCGTCCTCGTCGCTGCCCGGACAGGTAGCCGTAAAGTCCGAGTTCATCTGGTCCGGCGTGAGGATTCCGAGCGAGTCGTCGAAATCGTACGAATTGCATTTGCTGAGGCCGTGCACGAACGAGGGCGGCGAGCAATTCAGGGGCAACATCAAGCTGCCGGAGGAGCACGCAAGGGAGCCGCGACTTTCGCTGTCCGTCGGACTTATCGCCGTCTCGTGAGCGGGTGCCATCGAGGTGCACGCCACCTGAAAGAATCGTTTCCCAAGTGTCACTTTCCACGCGAATTCAACAAGTCCGAAAGAAAGTAGGAAGTTTCGAATTACGAAAATAAACAATGAAAAAATGCTTAGCCACGGTTAATTTCATAAGTGGAAAACAATAGGTAGGATTGTCTTACCTTCGGAGGAGTTGCTTCGTCTGAGTTCTGTCTGCAAGTGTCTTTGCTCTTCCAAGAGCTGCTGGTGCAAGGTATGGGAGACGTTGTTGTCACTGATGACTGGCCGTGACGGTCTTTCGGCTGCAAAAAATAAAGAACAATTGAGAAACTCGAAGGTCCGCCGCGCTGAAGAAAGTGATCCGCTGCACTGCTTATCTTAACCTACAAACAATCAAACTTGAATTCTCAACCTCGCCATTTATGGATTGAAAGCAGCGATAAATAATAAAAAATTGCATGCAAAATTTTGGCGGATTTGGTTTCATGAATGATATTCGAGTATAAAATTTCTGCCATAAAATATAAAATTTGATTTTTTTACTTACAATATTAAGTTTTTAATGAAACAAATAAATTAGTTGTAAAAGTTAATGAAAATCTATGCTTGGGAATTTTTTATGGTGATTATTTCATTATAACAAGAAAATAAAACTAATGCTACTAAAAAGAATCGCATTTTTTGTGTGAGAACAGTATTGTTGGAATGTACCATTGGCAAGAATTTTGCAAAATAATTCAAAATAAAAACTTCTTTATTTAATTTTATCACAATCAAAGCAAAAAAAAAATATTATTGATGATCTTCCAACTGAATTTTCAACCCATTTTTTTCAACTGAACATAAAATAATAAAATGAACTCACCATGAGATGAATGGGTGGGGTGGCCTCTTCTTGGGAACATCCACTGGGGCTGGTGCTGCTTTCGCTGCTGCTCGAGTATCCCTGCTGATTCGGCTGTTTGAGACTGTCCGTGGACAGACGCTTCTTGGAGGCCTTTTGCTGACCGGCTGCCTCCGACGCCAGCTGCACCTGTTGCCAACAAACGAATTTGTTTATTTCAGCACACACTCGGTTTTTTAACGTTCTTCTTCTTCTTCTCATATCTCTCGCATGGCATAAAAAATTAACACAGCTGGGAACAAGTGTTGACTTTTTTGTTTAGACACCCGACCTGAAGGTTAGTCTGCGGTAGAAAAAAAGCAGCCGAGGGAAAATTCTCAGCACTCTCAAGCGGAGCGTGTAATTTTTATGGGGACACTCGGTGAATTTCCTAATCGCGCGCACTATATTTTTTGCCGGCGGATGATGTCAGCGCCAATTAAGGCGGAATCTTTTGAATTTTATATCGAAAGCGGCAATAAACGTCCAGGGATGCAATTTTGAAAGGTATACTAATTGATAACAGGCTCCAGAATATTAAATTTCGTCCGACCTTGGAAACACGGCGTTTTACTTTGACCATATTATATTTTATTTTAATTCCCACAGCTCACTCCATGTGAACTTTATTATATGAAAGCTTTCTTTATAATTATGAAAGGATCAGTTTCCTGGATTCTGTTCAGGAAAAAATTAAGTTTTTACAAAATTAAGACATTTTTTTCAGAATTTGATACTTTTCCGGGTCTACTTTATAAGGTATGAAATAGGAAGGTGCGTCGTCCTGATCTCTTGACAGGCGGCTATTCAAAATTATCCGACTAGTTAACTTAATGGCGGGGCGTGGGTGCGCGACAACAATAAATAAACTCCAAAAGTGGAGAGAAAAGAATACTTTAAAGTGTGAGCTAGTTGAGCTGCCCTGAACTAATCCCAGAGGAATTTCACAGGACGGGATCAGATGGGCGAGTGTGAGGCGTGGGACGGTAAAAAGAGTGACACCGTCCAGGGTCACAAACGTGGTCGATTTGAACTTCACTCGCCTCTATAAAAAGCACTCAAGTCAGAGTGCAGAATAAAATTTACAGTGCAATCAAAGTAAAACTTGTCTTATAATGCAAAAGCAGAAAATTGAAAGTTTGCTGAGAGCTTCAGTAAGTAAAATTTATAGTCAAAGGTATATCAAGAAATTCTATACGAAATTTTTTCCTTGTGTTTTATTATTTTAATTGAAAAAAATAACAATGAATTATTGGAAAGCATTTGGTGTTGGTTAACAATTAAATTAAAAGACCAGATTATAAATTTTTACAAGAAATAAAATTTAACAAAAACTTAATTTGAACTAAAAAGAAAACTTTGGTTACCTTTCTGAATAAACACAATTTTTCAGCAAAAATGAAAGCCCAATTTTTCACATTGAAAACCTCTCCAAAAATTATTTTTATATTTATTTTTAAATTTATTTTACCTTTGATTCAGGCGCGAGGATTCCGTGTTTGGGCTTGCACGAGAAGTATCGGACGCCGTGGACGCAGCCGTCGTTGAGTCCGTCCGGCGTGTCCAGCTCGACGCCGCACCACGTGCTGCCGCTCGTGTCGAAGGCCGTGCCGCCGAAAAAACGCAGCACGCCGACCACCTCTCCGCCGACGCACACGCGCTGGCCCACGCATTCCGAGTCCAGCGGCCGGCGGCCACCACCGGACGGCCACTGGCCCGGCAGCATGGCTGGCCGCAGGCCCGAGGAGCGCAGAACGGGTATTCGACTTTCGCCGCTAGCCTGCAACAAATACATTTTTTTTTTTATAAATAAATTATCTTCTACGCGTTTTTTTTAAAGCATCTCAAATTACTATCACAGATTATTTACAGATATTTTTTTTAAATAGATTTCAATTTAAAAAATTTGCAACGTGCTAAAAAGCTTCTGAAAATAAATGTGCGATGAAATTTCTATAAATCATACATAAGTGGAAATATCCTTTGTTTTTTACTAGTGCTGATGCTACTGACTCCATTTAAATTTTGTTAGTTTTTCTTGAAATAAATAAAAATATTGACAATTTTGATTTTTTGAAATTCAATAAAAGTTTTGATTTATAAAGTTAATTTGTATCGTATAAGGAATTAATTATAAATAAAATTTATTTTAATATAGATGATTAATTTTCTATCTTATTTCAGGTGATATTATTTTTATTTAGCAAAGATAACCATTTTAAACGAAGCGCAGATTTGTTTTTTTTTTCTTTTGCATCAAAACAAATCATATTTCAAAAGGCAAATTTTGGAACCACGTGTGGGTCTGCCTATGACCAATTTTGCAGCTAACCATGATTTTTCCGCCTTGTTTATCACAACAAAACGGCAGACGCGCCCATTCGCGATAATTCACCTTTTCCTGCTATGGCTGGCCACAAAACTTTATGGAAAGGGGGACCTTTCGGTGCTAGGGGAGCCGTTTCAATGGCCGCGCATTGTCCGCTTGTCGAAGAGATTTACGCGTCGATTCATTAGATTTGAGGAGTGTGTGCGTTTATTATTAATGTATCTATTGAGAGGGATCTTTCAAACTTGGCTCTTCTTTGGGGAGAATTGACTGAGCGAAGAACGCCTTTACGAGCTGGGCAAAGGACAAAAAGTCTAAAAGTCACGCGCTGAAACCAGTGAGCTTCCATTTGAAAAGCGCCAACCAGGAAAATTGATCCAAAACCAGAAAAAAATATGCCTTGAAATTAAAACTCTTGCCAGAGACGCCACTTTTTGCTGGGAAAATATCTCATGTTGCGCGAAAAAAGATGGAATTGTAGAAATTGTGGAAATTTAAATCTTTGGTGTTGTAGAATTTTTTTCCGATAAATATAATCATAAAAAAATGCATTAGTTTTATACTATTTTCAAATAAATTTAAAGAATAAATAAATCATTCCTTTTAAATATTTATTTATCTCTTTAATTTTTGCCTAAAAATTTCTTACTGGATGAGGAGTCGTTAAAAAAGTTACATTTGGATTCCTTACAAGGAAAGTTGCCGAAAAGCAGGTGCGAATAGTTTTTAATTGAGCCATCCGTCCATTTGAGTGGCACTTCATTCTTATCAGAGCAGTAGCCGCCCTTTTTCTAGGACCTGATTCTCCTTGATAAATTTAAAATGCACTCGAATTTTTAAGAGCGAGGAAGCCAAGCGAGTGACGCTCGACTACCTTTTCTAACACACCCGACAGTGAGATAAGATTTTTAATGCCTCTTGACATATGTGTGTAGTTGTTTGCGCTGCGGGGAATTCGGGCCCGCCGTTCCCACGGAAAGGAAAAGTATGAAACTTTCTCGCTCGAATTTACATAATTGAATGTCGTCTTAATCGCCTAATCGACACGAGCGCATCACCTTCAGCTTTTAGAATGTGGAAGGAAATTAAATATTGTGGGGAGATTTTGTCGGAAACATTTTTAATTTATAATAAGCTGTTGAAGCGTTGTAGCTACTGCTGGATTAAACAATTTATAATTTTCCAAATCAGCTTTTAAGTTATTCTTGTCTTGACGTAAAAATAAACTTCCTCCGTGCAGTTAAAATCAAGTGGTAGAAAAATGTCTATTTTACCACAAATATAGGCGACGAATTAGGCTAAAAATTTAGTTGGAAAATCCCTGGTTTATTTTAAATTTAAAATTAAATAGTTTAGCGTTTTTTAATTATAAAGAAGCTAAAAATTCAGGATTAATTTATTATTTTTATCATCATCATTATTTTGTAAAAATTGGCAACATTATAAATGAATTAGAGGAAGAAGATTTAATTCAAAAAAATACTAGAAGTTTCTAAACAAATTTGCGCTGACACTAGCAATAATTATTGCAAATTATAAAAAATGTAGAAACAAGTCATAAGAAGTTAAAAAAAATCCAAAATCCAAATGTAATTACAGGCGCGATGAAAATAGACTAATTTTTAACCAAATCAAAAATTGAATAATTTAAATAATTTTAAGAATTAAAATAATCAGCTTGAAAAGGGATTAAATTAAGAAGCGATAAACTATAATTATAAAAAAATATTCTTTTCCGTTGGCAGTTGGCATCGGCGGTAATTTCTAAAAAGGAATACCATCATCCTAGCGTCCGCTATACTCAATTGTGTTTTTCCTATACTCTCGCACAATTTCGAGGAATTGCAGGTAAAATCTCATTGACTCTCGGCGCGGATTGTTGAATGAAACGACATTCCGGTTGATTTGACTGAAACGGCAGTAGCGCGAGATAACTGCACTCGAGTCGATTTCACGGCAATTTGCCTTCTGCGTGCAATAAGCGTGTGCATTAAATCAGAAGCCAAGGCCAAAAGCCTTTGAGTATATTAATTGTCGACCGTCGCCGCTGCACTTGTTAGAATTAACTTGCATGGGCCTATAAATAAATATTATATATAACGAGTAGAGTTGGCCGCCGCCGCCGGCAAACGAATCTGTCAACTCGCGGCAGGTGGTTTCACGCGGCGGCGGAAACTCGAGCGCGACATTCGAAATAAATAAATTATGATCATTGCCTAAGCGGAAAAATATATATATTTTATTTTTACTATACTGACGTGCGAGTGAATTTCGTGCGGCTGAAAGTTACCCGCAAGAATACGGAGTTTGATTGGCGGTAATTGCAACCAACTCCCGCTGGTGTCACTTACAACTCTTTCGCATGGGATAATTTAATTTTTTTTTTAAATAACATTATTTAGCCTACTAAACTTAATTTAATGCACTGATAAATATATTTTGATAATTTTAATTGGAACAGTCAATTAAATTTAACTTATTGAATAATTCCTCGTGTACCAAACAGATAAAAGATTAATTTAAAATTTATGTTCATTGAGGCGGATCAGGTCTTTTTAATCTTGGAAGTTTTATAAAAAGTCTTAATAGTGCCGTTTTTTCAAAGATTCAACGTTTCTATCCCAAAAATTAAATATTTTCAATGCTATTTTGCAAGTGTGCAATAATAATCAACAATAATAATTAAATTCTAATAAAATAAATTTTTTTATTGAAAGGGAAAGATAATCTTTTGATTACAAATTGTTATATGTTGAATTAAAAGCTAAGCCCGTTGTTTAAGTAGCCTTTTTATTATTTTATAGTTTCAAATATTTTGTGAATTTAAATTACCCTAAAAATCTCAATTCTTTAACCTTAAAGTTGATTAATTTCGTATTAATTTAAAATCTGCGTCTTACAATTAGCAATACTTGTTCGCCAGAGGTGCTGCCGTTTATACACATTTTGTATTTTTTCCTTCTCCGTAGTAACTTGATTTGTGAAGAAAAACGGTAAAAATGTACTTGCAGAAAATTTTAATAAAGATACACATTAAAATTTTCCAAATAAATCATCACCAAGTTTTTCTGCAGCAGCAGAAGGAAGTGTTGATATTTTAATTCTCTTAAAATATCCCTGCGTATAAATTAACATAAATTGCTTTTTATCTTCCTGAAAGGCAAAAACTGCTGCAGATAATGGAGGAGTTGCAAGCGCTGCAGCGTTAATAATAATTCCTTTTGAGGCGCAATCATCACTTGTGCATATAATTTCAAAGTTCAAGGTTGGCAGACAACGCCGATTTTGCACGTGAATTTCTCGGCACCTGCCAGCATTTATATTTTATATATTTATTTTCCTCGGTAAATAAATATATTTCACTGACTAAGGCAAGTTCAAGGTTTGGACGTGACGCCAATTAAAATTCATCTGGCCGCCGGCGATTTGAAAAGCCGAAGAATAAATATATAAATAAATCGCACGAGTTGCGATGGCATAAAAGTTATAGTGCAGCGGCGGCGGCGAGTGTTTGCGCATTTTACGGCTCGCGCGCGATTTGGCCTTTCGGCCGCAACATTCCTGGCTCGTTTTAATTTTAGTTGCTTGGCTTCCGAGTGGACTCATCTCGGTCACTGAAATATGCATTGCGAGAGGAGTGGTGGATTTTAGTTTCAGAATGAAAAGTAATTTTGTTATATTATATATCAAATATGAATTAAAAATTTGAAATTTAAAACACTCAAGAATTTGGTACTGTTTTAAAAGAACAAAACATTAACTTAAAATCTCATATCTAATTTTTTCATTTAAATTTAATTGTTTTCTTAACAAAATTGAATCTTTATGTTATACGAAAGAAATTTTGTCTATCATAGCTTTTTTCAATTTTGTCTCTTTTGATATAATTTTACGCCCATTTTTCCAAATAAATATCATCTCTCCAACTTCTTATTCTTTCATCAAATTAATTTAACTTCCCTTTCAAGAAAATGAGAAGGTTAAAAAAAATAATGACAAAAAAATGTATATTTTTAAATTATAATTCTGTAATTACTGACAATTTCAATGACTTTTATTTTAACATTATTTAATTTTAAATTCTGGTTTAAAAATATCTCATCAAAATCCCCGACCCTTTTAATTGCGAATAATCTGGAACGTGCTGCGCATTAGGAAGTTCCGAGAACCAGCGGCGCCAATCGCGGGCGCACCACTTGAAATTTAAAAAGATTGAAATGCGAAGCTCCGGCGGCGCCTCTGCCGTTTTATATTTATGCACCAGACCAGTGTAGTGCCCGCATAAATTTATCTTCTGCGAAAAGCGAAATGGAGATTTGAAGCAGGTCAATTGAAATTAATAACCCTCAACTAATTGACCGCTGCGCTCTCGTCTCGGCAGCTGCTGCCGTTTTCGCAATCTCAGCAGCGTTTATTTTCAGTTCATTTTTACACGCACCGATTCTAATTTCTTTCTCCGCGTTAAATTTGATACAGCGTTAATTGCGGCGGAAACATCACCTTCACTATACTGCTCAGTGAGCACCGAACGAGAGATGACCGAAAAGGGAAATTTTGGCCTCGATTTTTTCTTTTTAATTTTTTTATCAAGAGATTATCTTGGTCGTGCTCAAGACGCGCGGCAGCGACCTAGCATTTTTTTTAATTACTTCAAATATATCAGCCTTGTTTCTGCTCATGGTTCACTTCTGAAGTATATCGAATTTAAACGAAAAATTAAATTAAAGGAAACGAAATAAAAAAAAATCTGGAAGCTCAAAGAGAGTAAATGTTTTGGAAATTTAAAACTAAAAAAAGTCACATTTTGTGTACATTAATCACTTTTGACGCTTCTATAGATAATGAGGCTTAAGCATTTTGCTATCAATTTTTTCCAATCCCAATTATTTGTTTTACAGTTTAAAAATATTTGCCCAGCAGAAAATGCTTTTCTAGAGCGAAAAGTTGGTTTCATGACAAGCATTAACTCATTTTTTTTTTATAATTATATGTATTTAATTAATTTTGCTACGTCATTGAATAATTTAAATACCATATTTATCTGGAGTCCATGATGCAATAATAGACAAAAAGACAATAGAAGATGGTTTCAAAACCGCATCATAGTCTGTGGTTTTTGCCACTCTCCGTCACGTCCCGACCCTTTTTATGACGTCATAATAGCCATTAAAGGTTTTGACCATAGAGATTTTCAGGCCAGTGAATTATTTTACGAATTTTAAAATGGCTAAAATCTGGAATGGATGAATTTTTTTAATTAAAATGCACAATTTTAGTGAAAATTAAATATCCGCACACCCATTGTTATGCATAGTAAATTTGTGCAACTTTTGCGAAAATTATTTCCAAATTAATGCTCTAATTACAAACATTACCACTAAAAATTCCTCTGTATTTTAAAATAATAAATTGGTGCAAAATTTGCTATAAAATGTGTTTTGTGCCAATTATAGTGACCATTGCTTCTTATATTATAATAAATATTTTTACAATTATTTTGTGCAAATTGCTTGAAGTGCTCTGGTATGCAAATAACATTAATTACCCTTTTATATTTATGGTCCATCTCTGATTCGAAAACAGTCAGGAATAAGTTCTCAAATGACCCTTTTATTTGGCCAAACCTAAACGAATCGTTACTATAATTAAAATGAAAAACACAGATGAAATTTAACAAGAAATGCAAATAAAAGAAGAATAGTGTCCGTATTGCTCAAGGTCGACACGTTTAAACCGCAATTTACATAATTAGCCAGGCTGAGTGAAAACGAGAAGACAATTTATTGTGATGCTCTCCGAAAACTGGTATATTATTGTTAATTACCGCACTGCGGGCTAAGCAGAACCAGTTTAAAATAATTGAAAATGCGAGTCGAAAGAGACTCAAAATGTAACAGTTTTGCCGAGGATAGATTTACTGTAAAGCAGAAGTTGACGTTTCTTTTATTTGTGCTCGCGAAGCGCGTCAAAGTGGAGAAAAGAGAGAATTTTTTGTGCTTCTTATTGTTGGCACGTTGACTCTCAATTTTGCAACTCCACGAATCCGTGAACGTATAAAACGTTCCGCCATATGGAAAAGTTTTTTTAGCACTGAAGAAAGAGTTGGTTCGAACATAATTTAATTATTATTATTTAATTCTAATTAACTAAAATTTAAAAAAGGTATAGAAATATAAATTATTAAGAAAATGATAAAAAAAAAATACTCATTAAAAGAACAATAATTAAATTTGTCTTTGAAGAGAAACGGAAAGCGGAGGAGGTTCTCCTCGGTTGCCTTTTTTCAGCTCAAAAAGGGCAAAGAATTTTTCCATTTACGACAACTGTGGGAGAAAACTGCTGCGCACAACTGCATTATCATTCTCATAAGTCAATGGACATAATTGCATTCGACCGAGCCACGACTCATTTCGCAAGCCTCTATTTTTAAACACGGCCGACATAATTCAGAGAAAGACGCACGCCGAAAAACTAAAGGCGAATCGCACGTGACACGAATATGCCTCGGAACGTAAACATTTATTCGAATATCGTGCGTATGGTTTTGGCTCACTGCCCGCGGCGTCGTTTTCGCGTTTGAAAATTTTGCCCGTGTGTCTTCAAAATCGGCGCCAGTGAATCCGTACCTGAGGCTGACGGTCGTTCGGGGGCCGAGGAAGGGCTTAACTGAAGCATTCGTGGGCCATTCAAGGGCCCGCTCAGGTGTCCGGCAGGCTTTCCAGCTGTTGTGCTACGGTTGGACTTGTTGTGGACGCGGGAGAGACCGCGGCTCATCACTCAAAAGTAAAGGAAACACCGCTATCTCTGGCTGCGAGTGCATGCAAGCGTGATCGAGGGGCGGTCGATTCTCGAGCATGCGCTTTGCGAATAATAAAAAATAGCAGTACCGGTTTAACCGGTGAAATAATTTTTGCTTAAATCCTCTAAATAATACTTTTCCTCCGGTTTTAAGTTTGAAATTTAAAATTCAAACATTTTTGATAAGAATTTGAGAAATTTTCAACCTCCATTGGTTTTTATTTCAATCGCGAATTTGAGAAACCGGTTTTTGTTTTTAAAATATTGACAACCGCGTCGAGCAGGTTGCCTACACTTCAAGGTGCAATACCATTTCTTCGTAACACGCTAAATCCTACTTGGCTTTGATCTCCTCAGATGATATATACACATACAGTGGGTTCTGCCCTGCAGAGTAAATGGGCCAGCATGCATTTATGGGCCCCGAATCAACGAAGCATGGCCGCCGATGTCTAGCGAGTCGATTTTCGCCTCTCTAGCACGGTGGCTTCTTTCTCGCTTTAACACACACATGCGGGCGGAAAAGTGTAATATAATATATCATGCGAGATACATATATTTATGTACAATGCATTTGGACTCGATTCACCTCGCCGTGCATTGATTAGGGCAGTAGTGTGGCGTTGGCTAATTTCCGTCCGTTCGACCGTAATGAATGATTGGAAGCGAATTGTTATTCACTCGACTACACAACTCTTTTTTATATGAACCGACAACTTTGCATTTGCATAATATAACCTGCACTAACCAGTCTAGGCTGATGGTATACAGAGTATTTATGAAGAACTGGAAATACGCTGCATTTTTTCTTCTAGCTTACGTCAACCTGAATAATTTACACGTCTCGTTATCTAGCGGATCAATATACATCGATTGTGAATCTTAATGAGGATGAAGTGAAGCGAGCAAATACCAATAAGAAGCAAAGTGAGATTAAAAAATGCTCGACACGTTGTTGCACTTTTTATAAGATTTTATAGCTCAAAAATAGAATAAAAATTATTTAATCAACCTTTTAGAATTTAGATTTAACAAATTTAATTTTGATGTTGTATTTTATATAGGACAGAAAATTTTAATCCATAAAATTAATTAACAGCGATTCTCGGAAGACCTCGGTTTGAATTTTTTAGCCCCCTCGATTCTCTGTAAAATGCAACAACGCTTCATGCACGGCGAACAACAGCCCATTATTTATTAACACGGCGAACTTTTGGATCGATTATTGGCTCTTCGAGTACCCTTAATAAGCTTGGTGGGTTGTTGCTCAATAACTGTCGGTACGCAGTTGTGTCACTGTTGTTCTCTGTGACAAAAATAATTTGTTTCACAACTTTTAACACAGCTTTTAATGTATGCACTAATAAGGCTTCCGTGCGCTGCGCGAGATTTTTAATTACAAAATGAGGAAGGGTCAATAGCACTTGTGTCATCTTTAACTGTGTAAAATTAACAATGACATTGACTTAAATTTTGTTTCTGTCCTGTATAAAATCATTTAAGATTATAGAAAATTGCCTTTTTCTGGAAGGGAGTAGGTGCAAAATTATTTAATTTGGATTAAAATTATTTTCATAATTCATTTTACTGCAACGTAATTTCCAATTTCATTTGTTTAATAAACATTTGAATTTTATTTTTAAATATTAAATAATTCAAACTTGCATAACATTTTTTTAAAATTTATGTTATTCTATTGACCGAAAAAATAATCTGTAAATAAGTTTGGTTAGAATCCATCAGTTTCACTCTTCTTATGTTAAATTTAAATGCTATTTAAAATGCTATTAAAACAGTTTCTTTGCTACAGCAGTAATAATAATTTTAATATTTTCAGTGTTGACTGCTGTTGACGTATTTTTTCTTATAAATTTTGCACAACTGTTTCAAATTACACACAATAATTTTTTAATTGTCAAAAATGCGCAATTTTATTTTTGGCCTTTGACATCAGGAAATTCCTGAGAGTCAGATAAACTGCTGAAAAATCATAAAGATGACAGGATAGGACGCCCCATTTGTTGTGATGCTGAGGAAAGCTCTCAAAATAAATATCCGCACAAAAAAGCTCGTTCCCTTCCGAAAAGGCGACGCGGGCGTGAATAATCGACAAAGTTGCCCAGTGCCAAAAAAACAAGACGCAGCAATCTAATACAGAGAACTAGGAGAAACTGAGTGTATTTTGCGGTCACTCTACTTCTATTTTTTTCCTCTTTATAAGGAAGAAATCGATCTGTCTTTTTAGCTAGATGGTATATTTGGGACAACTCAGAATGTAAGAATTAAGGACCGTTGCAAGACGCACAGAGCATTTAATATTAGCGCACTTTACGTAAATCCAAAGCAAAAATAAAAAAAACTCAGCGTATGAATTCATTACATTCATATATTCTGTGACGGAATCGCAGACCGCATATTAAATAATAAAGAGAATGAATAATGCGCGCAACCGTGTTCAGAATGCATTGAATGAAAATCAGCGCCGTGTCTCGCGCGGACTATTTTCGTTGCGGGTCGAACCAGAAACGTGTCTGTCGCGGAACCAACACTCACGAAAGGTCACTGAAACCGCCGGTTTGACATTTATGATCGAAAAAGGCCCCATATTTTTATCCCCTTTCGCTGCAAAGCTATAAAGTTTGTGTTGGCAAATATTCCGCAACCCACCCCCGTATGAGTTACGGAGAGGGAGGCTGCGCGGCGCTCTCCATCTTTGGTGGGCATCCCCGTGATAAAAGGCACCCCCGGTCAGCAACTCACCTTGGCCATGTCCCGTGGTGCTGGACACTGGTCGGACGATGTCCTCGCTGGGCTACGGCCCAACTCGCTCGGCAACAACCCCTGGTGAGACAGTGCACTCCACCCTACTGCCGAATGGACATGCCAACGAGAGGGTTGATTGAAGGCAGGCAGGTCGCGCAGCCGCACCGAAGCCCCATATCGAACCAACACAAAGCCCCCGAAGGCTGCTCTCGCGATCAATAAAAACCAACAGCAGAGCTCGATTGAGAGCCCTACGGTGTAGCCCGCGCTCGCCAACTACACTGTAATGAACACCATACATATAAAAATGAAAGGAATTATTCATCTTATCGCCGGCGAAATCAGGGTCGGAAAACCCGGTGTCGGCGGCGGCGCGGCTTTATTGTATTTCTCATATTATAGAAGCTCTCGCGGTCACCGGCACCCACTGACCTGTTAAATTTGAATAACATCACTTCCGATCGGTTGTTCGTTATTATTGTTTAAGGTTTTCGATAACAAATTGATTTTTACTGCCAAATAATTCGGTACAATAAATGTTTATTGTTTTTTATTTCCCTCTGCAGGCCAAGGCGTTTTTCTTTCTTTTCTTTTTGATTACATCTCACTGCAAAAATAAAACGCTCGACGGAACTTTATTGCGCTCTCCGGAGAGCCAAAGCGCGCTGCGGCGATTCTCCTCGTGGGAATGTCTATCTCGAGTTCTGATCTGCGAGCCACAAGTTGCGTTCGAGAGGTTTTATATGATGAAGAGCTCAGTCAGAATTAAAAGGCAGTAAAATAAAGCACGGACAAGAATTGACCATTGTGTGCTCGATCCGCCAAGGATATGTTCACGTTTGTGTTTTTGCATCTGATTGAAAAAATAAATAAACGTTGTATAATGAAATAGGCACGTCGATGCGTACATTATGATTTGATGAATAGAAAGAGGAGTGCAAATAATATTCAAATGACTTGCTGAGTAGGATCAAAAGGTCATTTCATTTTGGAGATCTTTTTTTCAACAATAGTAAGTCGTGACGATGAAAACATAATTTAATTAATGATCTCGTAATACTGTTAAAAAGTTTTAACGTTTTATTTTTAATAAAATTTGAGCCAGAAAGCAATTTTTTTAAATCAGCAATATAAGGCAAGGAAATTTTGGATATCATATTTGCAAATTTTATGAAAGCACATTAGTAATTAGTTATTTACCGAATTTGAATTAGCACGCGATTGAAAGGGAAAATATGATGAAAAATTACAATGCCACTGGCGTTGGGTTGATGTTAATATCGCGGATATTTCATCTCTCTCGACCAAACTTGCCTCTGGGTACTCACCTCATTCTTGATCAAGTTGTGGTCGTGGTCTCGGATCTGCTGTGAATTTTATTTGTGTTTTCTTTCATGTGACACTCAAGTCAGTATTCATATAAACATAGTCACTTGTCGGAATGAATTTTTCAAACTTGTTTTTATTTTTCTTCCAAATAATATCCCGAGGGACTGGTATTGAACGCTGCAGTGCGAAAGTTTTGTGTGGAATAAATACAAAGAAAACACAGTCAATGTAAACTGGTACACAGTCTCATGTATTAATAATGTATAATTCAAATGTGGATTATAAACACGCGTAGCCAAAACAGAAACACGAGTCCGAGAGACGACGATTGCGTTGTGTCCTTTTCACTTTTCTTGTCCATTTAACAGAGCTTGCCGGTGATTTGAGTATGTATCATAATTTTGTGCGGAGATGAATGAAGAAAAATAGCAGCCCAACGGAAACAGAGCTGCTCTGTGTTTATGTTTCATTGTGTATAAATTAACATGCATAAAAATATTAAAATTTATATAATATAAGTAAGATTTATTTATTTTATAGTTAATTATTATCTGCGTTTTGTTTATTATCTAAAACACATTGTCTTGCCGAAAACACGTACGCAGCCTGTTTTGAATTTTTCCAGCCTTGAAATTAGCAATTTTGGATTGTTTCTCTTTTTCTTAAGCAGTTAGTACAATAGCAGTGCATGTGCGTGCGTGTTTCAAGATAATTAAAATTACTTAATTGCACATGCATATTATCCGTAGCAACGAGGACTTAAAATTTAAGGCAGCTAATCTTAAGTTGTATAATATATTTATATTATCGTACACGTGCTACTGACTTTGCGTTTCCTAATGAAATAAATTTTAAATAACAATATTGTCACAACTAAGGTCTAGCATGCGAATTTTTCTACAATTAGGCAATCCTGAGCCAGCATAGAATTTTGGTTTCATCTGGCCGCCAAAGCTCAAGATTTATCAGATCATTTCTTCCAGAGTAGCCTAGAGTTGAAAACTAAAACGATCAACAATTACAGATTGCACTTCATGTGGAAAAACACTCTTCACAAATTTACAACGTATATATAACATTTTGGCCCTTCTCAAAAACAAAAACTCAGTTGATCACTTTTGACGCTTCTCGTTAAATCATATTATTTACAATGGCTATTTTCAGTCACTTCAATGTCAAAAGTTTGAATTGTGTCCGTCTGTTCACCAAATTATAAAGGTAATTTTGATTTCGTAAACTCTTTCCAAAATTTGCAATAAATGGCATCTGTTTAGATCACATGCATGTCCAGAACCCTAAAAGGTCCTTCTCGTAAAATTTTTCCTCTGTAGTAAATAATTTTGCAGTGCTATAAGACACACAGTTGGCGGGAATTTGAGTTAATTTTGCACTTGAGGTGAGTGTAAGTTTCTACCTGCCTCGGCAGCCGCGACTTCAAATCTAATGGCACAAAATCGTCAAGCACTTTAGGCCAAATTATGCAAGCAAGCAAAGCCAGAGTTCCACTGTGACAGTAGTTGTTCGAAATGGGAGGAAAATAATATCACCAAGTAAGTAGTTCGAATAAGTATGGCAACTGAGTTCACAGACAGAATTGAACAAATTGTTGCTTGACACCAAAGAAGCAATTAGTACAGCAGAAGCCGGCCGGCAAGATGGAATATTATTATCTGATTAGCTTCCTAAACTTACATTTACGCACTACAGGACAGTTGTAAACATTAACATGTATCTTTCTTTCCAAAACATCATAAATCTTTTGTAATTAAAAAAGTCACTGAACAAGTGAACAGTATAAAATGCACAATTGCTATACACAAATACACTTCTTTATCCTTAGAATCATGCGTGTCGGCTTATTATGCGTCTCCGACAAGTATCTCGACATTTCGTTATATATATATTTCTTACAAACTACCCTCTTCGGTGATTTAAAATATTTTTGAGATCCTAAATGCAGCAGTAATGATTTTTTAAGCAACCAAATTGACACATTCGGCAGAACAATTTTTCCATTTTGTTCGAGTTTGTTAGAAAATATTATGTTTTTGTCAATCGACAGTTCCATTCTTAAAATAGTAAGTTTATCATCCAGAATGATAAGAACTTTTTTGTGCAATAAATATTCTTTGTCATTTCACACGAAGCATCAATGCAGCTTAAATGAAAGCGTCTTAAAGGCATTATTTTTGTGGCTGCTACGCCACACTTCGTCTGTTTCCCAACCCAGCATTGTCCCTTTTGAAAGGAGGAAAAGTTGCGGTAAAAAAACTGATAATCAGGGAGCATTATTGGAGAAAAACTAGAGAGAAACTGCCATGGAAGAATTAACCAAATAGAGCTGAACGAGTGAATAAATTTAAATGAACTGCGCCCACTCGATGAAGCACTCACGAGACTGATGAGATGGGGTTGTGAGGAGAGCCCATTTGCGTCAGGACTTTGTCCAGCCACTGCAGTGGCCCGTGGAGATGAATTTCGATCCAGCAAGGAGTGCTCGTCACGTCTTGGCGGTGGTACTCGGCACCCCAGCCTTTCACAAATGACATTCTAAAAAATGAATCAATAGATTCATTCATTTCATTAAATAAAATTAGTTTAAATTTACCTAATTGTACACATTTTAGTTAGTTCGTAGACAGCTTCGAAGCCGTGGTTGACACTAGTTGAGAGAAGCTGAGCAAATTCCTGGTTGTTGAAAATCTTCAGAGAGCAGCCTGGCGGAATTTTGCAGACAGTGCTGGGGTGAAATTGATGATGGTGGTTGCAGTTGCGCGACTGAACAAAAATGGCACTGTCTGACAGGCACTCTGCGTAGACCTCGCCTCCAACGTAGTAGAGATGAACACCTGATTTGGAATTTATGGTAAATTTTTGTAAATTAAACTAAATGATGGAGTTAACCTTTTCCAATGTGTCTGCGCGTGTTCTCTATAGTAGAGTTTCTGTTAACATTGGACAGCTGGCCTAAACAGAATCTGTCTGAATTGTTGCTTGGGTTAGTGAAGCCGTCGACAATGACGGAGTGGGATGTGCAATGGAAAACTTCGCCGACACGGCAGTTAAGTTCGTAGTATGCTATACTGGCCCAGTATGGAGGCTCCTGAAAAGAAAATTACGAAATTATTAAAAAATTTAACTATATCTCGAATGAATTCACATAAAAATACAAAGTTATATAATTTTGTGTTAAATTTTGAGGTATTCAGGAATAATGAAATTAAATTCATTACAAACCTGGTAAGCAACCGGGGAGACCTCGTTTATGTTAGTGGTGTCCATGGCGTTGGCGTCAGGTGAAGGTGACTGGCCTGACTGATGACTGTCTTCGACGCCTGGACTGTAGGCAGGAGGAGGGGTTCCAGCTGAGAAAAAACTGGTTTAAGAAACATTTACCTTAGTGGTGAAAGTGGAGACGTACCAGGCAGACCGTTAGAACCAAATGGACTCTGAGGGCCTGTCTGGCTGGCCGGGCTGTTGACGTTGCTGAGGGGCGAGTTGGGACCGCCACTACTTTGTGGACTGAGATGCGAGTGCGAGTTGTTGAATCCGGTGGCAGAGTACGAGACATTGTGCGGCATGGCTGGCTCGGAAATCTGCTGGAAGGGGAGCAAGGAATGGCCTGGAGCGTATTCACTGTGACGCGGCACCAAAACAGGAGGCAGCACTGAAAGGACAAAAAGTATTTACTTTAAATATCTATTGACGAAAATCAAATCTGGCATAAAAATTTCTTTTCTTCTCTTTATACAACTTAAATTTAACTTTGAATGCTGACCTGGGCTTTCTACCCTCTTGTAATGGTACGGGTTGATACACACTTCCTTCTGCTTTGCTGAGAAAGGAAACTGGCATTGCTCCAGGGGCTTTAGTTCGTGGTGGCTTTGAAGGTCTGGCCAACGCCAAACTCTGCAGTAGATAACATGAGGCAGACCCTTGCGGTGCGAAACCTGTAATTTTGATTTTATGAGATAAAGATTATATTGTAGAATAATTATATAAATATTTTTAATTACCTGTAAGCGACCGTCCAAGCTGCGCGGGATGGTTACGCACTTGCTAGGCTGTCCGGGCATGCTGAGGGCCTTTTCCAGGTCTTCGATGGCGCCTTTTTTCTTCTTCAACTTTTTCACCAGGGAGTCAACAGCTTTCTCTGCCCACTTTTCCTCTTCGTCTCCTTGTTTCCAGCCCAAAAGCTTCTTCACCGCCGGACTTGTGAAGGAGAAAAGCGAATTCAGGGTGGACATCGTCCCGGAGCTTGATTCCGCCTCTTCTTCCATGATGAATTGTGATGATTGTCAAATTTAGCTGAAAAAATTTAATGATTTAATATACGAGCGAAGGAAAAAAATGTATAATGTGATTCAAGATCAGATATTTTGTGAATACTTCCTTACTGGAAGAATAATGATAAATTAATCTGAACTGAATTCACGAGATGAATCATCAATGAATGAGTATTTTTGTCGAGTTTTCCGGCTTATTTTGAAAGGGCAAAATAAAAAGTACGTTTGCTTATGCTACTTTCTCTTTGACTTATTTTTAATAAAACAGCTTTTTCAAAAGTTGCACCTTTCCAAATTAAAAATTTCTCATTTTTCAGAGAAATTTTCCTCCATACTTTATGGAATTTCGAGAAACGCTATCCCGCGTCACGCGAAACTGCCAGTCGGCGACACGGAGTCTGGCGCCGATTTCGGCGCCGAAATGAACTCCGATTCGCACAAAACTCCGCGAGCAGCGAGCCTCACCTTTCACACGCCGGACAGTCAAGTCTGCGTCGCGACTCCGGGGTTGGTGCGGCCGAAAAAGGGGACGAATTGTGATCGCCACTTTCCCTGTGCGAGAGTTGGCGACCTGGATGGCGACAGTCAGGCGAGGCGGAGTGCAAATGTACACACTGCCCAGAATCCACCCTAGGGCGATGCCGCTCCGACCTCGATTTCACCCCTCTGGAATGAGGACGGGCTCGCTTTTTTAAATGCGATCAAAGCCTTAGATATCAGGGTCTGTCGAAATGATATTATTACGGGACCAAATTAGACCGAAAATTATTATTTTTAATTTTGCCGATTTGTTTTTTGAAAACAGTCGAATGGCGACGTGCGAGCTGCTTCTTGCGGCAAATTCGAACTTACGTGAAATATGGTGCTTGCAAAGGATTTTAGGGTTTTTCGAAGGAACCTAATTAAAATTCACCTGAAAATATTAATTTCATGATTTTTATTTAAAAATTTTACATTTTTTTAATCTCAAGTCCATAAAATTTTATTTTTCGCCTATATTGGTTTTCCTTTTTTAAAATATTGTTTAAATTATCCAACTTCTTTCTCTACACATTACAATAGAATGAATTATGAAGTGGGCGGGACCTGCCTGAAGTCAGCTGAAAAGAGGAAGAGGAGGAAAAAACTTTGGCAAAACAGCTATTTTCAAGCTTATTTGAAACAAAATTTTCAAATTGTGTTTATAGAGACACTAGGGTAATTAATTTATCAGTATGAAAATTTTAAATTTCAAAAAATTTCATTTTCCAATGATACGAATGTATTTTTATGTATTTTTTAATTTTGTGTCATTTTCTTCTCACCTAGAGATGGAAGGTGCCCCTGTGGACCAGATATCGGCAAAGGTAGCTGCAGTGAACTTAAATGACGCAGGCGATGAGGGTGTTCAAGTGCAGACTTCCAACCTGAGCAGCTACTTCAGCAACAACCCAGCGCCAAGCACGGCATCGTTCTTTGACCAAATTTCTCACCCCGACCCAAGAAAAGCACCAAGTTCAATGCCAGCGCAACTCTTTCTGCAAAATCCTCAAGATCAGCTGAGCAACCAATTTGTCGGTGGTCAAATTGTGACTGACCTTGCATTGGCGCCACCGCCTCCTGAGGATCTTTACAGCAGCGGAGGATCGGAGGTCGATCGAAGAAGGAATGCATGGATTCCCTCAGAGGAAGTAAGAAAAGTCCTTGTGGCCGCTGCAACAAACTCACCTAGCATACCCAATTTAGAGGACACACTCACCAAACCCGGGGTTGTTTTAGAGGAAGATATGGTGAGAAGTATAGCAACGGAAAAATTATTATTATTATTTTTCAAATATTTTATCAGGTTGACACAGTGCACGAACTGGTTCTGCATTACTTGGGAGAAGCAGAAGCTGCTAAAAGAAAGGTTTTGACTGCCTCAGATGTCACTCAAGATGATCGGGGACTTCGAGATTTGATTCAAGTATAGCTTCGAATTCCTTTTTTTTTATTATTTAAACCAAATTTAAAACGTTTTTATCCTTAGGCTGGTTGCATTCGAGCTGCTGTAAATTTGACCGGACGCCTTCTGTCAATGTACGGTCAAGGCGCTGGGCGTTCTGGATACCCAACCAAGCACACTCCACATTCCATCCAGGTAAAGTGCCAAAAGTTAGTGTTGGACTATTCAATGAAAACTTTTAATTTGCAGCTCTGGTCCACCAGAATAGCACTTTTAGTAAAACTGCGATCGTTCTCTTTGGCCGAAGTTGAAGCAGAGCCCTTTGGAGACCTTGAGAGACCAGACCTGTACTTCCAATATTACCCTGACATGTATGGAAACAGACCTGGCACAATGGTCCCGTTTTCTTTTAGACTGCTCCTTGCTGAATTACCTCAGTACCTGAATAAGGCCAAGGAGTCCCTCATTAGGCTTCCAAAAATTTTAGCTGTCGTCAAGAAGGTATGTTTCGTTTAAATGGGTTTTTTTTAAAATTTATTCTTTTCATGATCAGATTTTAGAGAACTTGGACGCTGGTCTAATGGAAGATGGAAGTCCAATTAGCATATCAGAAGCAGACCGAGCAGAATCAAAAAAGTTGTGGCGTTCGAGAGAAATTCGTGTATTATACTCAGTCGCTAACTGTGCAATATTCCAAAAGGTATGATATTATCATTATTCAAATTAAAACAAAAAGCCTGATTGGAATATTTTAAGTCATTTGAGTTGGCCGTGGATGTGATAGAACAATTAATTGAGAAAGAACCAAACAATAAAAAATCACTTCAGTCGGCGCTCGGCCGTTTGATGCTTATGCTCGGAGACGTGTCTGCAGCAGAAAACTACTTTTCTGTCTGCGACCCTGCCGAAACAAGGTCAATCATTGATAGAGGTCTGGTTGCTATCACACAAAATGCCTTTCAAGAAGCCCATGATATTTTTGCAAAAGTCCTCGTCAAAGAACCCAGCAATGTTTTGGTAAAGTCAAATTTAAACTCGTTAAGTTAAATTTAAAGGAAATTTACAGGTTATCAACAATATGGCTATATGTTTGCTGTACATGGGAAAATTAAAGGATTCGATCAAACTGCTCGAGGATGCGTTAAGCAAGAATCAAGTATCGGCATTGCATGAAAGCATTTTACTCAACATTTGCACACTTTACGAACTTGAGTCGACCGTTTGTCTGGAGCAGAAATTGTCAATCTTAAAGCTCTTGATACACTACAAAGGTGATGGTATCAATATGGCTTGCCTAAAATTGCAAGTCTAAATCTATTTGCCTATTGTCACAGCCGATCTCGCTGGTTTCATCTCTTGTTGATTACTTTTAAGAAAATAATTTTCCAAGTTTTTGTGTTTAAAAATTTTAACTATAAAAATTCAAAATGGGCTTGTTGCCACATATCCAATTAAATATCATATTGCTAAATTATCTTAACCATTTTATTTTCATTCACAAATATACTACAGGTGCTTTTAATGAATCAAATATTAACAATAAAACTTATCAACACTTGTTTGGCGAATCACTCAGTGATGACTGTCTTGGGGTGGTTTGCCATATTGCTGCTCGAAGAACTTCAGATATTCCTTCTTTCGCTGCTCACGACGAGCAAAGTACTCGGGGTATTGAGCTTTTTCCAAGGGGTGCCAGTAGTCGAGGACCCAATCGGGGGCCGTGACCTCACGAGCATAAGCAACGCCTCCGGGTGAGTGTGGGACTGAAATTAATTCAGTAAAGTAAATATTTTCATGGTTAATCAATCTATAAAAAAAATACATTTTATAGGTTGATAATGCTCGCTTCTCAGCAGCTCCTCCTCTCCAGCAATCAAAAGTTCCTTGGCCCTTCGAAGGTCTTTGATGTCTTTGTTTTCATCGAACTTGGCTCTCATCAATACGGCTTGGTACCTAAATACCGTCCTGAAATTTTATTCAGCATTAATGGCTACCCTGAACTAAAAAAAATTGATAAATAAAAGTTTGGGACCCTTGTTTTGATATATGAAGCAGTAGAATGTCAAGTTTTAAAATGGGAAATTTTCCACAAATTCACTGATTTCAGTGTGCAGTGAGATTATCCTGATAAAGATTAATTGTACCTGTCCATATTATAGGCTTCCAAATTTCGTACAGCCCTTTTGTAGAGGCTGCATACTCGTTTTGAGTGTCTCAGTAAATTGGGATTCAGGTAACCCGACATGTTTGCTGAACAGAACAGAAAACAGATGTCGGTTTTTGCGTTCACGGTGAAAAAAAATTATCTTTACCGGTTATATTTTCTTTTCTCATTTTTTATAAATTTCATTGCGTTTTTTCAATATTCCGGCCAATTTCCATTCAAAATTATTTTTAATTAAAAAATAAATTATCTTTTATCGACTAAATACCAAATTTCAACAAAATTCAAAATCTTGAAATGGCAATATTCGATCAATGCAACACCGGTTCGTCCAACGGTTCGTCTGTCCAGCTCAGTGCATAGTAAGTAGAGGAGTAATAGATTTAACGATAATTAATGAATAATTTCTTGCTTTTTAAAGTTTATGTTACAAAAAATGATATAAATAAAGGTACTGATACTTTGAATTCGTTTAATATGTTATGGGATAAATTTTTACAAACATAATCACGAAGTACTCCTTCTGTTTCTATCTCCCGTGTGTATCAACCTTTTGATCGAATTTCCGTTTCGGCACGGCTTGTCGGCTTCCGGTAGTCTTGATAAACAAACAGGGGTACTAAATTAACCTCTAATTTTCGCCATAGAAGACGTTTGCTTCGCTAAACTCCAAAGAAAATGGGTGTCGATGTTGAAGTGATCTCTCCCGGAGACGGTAAATATAAGGGGTTAGCGGAGCCCAAGCGGTCAGCCCGGTTTTGGCAACCGATCGATGCAACGCTCCCATGGCCGGTTCCAAAGCGATCCGCCTTGACGCGCTCGATCTCATTATGCCGCTCCCTAGCTAGTTACGTGCTCGTGCTTCTTAGCTTAATTAATACGATTTATTCAATTCACTTCCCTTCTTTCGACTTCATTATACCCTATATAACGCAATATCAACGATTTGTATCCGTCACTGTGCTACTAAAATGAGCACAAATTTCTAAAGAGCCGGCTTTCCCTCCGCATATAGCATAAATTGCAGACTTTGGGGGGAGTGTCCTATTTATTCAATAGAAATAATGTGATAGGGAGATAAAATTTATTTATTTATTATCATTTTATGATTTCGTTTATTAAACAGTTTTTTAATATTCTGATACTGAGTTTATGTACAGATTTTCAAAAACTATTTTCTGCTTAAAATTTGTTCACAGGCCAGACCTACCCCAAGACTGGTCAAACTGTGGTGGTCCACTACACTGGCACCCTGACTAATGGAACCAAGTTTGACTCCTCACGCGACAGAAACAGCCCGTTCAAGTTCCGTCTGGGTCGCGGTGAGGTCATCAAGGGCTGGGACCAGGGCGTGGCACAGATGTGCGTTGGAGAACGCGCTAGGCTGACCTGCTCCCCAGACTTTGCCTACGGCTCTCGTGGCCACCCTGGAATATATCCTTTTCCATCAATAATGATATCTATTTTGTTTTGTATATATTTGCCAAATGTTACGATAATTTTTTTTATCAATTTTCCTTGACTGAAGCTTACTATCCCTCCTAATGCCACTCTTATCTTTGATGTCGAGCTGCTGCGAGTTGAGCCTTGAAGAGCGACTATGCCGCCTCTCCTCTCCAACGTCTTGTTCGTCATCATCGCAGACGAGCAGCTCACCCTAATTTAACCTTACAAGAAAAAAAATACCATTGTTTTTTTTAACTGTTTACAAACTATTACTTCTCAAGTCTGCAAATAATTGACCCAACAGTGTCCTTTACAAGGATCAACTTAAGCAATTATAATTGGGTGTAGTAAATTCTTCCACTTCTGAAGGGTTCCGTCGGACCCACTAATTCAGGTCCACTTGCATTTGTTGTTCTGCCTCACTGTTAAACAAAAATGAAAAAATAGATTGCTTTTACTGTCAATTTGATTTTGGATTTTCAGATTAAAATCATTTCAAATCATTTAACATTTTTTTATTTTATTGCCATCGATTTTGAACAAGTGAGTTTCCTTCATAAAGGAATTCCAATATAGTATCAACAATCAGTATTATATAGTGATTTATATGTGGAAGAGTTGTGGGAACAGAATCTCATATGACGGCGGCTGGTCTATGGCTGACGCAGGGGTGTTGGTGGTTAGGTCGACGAAGCTGTCTGTAGAGTTTTTGGTTCCTTGCCTGCTGATCGACAGGTTGGGAGTGTGAGGAGGCCTCTGTACATCACTAACAAGCATGCTGAAGATGTCGTTCAAAGTGTTTTGAAGAGTATCAGTCTGAAATTATAGCAATAATTGAAAATAAATTCAATATAAAAAAATTAGTGGTTATTTTCACTTTTGCTTTATTTCTTGAGACGAGCTCTTGGAAGGGCTCCATTCTGTAGGCCATGCAAAGTTGCTGCCTGTATTGCTCCTCCTCCTGCTTTCTGATGCTGGGAGGTTCGTTCAGCATCTTTTTCAATGCTTCCACAGTCAGTTGAGGGTCGATCGGTTTCTAAAACAAATTGTTTGTAACAAGTTCAATTAAATTGGGCAAAATCAAAGCTCACTCTTATTATTCCTGGTGATGAGGCAGGGCTGTCTTCGTCTGCAGTAATGTTTAGATCTCCAACACTTCCTCTTCCAGTTACTGAATCAACCCAAGAGTTCCTAGGGCCGTTAGACTCGAAGGGTGCCTGAAGTCTAGTGATGTCGTACCCTGCGGACCTAAGGATGTCTATGATAACTGCCAGATCAATGCCCATCTCACTGGGCATTTGTCCTGGCGAGTTGTTGCCGGGAACTTCAATCCGGCTCCGCAGGGGTGGCAGAAAGTGTGGTGCTTTTTGCCTCCGCAAAGTAATGATCTAAAATATTGAAAATTAAATAAACCTTTTTGCTGCAAATAAAAAGCGGTACCTGATCAGCATATTCTTGGAGAGGGGCCACCCCCATCACATACGGTAAAAGAGTGAGTAGACTAGCTACTACAGCGTGAAGGCTGCACCTCTGAACTGTGCTCAGTTGGCTGCTTGTCGTGGCAGTGTCCTTGATAAGTATGCAAAATTTATAGCCTCTGTAAAATAATTTGCTAAGATAAGTACCTGAATACTTTTGAGAAGCCTCAAAATATCCATCATGGTCTCCTTGCAACTAATTTCTACGCAGTAAAGAGCCAAGGTGGTGTATACGGCAGATATGTGTTCAATTGTGTTGCTCGGCTCCTCCAAGCTCAGCCCCAGACACGAACAAATTTCTTGTCCATGTTTGCGAACAAAAATCTCGTCTGGTTGACAGCATTTTTCAGTCACCAAACCAATCTCTGCTACATCGACACTGTAACATAAGACTTATTCAGTAAAAAAAGATGACAATTCCTCTTATTTTATTATTTTACCTTGGGCTTTGGAGCTTATCAATATTGTGATGTCTGTCAATTAAGGTATGAAGAATCCGTTGTACCAAAAGTCTCATGTCGCCATCAGGCGCTGCAGACATTCTCAATAGTGGCTCCAGGAATGACATTGGGAATGTAGTTGAAAACTGCACAGTCCTGTACTTAGTTCCAACCTGGTAACCCACAATAGTTTAGTTAACAGAGCCATAAAAAGACGGATCAGGTGAATCAATACCTTAAGGAGAGACTTGAGAAGGATATTTTGTAACAATGCGTGTGCTACGTTAGAGCCTCCTTTTTTGTTATTGTCGGTGAATTGTGGCACTTTGCTCATAATGAACTTCATTATCTCAATCTTCTGATAATCTGGCAGGTGGTTGGCGAATTCTCCCAGAGCGTTGATCAGTGCTTCTTGATACATCTTTTCGTCCCTTCTCTGCTCCGATGGAATGTCAGTCATCACAGAGTGCCGCAGATGTGTCAAAAGAGAATTGATGATTTCCAACACGGAAGGACCGATGCTCTCTCCTGCAGCAATTGCTATAATTTTAGACAACACCTCAGCCACGCTAGTTCTGATTTTAGGAGAGGCTTTTGAATTCTCGTCCAAGTGGGCCATCAAAGTTTCAACAACAGCATACGAGTGTTGCGCCTGAAATTGGAAAAAACAGACAATTAAACAAAAATGTTCATACATCTTAATGATATCATTACTTGAATAGAAAACATGATGACTTTGAAGGTGTGCGTAGCAAACTTGTTGGAGAGCCACAAGTTGTGGTTATCGATGTGCTTCAAGACTGGTTTTACCACACATCTGATCTGTCCAAAAGAGGCCCTGCCAACCAGTTCTCGCATGCAAGTTTCCGCCAAGGCAGGTGGATCAATTCTCTCTTCTTGATTTTCTTCTTGCACTGGATGGTATCCTTTCTTCAAGTGCCTGAAATTAAAATTCTTTTCTCTGGAACCTATGAAGATATTTTCTTGGTCTTACGGTAAATCTTGCATGTTGTACAGCAAAGATGGTACGATTTTGTTCATATGATCCGGTGCCCAAATATTTTCAACCAGATCATCAGCCACTGTTTTCCTGACAACCCCCTGTAGTCCTTTGATGCCAGCGAGTCTGATTTTGCTCTGCAGTTCGTCACTGTCATTGACAAAGTGACACATCGAGGAGAACTTTGATACAAAAAAATCGTATCTCCTGTGGTAGGATGGAGTGTCCTCCTCAATGTTAGCAAACTTCACAAACTAGAAAAAAAGCAAATAATTTCTTTATCAGTCAAAAATGATCTCAACTCTTACGGATTGAGTTGCGAGGACTTGCAAGTTGTGCTCCGTCGACTCGAGCAAGTTCTGCACCATCTTCAGGTAGCTCTCGACAAACAAATTAATCGTCTGGCCGTGGCAAGCAGAAAGCAGTTGGTCCATCGCTTCCATAGCAATAGTGGCAAAGCCATACCGACGGCGGTAGACGTCTCGGCGGGCCCTTTGCAGAAGGTACTCGCCAATTCTGTCCAGCTTTTCTGGCGAGGCCAGGGCGTAATAAGTAAGTTTGTCCATGTTGTTCTTGGCCAGGCCATCCTGCGGAACATGAACTTTATTAGATTCTACTGTTGATAAAATGTAAATGAATTTTTATTGCCTGCGCATCAACAGGAAAAATATTATCCACGAGACGTTTGTAGCGCGGTCGAAGGGCGGAGCAGCACCCACAACAGCCTGTGAAGCAAAAAAAGAAAGAAAGCGAGTCAGCGCTGTTGAATGACGGCAGCAGAGACCCTTGAGAATTCATATGAATGCAGAGCAGGGCCATCAATATGGGTAAAAAATGGAATTTTTTAGCCTACTTAAGACTTATTCAGACACATCTGAGAAAGGATTACGTCACACTGCGATAAAAACGATTAATATATTTTAAATCAGGTCTTTTACTGTCTCTAGTAAACGTGAATATAATTATGAGGACCTATCTCATTTAAAACATTCAAATAGAGGGCTTAATTTATTTTCTGTGGATCTAAATAATAAAAATTATTTATTACAATTTTTGAATGAGAGTATAATTTTGGGAATTTTCAGCTGATATTTTTTTCTATTTCTATTTTTAATTGTTATTAATTACCGTTAAAAGCTGCAGAACCTTTACAAGATCAACATGATTAAAAGTAACGATTAATTTAAAAATTTGATTTAAATTTAAAACAAAAATCATAAATTATACAAGCAAAACCTAATCATACAAGTTTGACTACCTTTAAATTTGTACGAAGAATGAAATTACAAAATTAATCTAAAACAAGCGCGTTAATGGTGGTGAGCAGAGATTTTTAAAGGTCAAGAAACTAGTGCTCAAAGGGTTCGCCGTAACAAGCAAACGAGCTACAAGTGACACTGCGGCGCTAATTAGGCCGACTCACAACTGGGATCGGTGCACTTGTTCACGGCGGACTCGAAGAATTCAGGCAGGTCCGAGTCAAAACAGCACTTGAGAAAGTCCCAAGACAAATCCATGGCTGCAGGGATGAACCTCGGCACTGCTTTACGGCTTCGCTGAGGCCGAGGCGAGCACTGGGTCGCTCCGCTCTTGGCCGCGCGGGTCTGTCATGCGCCTTTTCGCGCCCTACCCCATTGATTTTTTCTTCCGCCCTGCGCAATATTTGGAGCAACCCTTTCTCCGTAAATTTGCATTTCGATAGACCCCAGGGCTGATATATCAAAATTGAACTCTTGATAAATGACTAGAGCAATTTAGTATACACTTGGCTAGGGCATCGCCCGATTGGCAGACCCGACGCGGCACTTGATGATTTATTAATAAAAATCCATCCTCTGCAAAATTGCGAGGGTGGAGCGTTGCGCACACGCCTTATTCTGGGTCAAGGGCAGCCCGATTGCCAAAATTTGTGCGTCGGGTCGGGGCGCTTTGATTCAACCAGCCACTTACAGGATTCAATAAAGTGAATTAATCAATTTTCTCTACACAAGTTTTTATCAAACCAAAATTAAGAAAAATAGGGATTTTAAGTTCTATAATATTATGATCATTAAATCATCTAACCACAATTAACTATAAAATAGATAAAATAATTTCCTAGTTATGTGTGTAAATTTAAAAAAAGTTTAATCATAATTTGGCTGAATGAATTTTTGAAATCCTGTAAGATTATTTCCTTTAAAGAAAAATAATAATCTTACCATTTTTTCCACACATCACTGCTTTTTCAGTCTTTCTTAAAGTACGTAAGGCTTTATTTTAAGTTCCAGTCAAAATTCTGTAACAAGAAAATTAAATGATAATTATATAGATTGAGACAGATTTTTGGTCATGAGATTGTATGAATATAATTGTTGAAGAAAGAGAATTTTAGTAATGTACTAGAATAAATATTAGATAGCCTAATTTAAAATCAATTTTGCTTCCAACTTTTTCGATAATGTTAAAAATTACTCATAAAAAGCTCTATGTATATGTTGAACAGTGGACTTGACTGCAATGAATGTTGAATTCATACATTCATCAGGCAGGGAATTTAATCGTAAGAACCTTGAAAACAGAAACTTTCATTTTTTTATTTTATCAATTTGGAACAAGGGAAGCGAAGGGATGCGAATTCTGATTGCGAAAAAGGATAAAAATTAAGCACGATAACAGTTTCATTTGTGTTTCCCTGACGTTCTCCGTAAATATTTATTTTATAATATGTATTTTGTCTATGTAATATCTCTAACATAGGGTATTTGGATTGTGGGTTTACATAATTATGTTATGCATACATATGTATGTTGTACATAACTTACTTACAGAGTTTAAATAATAATTGCAATAATTGTATGTACATATTACCTGATTTATGTATGTATTTCATATTTGTAAGTGAGCACATAAATCATGGATGAAATTAAAGGATAAATTATTCTGTCAGGTAAAAGTCTCAAAGTACAGAGATTAAAAATAATAATAATAAATTGCAGGAAAAAAAATGTATGATATCATAGCTTACCGTTTCCTACAGCAGTCTTTTAGCTTTACACGGCTTTACATATCGCAAAGTTGACACTGCGAGTCAAAATAAAGGCATCCGTTTCAATGATACCTCTTTTGATCCTAAGTACGGGCTAAAATTTGGTTTTGGCAGCGACCTATAAACGCGAAAAAGCCCAAAATTCGGCCTCGTCAGTCTTGTTTTGCAGAGCCAGATGATAAGAGGCGCCCCGCCCACTAAAATTCAAAACTCCCGCCAGAGGTCGCGAACACCGCTGGCATTTTCACGCGTGTCGCCGGCAGAGGCGCTGAGGTCAAGACCAAGCCCAGTTCTGCCCCCAGAGTTGTGTGTCTGTCTGTGTTGTTCACCTGTAAACGTCAAGCAAAAATCTGAGGCTGACTCGCGCGTTTCGGGGTGGTTTGATCGATCAAACTTTTGGATGCAAGTCGGCCGCCTCGGCTACACCGTTTGATGGCGTTTTGAAGCGTCAGGCGAGAATTCGGCTGCTTTTAGGTGAGCGCAAATTCCTCGGCAGGAGCCGCGTCTGTACGCTCCGGTGCTTCCACGACCGGAAGGGTGAGCGACGGGGTGCGGGGATGGTGGTGATCTCGAGGGTGCTCCACCGCCACCACTTCGTGTCCGGTCAGGACGAAAAGAGGCCGCGAATTCAGGGTCGCGGGTCGGCCGCGCCCCGTGGCTCTCGACCAGTTTTTAGTGGGTGGGGCCGCCCGTCGCGTTACCTACGTTTATATTATAATTTGAGGCGAATTTTTTTTATACATGATGCATAATAAATCGAGTGCTTTGTGTTGTGCACGCGCGTATTGCCCCTTGATCAGCAAATTCTCACACGACATGCGGCACCGCTTTATTGATTTGCGTGTCCCTTGTTTGCGGACGCCAGACAGTCTCAGACGGAAAAGAAAAGAGTCCTCGAGAGGCCCGCTGCTTTCGAGGCGAATTTTCTCACGATTTCATGCAAAAAGTACACTCTTCTTCAAGAATTACTCAAGAGCTTTTCTCTTTCTTTGTGTGTGTATAATTATAATTATGAGCACACGAGAAAATCGTGATTATCTCTGGCTGACGAGTTCAAAAGACTTTTTATTTTTTTATTTATTACCCTCGAAGCTTCTTTCTTTAATAATCACTTCTTGCAAGAAGGCGGGCGTCCGCAGTGATAAATGACCTTACAATTGGTCCATCTCACTTCGTCTTGTTATTATTCGTTCGTCGAGTGCTAAATATAGCAGTGACTGCTTTTCTCCCGAAGAGGCTGAATAATCGATGATTTCATTGTGCCGCCGATTTATACGTTGCATCTCCGTGAATGAAGTCATTGTCTGTAACAAAGAAAGAATATAAGAACTTGGCGAGTGTATCGGTTTCAGCCCATTCAGATTTTATTGCTGGTCTCGGCCCTTCTGGAGTGGTGCTCCTATTTTTATTGCCAACTTATTTGCTTATTTCAAATTTAACACGGCTGAAATTTTTTTCATATTATTGTTTTTAGCTGTCAATTTTAATGAGTTCTCATTTCAAAAAAATTAATGATTATAATGAATGAACTGAGAACATTTATAAAAATCGATCATAGGTATTTTTTTTAATTCTATTAAGGTTTTCAATTAAAAAATTATACACCGTGCCTAGATCTGGCCTTGATCTTTGTTAATAAAGATATTTTATCAAAATAATTTATAATTATAATTAATTATAGTATATCGTATATATTTTTCTTTATATCAGTTGATTCATTACTTTTGATTTAATTTTTTTTGTTACATATGAATTAAGAAATCAATTAAATTGACAAGAAAACCATAAATGGAAAAATTACAGCCATATTAAATTTGAAATAAATGTACCTCTTGCAACTGGCATTATTTTATTTCTTTTGCGTTCAATCGGCTGAGAAATTCAGTACATTTTCTAAGTTCTAGATTATGCACAGCAATATTGATTTGCTTTTTCCCGCATTACACGCTGGTACATTATATAACTTTAGAATGCGGCACTGCATCGCAATAATGCGTTGGTTTGGTTTCGATTTTTCTCTAAACTCCAAACATTGGCACAAAGTCTCGCCGCAGGAATGCCGAGATTCAATCAGTCACTACGTTTGGCATTAGAAGAATGTTGCGTGTTGAATTTGGTCTGATAGGAGCTGAACATGCATAAACAATGAGCATTTTGTGGTCTCTGAACACTGATCAAAACGGTGGCATTTTACAGTTCATGAATGTCCCGACTTGACTTTTTTTACGACTTCCTTTCAACAGGTCGTTAATGAAATTTCCGAGCTCTGTCAAGGATTATCATGTTTAAATGAAAGTTAATTTTTATTCTAAAAATTGTACTTAAAATTAATACTTGAATTTATTTTAGTGCGCCTAAGTTCTAAAGAATGCATGTTTTGACGCCCTCAGGCTAGAGTTATTTTATGCTGCCTACTTTCTTTTGAAACCGTTGAAATATCAGTTAAAATTTTCATATAAGATATCAAGATATTATGTAAGAAATTAATTAATTGACACAAAATTATTTTCTTTGTCACTAAAAATTCTTTGAAAAATTAAAAAAAAATATATTTCTCTACAAGGTGAAGTGCTATTGAAGCACCTGACTTTTAAAATTTCAAGGAAACCAATTTAACCCCCTATATAACGCGCACATTTTAATAGAATTTGAGCAAATTATTGTTTATTTGAGCAGATTTTGAAGTAATTTTTAATCTCATTATAAATGGTAATAATTTTGGATTCCCTCTTTACTCTTTACAATTAGTCGTCAGCACAAACACGTGAGTCGTCGGTGAGTGGCAAAAGCAGTCCCATCCAGCCTTGTTTTTGTCGGTTTTTGTGTTGTTGTTCTCGCCTGCATGAGCTCTACATTCATTCCATTATCCCTTAATTTGATTACCTGCCACCTCCGGTCTTGTCCTCCGAAGCTGCTACTTTTAATATTTATTTATTCTCTCGACTGTTTCATCGCATTAATAACATTCTAGCAGTCCGTCAGTTATTCAGTTTGCTCTCTCAAACTCCACAAACTTGTTGATTTCTCTCGTCCTCGGCAAAGATTGCCGCCGCGACTCTCTATTATTTATTTACCATTCCACGCGGCGCTTCATTTCCCTGCTGACGTTTCATAGCGATTTACTCCGACCTGTGCCTACTTTTGCGTTATCTCTCTGCACTTGCTGCGCTTCGTCTAAATTTATTAAAAGTAAATATTTATTCGGCCGCCTGCGCGCGTTAGATATTGTAGCTTATCCGACACACGTGATGTCAGCGCCCAGAACTCGCGACATCGTTCGACCCAATTTTGCCGGCTGCTGACGGGATCGGAGGGAATGACCGAATAATTATTATTTTTTTTTTGTGACCGGCAGGTGGCTTTTCCAACGACACAGACGCTGAGAGGAAGTGAAAATCAGCAGCAAAATGCCTGAAGAACAGCAACAGGCCGCGGCCGTCAAGAGCCCGACGATTAGCAAAAAGTCCGTGGGCAAGAAAGTGCTGGCCAGAATCCACATGCTCGATGGATCTGACATAGAGCTCAGCATTGAAGTAAGAAATTTGCATTTAAATAACACAAATAAATTTGCAATTAATAGCTGCAGTTTACAATTTGCTGGTAGATGAAATAAAATTAAAAATACGTTTTTAATTAAAGGATAATGTAAATTTGGTGCCTTTTAGAATTCTTATCATATTATGTTTTTTTTTCAGCGCAAATGCAAGGGTTACGAGTTGATGGAGCAACTGTGCGAGTCAATCAATTTGCTCGAGAAGGACTACTTTGGACTCACATACGAGGACCGCTACGACAAACGCAACTGGCTTGAGCTGGAGAAAGGCATTTCAAAGTTCATCAAAGGTGAGCTGAGATAAAAACTTATTGAACTCTCTCAATGGCTTAAATCAATGGCCACCATTCTTTAGGAACAGCAAAGCCTTATTTATTTGCTGATTACAATCTATAAATAGACACGCCTAATCTAATTTTGGCCCAATGATTGCATAAATGGAATGCTTGCAGATAGTCATTCAGTACAATTTACTGTTGCTAGTCCGTTATTAAACTACAAATTTAATTCTGTAGATGAGCCGTGGGCGTTCAACTTTGAGGTGAAGTTTTATCCGCCCGATCCGTCACAGTTGCAGGAAGACATCACCAGATATTACTTGTGTCTTCAAGTCAGAAATGACATTCTTACTGAAAAGTAACAATTTACCTAATTTTTTTTACAAAAGTTGCTTAATTTGAATTGAAAAGGTTGCCTTGTTCATTTGTGACACATGCTGTCCTGGGTTCGTACCTTGTCCAGTCGGAGTTTGGCGACTTCGACCCAGACGAGCATGGAAGGAATTACTTGAGAAACTTCCAGTTTGCTCCAAACCAAACTATGGAGATGGAAGAAAAGGTTATGGAACTCCACAAAGGGCTCAAGTAAATATTGCTTTTTTTTAATTGAAGATACATATTAAATTTTATTTTAGGGGCCAGACTCCTGCTGAAGCAGAATTACACTACTTGGAGAACGCCAAGAAACTAGCCATGTACGGCCTGGATCTGCATCCAGCCAAAGACTCTGAGGGCGTTGACATCATGCTGGGCGTTTGCGCCTCAGGCCTTCTCGTCTACAGAGACAGGTAAATGAAAATATTCAACTGTCGGCCGCGAGCCTCTTTTATTTTCAACTCAAAGCCGTGATTACTAATTCACATTCACATTTAATAACAGACTGAGGATCAACCGCTTTGCCTGGCCAAAAATACTGAAAATATCCTACAAACGACACAATTTCTACATCAAGATACGCCCTGGCGAGTTTGAGCAATGCGAGTCCACTATTGGCTTCAAGCTGGCCAACCACAGAGCTGCGAAAAAGCTTTGGAAGGTGTGTGTGGAACATCACACCTTCTTCAGGTACTGAATATTTATAATTTCAAATCAATGCCAAAATTAAATGTATCTTCTCTATAGACTGATGACTCCAGAGCCATTACCCAAGTCGAGCCTTTTCCCACGCTTTGGCTCAAAATTCCGCTATTCCGGAAGGACGCACTACGAGACGAAGAAGGTGTTGATTGATCGTCCTGCGCCTCAGTTTGACCGTAGCCTCAGTGGCAGGAGACTCACTTCTCGCAGCATGGATGGTAAGTTTTTTTATGGAAATGTTTAGTTGTTACTTTGATCAAAGCACACAGGAATTTGGCACCTTTTATTTCTATTCTGAAGGCTGCCAAATTGGTTTTAATTATGAGAAAATGAACTAATAGTGATTCCAGTTGTGACCACGGCCAGAACCACGGCCAACGCTGCCGATCCCTCAAAACGCCACACCATGTCGCACCCTCCGGAACACATTCCAGAGATTGACAACCTCAACGAGAAGCCTCTAAAGGATAAGGAGAACAAGGACCGCAAGTTGAAGGATGAGAAGCTGAAGGAAAAGGTCTGTCTCGTTTATTTTTATACTTCTGTGTTTTGTGACTAACATTGTTTGGGAGCAAATGAAATCTTTCGTAACGAAAAAGAAAAAAATCCATAAGTTTTTCAAATCTGACTGCCCAGTCTTACTAACAAATGTGGGCCTGGTCTAGATTGAAAGGAAACCGAGTGTATCCTCTGACGGTTCCTCCAGCTCAATGGAGGGCGAGTACGAAGCTAACAAGGAACAGACTTGTGATGAGACAACTTCTAAGGTGTGTCTCACGTCCACTGACTGCATGCACTCTTTACGTGGAATGTGTTTTTGGTCTTTTTCAACTTTTTATTGGCCTCTTGAAAAGTTTTCGTAATTTAACAATCTCTCGCTCCCGCTGAAAATTTGCATTTGGTTCCTTTGCTTCGTGGAGCCAATGGAAATAGAACCAATTGTATATTTTTCTGCTTCTCTGTGGGTTTTTAAGTGTAAATAATTTTCACCTTCTTGCAAACCAACCTAATTATTAGGTGGTGCCTATGAGAATAGCTGGCAGAATAATTTTTTGCAGTAATTATAGTTTGCCGATTTTTTTCAACGCCTATTTTTCAATGATGCTTTGGCACAATGTGGCTGGTGCAGTAATTATTTCACTTGGACTGTACCAAAAAGATGAAAACCTCACATTTAGTAGCCTCTATTGCCTAAACCATACTGTGCATCAATAGCTTTTTTTATGTTCACCAAGAATTTGCTGATCATCCAAAATTTCTCAAATCTTTCTATAGTAATTGAGGAAATAATTCTTCTAATTAGGAGAAATGTAGAATATGAGCAATTTCAATTTTTATCTGGTACAAGGTGAGGTTCATGCCTCTTGATTCTATTGTTCCTTGTCAGTTTGACTTATGTTTTGTTTGTTTTTAAATAGAAACCGGTCGGTGGAGTAGCAGTTCTGCCTTCTGGAATATTTGGAAAGAAGAAGAAAGACAAGAAAAAAGATGACGAAGAGAAGCGTGACGAAGAAAAGGAAGCAACGGCTGAGAACGGCACTGAGGAGGTGAAGGCCGAGAAGACGCCTGCCTCCCCTGACAATAAGAAGGACAAAAAGAAGGGCAAGAAAGAAAAAGATGAAAAGAAGGAGAAGGAAAACCAGGCTGGTACTCCTGAAAAGGAAAAGGCAGCTGAGAAGGAGAAGAAAGAAAAATCAAAATCAAAGGTATGCCTGGTATTTTTTTTTCTCAATCAAACCACACCTTATTATTTTTTGCATTTTTAGTTTTGTAACTACCTCAGTACGCGGCATGCTTTTAGTTATTTTATTTTTATTTTGCATGTATTTTTGTTGTGTTCGAGCAGATCTCAGGATTGTTTTCCATTGGTTCGTCACCATCAAAAGAACAAGATGCAAACAAGAAAGGCAAAAAGAGCACCGGATCTGTCGCAGACGATTCTTCCACCCTTGAATCTCCCCAGTCACTGAAAGCCAGTCCCCAAAGCAAGGCTGTCCTTGCAGACGGAGGCCCTCCTGAAGGCTCTCCCCAACTGCCAGGCTACACCCGAGAGTACGACTACGAAGAAAATCCCAACCTGTCTCCATCAAGGAGCAGAAACGCTGCTATTTTGGCTCACGGCTTCACATATGAAAAGGACCCTTGCCAAAGTCCACTTGCTCTCAACCAACCTCAAGACGGCCCTCAGGGGGGCAGTCGCAAGGCTGTTGGACTCGCATTCAACTATGCCCCTGGTGAGGACAAGAAAGTGGCCGAGACAGCTGCTGAAAAGAGAAAAACCTTTGACCAGAAGTTGGCCAGCCCTCCTTCCCTTAGACAAGAAGCAGCCATTCAACAGCAAGGCTTGAACACCCCTGGCTTTGACTACGTTGAGTCTGCCTCGCGCAAGGAACAGGCCAAGGGTGGTATTGCTGGCAAACCAGTTGCCATCCCCACTCCTGGCCAGGAAAAGAGCCAAAAAGAAAAACCGGAAAAGTCCTCGGCTGCTTCTGCTGTGGCTGCCTTGCTGTCTATGGGCAAGAAGGGGAAGAAAGAAGAAAAGAAGGAAGAGAAGAAAGACAAAAAGAAGGACAAGAAGAAGAAAAAGAAGGAGGAGTCAGAGGACAGCTCAAGCAGTAGCAGCAGCAGTAGTGAGGACTCGATGATCGATCAATACGCACAAGGCAACGAAACCGTCCGTTCAACTGGAGACTCGGTTGTGGTCAACACACCCAAGATTTTCAAGACCACCACCAAACAGAGGGTGGTGCAGAATGCAGAGGGAATCATGCAAAACATTGAAGAGAAGGTGGAAGACCTCACTCCAGGCGGAACTGGAGCCGTTACCGTCTCAAACGTCATCAACACGGTGAGGCTGTTGATTTGAATTTGCTAAACCTCCCCAGTTTTATTTTCATTAAAAAGCTATTTTGGCATGTCCCTTATAATATAAATTGACATAAATAATGCTTGCTAGCATGGGTCTAAATTTTTCAATCACATTCAATTTTGCACTTCTATCCATAAGGCTGACGCTGAAATTGCGGAGAGTTCTCCTCATGTGACCGCCACTGCAGTGACAACAAGGACGGCAATGATGACCGAGGACAAGGAGAAAAATGAGAAAACTAGCCAGGTATGACTAGAGTAGTAGAGAAGCTATTATAGTCTTCAATTGGCATGAAACAGTCACATATTAAATTTTCCACTCTTTTATTTAACAGCATCTTTTACAGTAGACTCACATTATGTTTGTTTTTGTCATGTTTTTTCAAAGATTGAAGAGAAAACATTTGCACATACCACAACCACTAGCGCCACTCGTCAGGAGCAGCGTGTAGTGACACAGGAAGTGCGCTCAACCTCAACGGTGCTCACTGGTGACCAGGTCAGTACCACAGATTATTTTGCCTCAACTAAGCTCACCTTTAAATTGTAACTTTAAATTGAAACAATTATTTTAAACTGCTAGTTTTGTTCAGCTCTCACTTTGAAACTAGTTTTGTACCTAACTAGCGATTAACCTGCTTGAATTTTGTCTTGTTTATGCTGTTATTCGCATGCTTCCTCAGAATATTTACCGGAGAGAAAGAACTTCAAGCGGCAGCTCCAATGACTCTGGTACCCCGATTGATTTAGAGGAGGGCCAGGTAAGGAATTTTTGCTTTGCTTTTCCGATTTGAATTAAGCTTGATATAAATTAATACTTTTTTCAATGTTTAAAAAATGCATTTCAAAGCGATAATACCGTTTAATATTAATAGTTCAATTCATCATAATTCATGTGACGAAGTAACTAAAAATAAGCATTTCTCCTCCTGCAGACTCCCATTGTGAAAACGGAGAGCATGGTTTATGACCCTGACGCAGTGAATCAGTTTGAGCCCCCACAGAGCACCATGCAAGTGCCACTTGTGCAGACCGAGAGTCGCAAAGTAGCGCTTGAGTCCGCCGATGGCAACTACAGCGCCTCTGGAGAGATCATCAGCTCACAGACCATCAGCAGCAAGACGCGCACTGTCGAAACCATCACAGTAGGATTTACTAAAATTTTATAAATTGTCGATTAACGTTTTCTTATCTTTAGTACAAGACAGAAAAGGATGGAATTGTTGAGACCAGGGTCGAACAGAAGATCACCATCCAGTCGGATGGTGACCCCATTGACCACGACAAAGCTCTGGCTGAGGCTATTCAGGAGGCGACGGCCATGAACCCAGACATGACTGTTGAGAAGATTGAAATCCAGCAGCAATCTGCGCAGTAAAATATAAATAATGGTATGTATGTTAGATTTGCTGCAAGATTTTTATTTTCCAAACGTACTATTCAATCCGTAGGCACTCCAGGTCTCTATATTGTGGAGAATAAACAAGACCGTGATAAATTTCAAAATCGGCTATTCTTCTAACGAAGATTGCTTCTCAGCTTTTTTCTGGCGGCCTTCACCAATATTTTCTCTTCATATATATGATGTTAGGACCAAATTCAAAACACAAGCATTTATGCAAGAATTCCACTGTAGTTTACAGTTAAACATTTAAATAGAAATGAATATTACAGAGATGATGAAAATGTAACCAAACTTTTATCTATGGCAGCACATGTGCGTTATGCACCTTGCACTCCATGCAGCCTCAAAAGGATATTATTTATTAATGCTAAGGAGAAAAATAACAGCTTTGAATGTAATCTACTTTACATTATTGATGGAAAAAGTGCAGCTATGTGGATGAACCTTTTGTCGAAGACTAAAATGACCAGTTCTTTCATTAGAGAAATGTGTATGAAATAATAATGCCTGCAAAGCATGCTAGTTTGAAATATTGTTGCAAGAAAAGGAATTCATAGGTTGGTGGGATGGTTACTGATTAATTTCGTTACTAAATTGATACTTACAATGAAGGATTCTGCAAATGATTCTTCTAGCCAAGATAATAAAGAATCGACATAAATATGTGTGAAATCGAAAGCAGCTAACAAATTATCTATTTTTAATCAAATGCCATGTTAACAACAACTTACTCAAAGCTTATAAATTTTTCTTAACTTACTCAAAATCTTGAGTCACCGTGAAGTGCATGTTCTCCTTTTGTAAACAAATTAAAATTACCTCTTTTCTTTATTATCAAACGAAGATTCTTAGGGCGTAAGTCTTTTTTACACTGTATTTTAGTTTTGATAATTTTTTAGTTAACACAAACATATTGTTGAAGGGGCTGCGTGTTCATATCCATTTATTGTACGAATGTTACTTTGTTGACTTCATTGATTAAGATGCTAAAATTAGTCCAGTAAGAAAGAAGTATTATGGTTAGTTACTAATATTATAAATATTTTCACACATTGTAATTTTTGCTTCCACAGGCAACTGATTGATAATTTTCAAATTGTGTTACTTTTATGTTTGTTGTTATCTACGTTAGAACAAAAGTTTGATGCCTCTCCATACTTGAAATACTACGTTCTGTTTATCAGCAAAACCAATTCATAATTCAGCTAGGAAATCTCACTTTTTACAGATCTATAAAAGCCTTTTATGCGGATGCTTTAAATGCAATAAACTGATGTTAGCGGCACACTCCTGTTTTATTTTATATTTAACCTTTTTGAGGCCTGTTTTTAGATTCAAAATTCACACCCAGGAATATAATTTACCTTTAAATTGGAAAATATTCTCTTCAATAAGTCAAATTATATGCTAAAATGTTGAGAAATAAACCATATATTATTCTTTTTTGACAATTTAAAACCCAAAGCAACCACTCGGAACGGGAAATTATTTAAATTAGTACCTTAAACACCTTTTATGTGGAATTACGTTCCGAGACGTGATTACGTTAAGGAAAAAAGAAATAATTATAAACCAAGCTGTTCATTTAACATTATTTATTGTAATAATCCTAATTGTAAACATCCATCGCCTTCTTGGGCGGAAATCTATTTTTAGTAACATTCCAATAAATCTAAGAGTAAAAAATTTTGATGCTCATCGGACATCGGAGCAAAAATAGAAATCAAAAAATGAATGCTAATGATACCACCTTAGAATTAACAAATGATAATATGCTTCACTGTTTACAGTTTGTTAATTAAATGAATTTACCCCAAAATGCATCCAGAAGAGGCCAACTTTGAAAGTGGCTCATGCGCTCTCGAATGATTCAAAAGTAAGTGCAGTCGGATAGATCATACATAAACAATGTAAGAGAGTCTGATTTCATTATTGATATCTGCTGTCTGTTGACCTGCGGATTCTCTTGCTGCTTGTTTCGGGGGTGGAGTTGGACGAGTTACTGCAGTTTGGTTCCTGTTTCATTTCACTGAGCAGATTCTGAACTCTGTTACTGTCGTCAGCATTGATTTCTGTTGACGAAAAAAGTTAAAAATCAAACATTATTAATACAAATCCATACGATTTTAAAAACATAAATAAAAAAGAGGAAATACAAAATGTGAAAGTACCCATCACCTCCTTGGTTGGCGCACAGCATTTCCTTCAGGAAGTCAACCTCGGACGCCAAGTACTTTATCTTCTCCTCCAGCTTGGTGTTGTCGTTCTGCAACTGCTGCACCCTGTCCTGCGTAGCCTGGCTGCGCATCTTGCTCTTCACTCGGCTCTTCTTGACGGCCTCGTTGTTGCGCTCTCGGCGCCTCCGGTACTCCTCCTCGTCTTTGTAACTTTGTTTACCCATCTTCTGCCTTGTTAGCTTCCCCAGTTTGAAAACACAAATCTGTAACATATAATTTTTATTTAATATTAATAATTTTATATTAATATTATACAAAAAAATCTTTTTTTTATTAAATCGCTAAATATATTTTCTTAGGGATAGCTAAGAAGTTTAATATTAAGCAAATTTAGGTGTAACACAAAGACGGAAATTGTGCATGATGGGTTATCCCATCTAGTGTAAGCAGTCACATTAATGGGCTATTGCGTCAGATGTATCAACATATAACAAAAGGGCCTTATCGACCCAGCCTCGGAGCTCCTTTCGTTGCATCAGCACGGATTCCTTGCACTAGGCACGTTAATTATTTGCATAAAACTGCAAAACACGGATTTTGTCCATTCGTTTAAAAAACAGCTCGAGACTTTCCATTTACAAAACATAAACACGACCCCGTTAAGCGTATGACGAAAGTAGTCCATTGGTTTTTACCTGTCAGGATGACGCTGAAAACGCTTCAGGATGATATTTCCGCGAGACGAAAGTCTCCAGTCGTTGAAATTCGGCTTCCAAATCGCAATGAACGATTACGAAAGTGAATTATTGGGAAATGAACGAGCTGGTTTCGTGCAGTTCATGCGGACATACGCGTATCGGCCTTGAATCTTGAATCTTGCGGAGGGGCGTGGCTTTTTGGCTGGAAATTCGTCCAATGCTGCCAACCAAGAAGAAACTTCTTCGTTTGCTGCCAACTGCAACATAAAATTAAATTATGTATGTAGGGTGTAAGTAGTAATATTAATAATTAGGTTTGAATATTTAATAGCTCACAATGAACTATATTTTTTTTATCAATTTTTACTGCTTAATTTCGTTAACAAAGCAAAAAACACCGGGCCTAACCAATTTGAAGCTAAAAGCAACCAATAATTAAATATTATCATCTTCTATATGGTCACCCAGAAAAATTAGATTTATTATTTCAATAAATTATAATTTTTCAATTTTTGGTAACCATCATTTTAAAAGTTTCTCTAGAGGCGGCTCTTCTGCAAAATTAGAAAACCTACAATTTTCTTTTTGAAAAACTTTGAAACTTGCATTTATCTTGAAAACTGTAATTTTGAACACACTTTTTCAATGATCATTACTTAATTGGGTTTAATTGGACTCTTAATTTTTATTATTGTGAGTGAAAACAGTATTTTCTCCAAGTGGCACATTATGTGACAACATCTCAGATTGAAATATAACAATTATTTTAAATGATTGATTTTTAATTTTTATTATGCAAACTCTGACGTAATACCTGGTAATCCTATAGTGAAGCATATTAGAGAACAATTGTATTTGACTCTTTTCTCACCTGAAGGTTAGCAAATAAGACTGCGACCAAAAATGCACCTCAGGTGTTCTCCGCAGGATATAATAATAGTCTCAGTCTCTATTGCTTACCTATTTCTTTTTTTTTTTCAAATTTCATATCAAATATATTTTTGACATTGAATCAGAAAAACTTAATAATGTAAAATATAAAAATCTTGATGCTGATAGGTTTAAAATTATTGAGAAATTTCAGCCAAATCTACGAAATTAGGATTCGATCTAAAACCAAAACAACTTGGTGGTTATTTTTTCTTGAACGCTCACATTAAATGTGCCGTTTGGAACAATTATACTTTTCAAATTTATTTTCATGACGATGATTGGAGTTTCAATAGGCTCTAAATGCAAATTTTCGGATTTAGACGGATTATCTTCTTTTCGGAATTGCGTAGATCAAAGTTTTCCTGAATAGGTGGAATTAGGGCAGGGCATGGCTGCATAAATGGGTTAATAATAGATGAAAGTAAAACAAAATTATTGATCGTTTGAGTACAACAGAATCCCCAGGCAGTTTATTTGTGTTCATTTTGATTTCAACACCAGATTCGCAGATTTAATTGTTGACGAGCAACCAGCCGAGCTGGGAACTACAAATCATTTATCCTCTACTTTTACAAAACATATTTGTCGATTTGTTTCTCGGATTTTTGCGGGCAGTGTGAAAGTATTTATATAAAAAACAAACTGTGAAAAGTGAGTGAACGTATGGGTCGTGAGTGTAAAAATGGCACAGCGTACACATGCAAAATAATTAAGATAAAAAATTAATACATAATATAACGACGAGGGCACTGCTCGAGATCGCGATCATCCGTTTTTGGCTGGCCCCTTAAATGTCTTGTGTAATTTGTTTCATTTTGCGCGCGACCTGCCATGTTTAACAATTTTATTGCGACAGGGGTTTATATATATAATATTATTTAAATCCATACAAAATACATCATGTCAAAAAATAATTAATTGTACAATGGGTTAGGCAGAGAGAGCTTTACTTTACACACAAAATATCTATCTAGAGAGGCGGATGGCAAACGAGATTTTACATTAATTTTTGATTATTAAGTGAGCAACAATCGGTTCATTGTTGTTGGTGCATTGTGAAGTATCATGATTTTTGAGTAAACGTTTGAAACTTGAGCACAATCAGTTCTAATTTTGATTTTCCACTTTTGAGGCAGTTCAATGAGTTTGATTGGATTCTTTTCACTTGAGATCAAATAAATTAACACAAAAACATTTTTACTTTTTTTTCCTCATACGACTTATTTCTTTTTTTACATTCTGGAAACTAGATTAAAATATTTTTTTGAAGAGTTTTGGCGGTGGATTTTTTCATTGTGGGTGACGCTGGTGTTGAACTAAAAACACACAAATTTAATAATTATAAAATCACAGAAAACACCAGCGCGGCAAAAATTTCAGTCGGGCTTGGCCCGAATTTGCTTTAATTATCCTCATCTAGAATATTTTCAATTATTTTTTGCATAGGCAATAAGAGATCCACCGCCGCCTTGAACGCCTTTTGTTTAGTCACTTTTCTTTGCGTCTGCTCCACAGTTAAATCTAAGCATGCAAAACACGTTTTACTTATTTGAGCATTAATTTTTACACAACTACAACTTGTAAAAAACACAATGTGTACACAAAAAAATAGCTTATTTTTGTTCTCTGCTTCATTAAATTAACAACTTAATTTTATACATTTATATAAAAAATGAGACAAATCATCCATGATAAACGCAAAAAAAATCATTTCTCTCTTTCTCAGCAAAAGAAAATCTTCCGTTTTTGTACTCTTGTCGAGCCGTATAAAAGTATCTTAAATGTTGATCAGCTTGGAACGAAATTTTTCTCGAATTTCATCGTCGAATCACAGCGTTTGATTTTTCCAATGCAACTTTCTTCCTTTCATATATAAAAAACGATCAAAGTTTATGTGAGAGTTACGCGCGAGTTAATGGCACTTGGCGGGGTCACAGATCAACGGTCGTCCACCTCGCACAAAGTCACCTCGTACGAATCTTCGCCCTTGACCTGCTTGAACTCGACGATGAACAGGTCTTCATTAAGGTAGTACCTCAGCATGTCGTCGTCAAGTTTGGCTGTAATCCTAGAACAAAATATTCATTCGATTATTTTTACAATAATAGGTGGAAATTAATTTTTTTTTTAAATTTTATTGTATTATATAAGTATTTTATTTTTCATTTGAAATCATGTTGTGTATTTACAAAAGCGGCCCACCAAGCACCACTCCTTGCCTGACTCATGCTTTTCTTATTTTGACACGAGCAGCGCTTTTGGGGGCTATTCATAAAAATTTTGGAAAATTATTTGTCGTAATTTCAGTAATTCTTTGTGACACTTACCCCCTCCTGTTTTTGCGATACAAGTTAGAAATGGCGGAAGTTGAAATTTTGTACTTTGATTCAATCTGTAACAAACAAAACAACACAAATCACATGTGAGTAATCATTCACAGAATGCGAACAATTTAAGTGCATTTGATTTAATTTTCATCGTTCGAATGATTTTAGATATTTAAAAAAAAAAAACCGAGAGGATGAGAAAGGTCAAGGAGAAAAGAATATATGAAAACTCACTCGCGCCAAATCACATGTCAAAGCTGCTTTGTAAAGACATTAGTCCCGGGCCCCTTTCATAGGCATGCTGAAACAGAGACCACAGACCAAGTCTTTACAAAACAGCTCAAGTATATAAGGTCTCTCAATAAAAGGTATTTTTCTGTTGTCTCGAAAGTTTTGGGCAAGTCCAAGTAAGCATTTTAAAATTAGAGTAAAAGCAGCGGCGTGTGTTTTAAGATTAGAAAAAAATGTCACCACCGAATTATATAAGAAATCATATTAAAAAAGCTCATAAAAGGTTAATTTTGGCGAAAATGAATGTGAATGATAATGTTCATGCTCTTCACTTACCGCGTGCATTAAGCCTGCAGTGCTTGGCGGCACCACATGCAAGGGTGTGTAAATGTCCTCAGAGTCCTGCCGCACATAGAGCATCACCCTTTCACTCAAAGGCGGCGGCCCACCGCTCCCGAGACCACCAGGGCTGTGTGCCACCTAAAAAAAAAAATACATTAGATGAATTAAAAAAATCAATGTAAAAAATAATCAAATCTTAGAAGAATATTTTTTTTTGTCAATATTTTCTTAATTTCTTCCAAATAAATTATTATTTTTTTTTAATTCTCTCTTAATTTAGTTACCTGATGGTGCAGGGGTGAGGGTGAAGGTTGAAGTTTTGGCCTTTTCAAGGGTGGTTGAGTTGGACTGTTGAAGACCGTGTCCTCTAGAACATCTTTCTTTTCCTGACCGAACCTAAAATCAAGCGCAAATTAAATACCTGCAGGGTGTCGTTTTTCAAAATCAGAGTGGGCGAATTTTGTTTTTATTTCGGCGCCTCTCTTTATTTGAAAGTGTGGTTTTGTGTGTTCTCGTGCTTACCCTGGGTGGTCTGGGGGAAAGTGGTTGTGGAACTTAAGGGTGGTCGGGGTGGGAGGGTGGTGGTGCAATGGCTTGGCGTGCAGCAGGTACGTCGGAGACGCCACATGCGACCGGCCCAGCGCTCCGTCCCCATTTGAAAGACTACGAGCAGAATAAAGCCAGAATCAGATTTGACTCAACAGAACATGACACAAGTGCATTTTGATGATCAACCACCAAAGTCAATCATTTTCATCACCCATTCTCAAATTTATTTGTTAAATATTATAATTTTGTTAACGAATAATATTTATATATTTTCACATTCAACCCATAAATTTTAATTATAAGACCGCAAAAATTTGAAATAGAGATATTAAATAAAAAAAATCTGTTTCAAAGGTGAGTTTTTGTTTAGATCAGGTAAAATTTTTGACAAAATTAATAATTTTGAAGTATTAATTAATATTATTAAATAATTATTTCATTAATTAATGGGTGATTATTATTTGTGATGGGCACTCTAGCTTTAAATTTAACTGCACTCCTAGCTGAGATTTGCTGAGATTAAAAAAAAACCGACATTACAACAAGTGTTAGTGGCAGGAAACAAGATTAATTGAATTGAGAAAATCCATGTTAATCGGCATGCATTCCAACAAAGAGGCACTCGGCGTTGCGATTGATTAATGAAAAGTTAATCCGTTCCAACTGGCAGGCTTATTAGTAGCTTGAGTGATGAATGATTGACTTGATTGGCCATATAAATAAAATCAATTGCCCATTCTCACCTAGAACTATCCGGGTCGGGATGTCCATAAAAGCCCTGCAGCTCCATCGAGGTCAGCTGAAAGAAAATGTCTTTGAGTACTCGCAGGACGGCGACAATCAATGCAAAGATTTTAAAGAATGTCGCGTGGGCAAAAAGGAGTGAATGCAGAGTGGGTGGGTCAGTTCATTTACCTTATCAATGTCTTCGGCCGGCGAGAAGAGCACCGGAGGCTTCGTCAGGTCGCTCATGCTGTAGAACTCGGAACGCTCACCCGGTGGGTGGTAAAGTTCGTCCAGCTTCTTGCGGCCAGTGGCCGTCATTTTGCGCTTGGCCGCTCGTCGTTCTTCGTCCCGCGTTTTGCGTTCGGCACCCTGTAAGCACAATAAGGGAAAAAAATGCAAATTTTAGAAAATATTGAAATAAGCGAGCACAAATTTTATTTATCATAATGAAATGGTTTCAGATGGAAAAAGTGAAATTTGATGATTTAAAATATTTTAATGCAATTTGATATTTTAAAACATTTTGAAATGAGGAAATTAATAAAATTGTTGGCAAAAAGAATGGTGTGAAAACTGTGAAAATACCACCCGCGCTGAAGGCAAGTTTAGCGGCACAGTATTTTTTTTAAATGCAAGGCGTCCTCTTCTTTTCATTGTGCGTAAGGATACAATTTATTAGATCACATTTTTTTTCAGTCACCTCTAAACAGAGTTATTTTAAAGTAAAATGAAAATAATAAGGGGCTTTACAATAATCAAAATGTTTTGAAAATACATGATTTTTTTACTGAAATTTGAATTGCAATTTTAAGATTTTTAGGTTTAGAAAATTTCAGTCTTTTAAAGAATTGTTATTGGAACTGTCATTGTTGCTAAGATTTAGCAAAAAAATAACCGTAGATTTTTGTACGTTTCAGTAGAATGTTGATTTTTAAATATACAGTTTAAAATTCAGTTTCGGGTCGAAAATTACAGTTAAATTTTAACGTTCAACCAGACAATGCTAGTTTTTTTTTCATCCTGCAGCTGCTAAGTGCTAATTGAATGATTCATATTTTATGCTTGTTCATGTTCAATGACGGTGTTTGCGTTTTTTGCGCAACCCGAGAAGCCGCCTCCGCGCGAACTAGCGAATTCTGCTGCGGCGCTTTTTGCCGAGCAGCACGGATGGAAATAATGATAATGAGCGATATTGCGATTGAAGAGTAATGGTCACATTGTGTGTCGGACAAGTGAATTATTCTGTTGTCACTCGCGGTGACGCTTGAGCGATTCTCTTTCAATGCTGAGCATCCCGCGATCGGTTTTCTGTATACATTTGTATTTATAAAATGCAGCTCTCTCGGGGATCAAAGGCAGTCACGCCTCGATGGCTTCTTCGCAACTTGATCGAATATGTTCGCCGGAGCCGACCGTAATAATTTCAATTTGCGTCTCGCTGGCTGCGCGCACTGCAATTATACACAACTCGTGTCCGTTCGACATTTTAAACTCAATCGAATATATATTAAGACCGTCTGAATGAAACACCCGTCAATTAAAATGTGTATAAAATTTTTTCAAATTATTTTATAACCCCTTCAAATAAATCTTTTTTCTTTTATATTTGTAATAATTTTTTTTTTCATTTGACATAATATAGCGATTCATAGCCTGTATTTTGTAATGTAAATTTATTTTTTGACTTCTTCATTTGAATTTGCTTATATTCTTATCTCATTAATGACCAAAAATTTTCAACTTTCAACGCTTCATAGAAGATTTCAATACTAACCAAAATTATTGCCTATCAATATTTAATTGTTTTAATTTAATTTAAATATGATAATAGAATATACGGAATATACATCATACGACACAATAACTATTGTAAAGCAATAAATTTTAGAATCAGTAAAATAGTAATAAAAACAATAATTAAATATTAATAATAAAAATATTAAACTGAAAAATTGACGTTATAAAATAAAATAATTTATATTTTATTTTTATTTAATAACTAATGAATTTAATGATGGCCATCCAAAAGGCTAACTTGGCCCAGGCTAAATTAGCCTGGCCCGGGCTAATTTAACCCGCCATTGAATTTTACTGGTGGGCTAATTGTAAGTTAGTCCGGGGTCTAAGTTAACTTAACCTGGGCCGGGTTAGGCTTTTTGATCACCCTCAAATATATTACAATTATAATTGTCATATACTAAATGGCAGATCACTCAATTCAGATGAAAAATCGGCATTATTTCAACACAAAGTTCGGTTTACGCTGGGTTTTATTATTAATTTGTTTAAAATAGCTCTCATCAAAGCAGAAACAAATTATCCCTGAGCTGATTTAAAAAATTAATATTTCTTTCTCTTTCTTCAGCTCATTAAATTCCTAAATGAAATTTTAAATTGAAACTTTAATCTTTTTTCATGCAACAATTATACCATTTTAACTGAATTCTCAAATTCTAAATATGTATGTCTTTACCATGGGCATCATAAAGCCTTTGATAAATCTTTTGAGCTGTCACTAACTATCTATTTTTTTAATATCTTTGTCTCCTTTTGATGAATGATAATGCTCATCCGCTGACAATGCGATTTTTCCTCTCGTTGGTTTTTTTCTTCGGCAGATTTATTTTTCTTCGGATTGCACGCCACTCGCACAAATCTTCCTCGGCATTATGCAAATGAGGCTCGCTGGACACTTCCCGCCGTCGGAGAGAAGGAGGGAGGGAGGGAGGCTCGCGCAGTCGCCACCCCTTTGACCACCCTTTCAGCCCCACTGGTCACTCGGGGTCACTACCGAATTTTCCCACACTGCTTTTCTTTTTGTGTATCTGCGCGAAGCTATTCATCTCTCGGTCTTCTCCAACGTTCTTCCTTTTGTGCGCGCGTCCATATTTTTAATGACGCGCATTCAAATCTGCTTGCTCGGGTGAAAAATAAAACACACGGAAAATGAATAAAACGAGAGTCTGAAGAAGAAGAAGAATATAGAACCGGCCGCGACGGGACACACATAATGCCCCTCAAGAGTGCACGCGATGTAAAAGGACACGTAACTGATTTCCTTTTGCGCGCGCTCCAAATGGGCTCGGCGCAAATAATGGCCCGGGCATTAATTTTATCTAGCGTGTACATCACCCGTCCGACAGAAAACTGTTGCTTCAACTGAATTACACGAGACGCGGCGGCTTAGTTAGAAGAGAAGTCTGTTGTATACAATCTCTAATAGTAAAGCCATTCGACAGACTGGTCGTCATCTATCATGAAGGCTGATCACAGCCTCATTTCTGTGTGTGATGCTTTAGATTTTTCATAATCCAACAATGGTCTCTTCATCTTATCGAGTTAAATAATTATAGCTGGGTTACACTAAATATTAAGTAAATATAATCTAAAACAAGACTGCTTTCACGCCTAGATCATTTTCCAACAAAATTATTATTAAGTTAGATATATAAAACCTAAAATTAAAACAGTATACATAATATAACAGTTTGACAAGTCATACATGCAGTATATTAAACAATTAAAATGATTGCAATTTTAAATTATTAAATTAATATATTTTATGTGTTAATAAAATGAAAATAAAATAAGTTAAAATTGAAAGAATTAAAAAATTTATGTTTTGTTTTATAATATTATATTTAACATTTATATACATTTTATGTAAAATTTAAATTTGTTAATGAAAGTTGCACTTTGTGCTGTGTCCTGTACCAAACTTGTTATTCTGTGCATTAAATTGAATAATAAAGTGCACTGGAAATAAATTTTTGTTATTAACTATTGTAATCATACTGTCATCCCGGAAACAAAGCTCTGCTGATAAATAATATATTTGATTCTCCAAATTGATAAAATATTCCAGCAATGTTTTACAACTCCTTTTTCTAAAAGAGCGTTTTTTTTACCCTTCCGAACAACAGGTATGCACTTTTTATTCCTGCACAAATGAACAAGTTGAGGAAGCAGCAGAGTTAAAAAGAGGAAGGGACACACCTTGCGCTGGATATGTATCATAGAGGAACGCAGAGAATAAAAGAAATAATAAAGCGAGAGAGATGCCTTTTGCGTAGTCCCGCGAGCTCCCTTTTTTGCCTCTGCCGCTGATCATCTGCAGCGCGCATGCAAATGAGCCGACGTGTGTGCAGCGCGACAATGAAAGGAGGCAAGAAGAAAAAATGAAAAGATGCAGAGAGGCGAAGTAATAACAATAATACCAGACTCGCGGCACTCGCGGCAAAAAACGCAACAATTAATTTAGAACGTGGCCCTTTTTTAACCTATCTCACGACCTCGCGACGCGAAAAAAACAACACGCTGCCGCCATGTGTAAAGAGATGCTGCTCGTTTTTGCTCTCGGACCCTTACGCTCAGATCAGCAGCTGACCGAAGGCGAAATCCTCAAGTACATGGTTTAAGTGCGAGGTTGGTTCAACTTCATTGCAAGAAGAGTTATATATTTTATTTGGATTTTACTGCCCATTATTTTCAGTTTCGGCAACGCATATTTGATTTACGAGGAAATAAAAATGATTATTTATTTGGCAAATTGTAAATTTATGTGAGAGAAAGGTATAACCGTGAGAAATAAAATGAAAGACATTAATGGGAATTAACAAATGAAATGACTAAAAAATCCATCTCTGTCTTTTTTTCACAAATTAAAATAAATCACGTAAAATTTCCTCTGCTTTCATTTTAATATATTTTCTGTGATGAAGAATAGAAAAGGGAAACAAACAAAGAAAAAATTGACTCATATGTATTACATATTAATTATTTAAGGATGAGATTTCAAGTTTGAATTCTACTCTACATTAAAGAATTTTAAGAAATTCCTTAAATATAACAATGTGTGCAATGTTATAAATAGTGGCCAAGCAAGAAAAATTTAACCAACCTCAAATCTCTGCTAAAGTGCATTAAAAAAGCCTTTTTCTATAAAAAAAAGTGCCTGTTAAGGTTCAAATTTTAGTTGTAAAAGTACCAAATAAAGTCGTTTTGAAGCAAATATTGTCAAAATCGAACAAAAATATCAAAATTATATTTGAAAGAAATTTTTATTTCACATATGAAACACGGTTAAAAATTTTTCTGCTTTCTTTTCTTTTATCCTCTTTTGCAAACTGTCTACCGAAAATTTATCATTTTAGCTGGCAATCAATTGAAATGTCTGGATGTTAATTATTTTCATATCACTTCTGTAGCCAAAATTTCGCCTCGTAATTGGCGGTTTCCTGTTTATTTTATATGTTTACAAAATATTCCACACGGCCGAACTGTAATAAATGTATCTCTTTTACACACTATTTCACTGAGGCAATTTTCACATTAATAATAAATTCGGCGTGTGTGCAAAATAATCAATGACACGCCGCAAGAGATAAGAGAAACGAACGACCTTTCTTTATACAAAACGCTTTTGACACCTGTCGCCTCGCGTTTTGTTGCCGAAAAAGACAAGAACGACCTTTTGCAACACAAGTTTTAATTAAGGAGGCATCCGATCAGATAAATTCCGTCGAAAATTTATGTCCGAGAGACTGCTTTGCATCGGCACTTTCAATTTAAGCGTGCTTAATTGCAAATTACACCTCTTTCGAGACTTTTATTTTCCCGGCGCTATCAATCGCTGCAATCATGCGCGCAAAAATTCTTTCTTCCTTCAGATCCCGATTTTTAATTTTATCATTCAATAAAAACGACACTTGCAGAAAAAAATTCAATACGGAATTAGCTCATTACGCGCCGAGAAGCGTGTAAATTTTTACGATCTTGTTCGCTGCAATTACTTCAATCGGAGCAAATTCGCAACATGCTGCCGACGTACGCGACGAAAACTCGCTTCGATATTCGCCGCGGGTTACACTCGATTCATTAATTTGGTGCAAACAATTGCGAGGCCAAGGTCTTTTCTCGTCGTTAATTGAAAATATACTAATAAGGTTGATGCGTCGAATCCCGTTTTTCGTCTCAGAAAGGGCATAGACTTTAGTTGTAGCGGGTAAAAGCTGGTCAGTTATAATGATGAATAAAATGGATTGCATGGATATCTAATGGAGACTGAAAGAAATTTAAATATTCCAGTAAACTCATCGACTCAAACAAATTCAATTTAATTAAAGATTTGAACAAATAAACAACAATAAAAATGTGCAAATTTTATGGACATGAAATTAGAATGGAAAAATTAATATATGTTTCTTATAAATGTAAAAAGTAAAAATAAAAAAATTTAATTTAAAATTAAAAATAAGACGTATTTTTATATTATTGTAAATCTTATTGGTTTCTATTGTTTTCTAAAATAAATAAAACTAATAAATATGATATAATTTCTTTCCTTTTATCTAGATAATGTAAATAAAATTTGAAATATAGTAATAAAAATATGTAAAAAAAATAAAAGTCACAAATCCTCCTAAACGGTAAATTTGTGAAGAAAAAAAGAAGAGCAAGAATTCAATCGTCGAAATTCCGCACATTTTTACTACACTAAAAAAGGCCAGGATTGGGAGCATCTCAAAATCAGGGGCTAACGACTTACAAGTACAAATCAAAACAAATCTCGTGTGGAAAGCTCCATTTCTAACGGAACTGTCAGGGCTGCGAGTTCAGCCATAAATACGAGAAAAAGCCCAACAAGGCGTATATTTATCAAGCAGGGCTCAATCGATTCTTATATTAATTTATTTGCTTATTTATTATTTGTTTAGTGCGCGCGGCCCACTGCTTCCCATGAGCGAGCCGCGTTCAATTAAAAAACTACTCTGATGGCTGCCGAGATAAAACATCCAACTCAGCAGGACCATTCATTTATATTTTATATTCTCTCTCTCTCTCTCTTCTACATGTGGCTATAGAGAAAATATAGAAATGGAGTTTGCGTGTAACTGTCAAGCGACCGGGAATATTACACGGCTAAATATTATCGCTAATAGACAGCCGCGCACGGTTGAATTGCGAAATCCGATTTATAAAATTGCTCGGGCCGTGCATTAAAATTGCTAATTTAAGCGTGTGTGTCTCTCTCGGCGCGCCGTAATTGCGAATTTTATGAAGTACACATCAGCTGGACGAAAATCCTAAGTGGAAAGTCGCAGCGTAATCGATAAGGACGCTTTCTTCAAAGAAGAAGAGAAGATTCGCGTAACTGTTAATGCATATAAAAGCAACACAATTGGAATTTTCGAAAAAATAAAAATTACATAATCTTAATTTCTTCAAATCTGACTTGCAACACGGTTCTAGCATTTCATAATTTTGATTAAATAACTAATCAAATAAATTGATAATAATTTTTTTTAGATTAAAATTAAATTGCATCTCTCCAAAATTAACGTAATACATTGTTTTCACTTCATCTTTGAAAATGATATGATTTGATTTGATTTAAATCTTATCAAAAGTCTATCCATAAATTTATCATTTTCATGAACTATGTTAAAATATAAATGTATTAATTTATTCGAGAGTTTAAATTTTTTTGAATCAAATTTGAAATTATTGCAGACCTGGTTCAAAAATCGTACGGAACTGGTGCAGAACCGGGTCTAGCTGTCCTGCATCAGTTCTACACCATTTATGCACCAGTTCGGAAGCAGATCTGAACCAGGGGTCTAATTCTGTCAGATAGAATGGTTCAATTTCCATAAAATATCATTTTCATGGATACATATTAATATATAAATAAATATTTTTATTAAATTTTTTCAAGAATTTAAATTTTTTTTTGTATCAAATTTGGAATTAACGCTGACCTGGTTCAAAAATCGTACGGAACTGGTGCAGAACCGGGTCTAGTTGTCCGGCATCAGTTCTACACCATTTATGCACCAGTTCGGAAGCAGATCTGAACCAGGGGTCTAATTCTGTCAGATAGAATGGTTCAATTTCCATAAAATATCATTTTCATGGATACATATTAATATATAAATAAATATTTTTATTAAAATTTTTCAAGAATTTAAATTTTTTTGTATCAAATTTGGAATTATTGCAGACCTGGTTCAAAAATCGTACGGAACTGGTGCAGAACCGGGTCTAGCTGTCCTGCATCAGTTCTACACCATTTATGCACCAGTTCGGAAGCAGATCTGAACCAGGGGTCTAATTCTGTCAGATAGAATGGTTCAATTTCCATAAAATATCATTTTCATGGATACATATTAATATAAAAATAAATAAAGTTTTAAATTTAATGTAATTATAAATTAAAGTTCGGCACTGACCTTATCACAAAAGACTTTGATCTGGGAATATCCTCTGTGGGCAACCGGTCCGTCCCTCGGGTCTTCGTAGGTGTCGATCTGCAAGTGCAACGGCAGGCCCTGTGAACCGAAGGAAAAAACTGGCCGTCAAGAGGAGAACAGCTACTTTATAGAAGCCAATTAACAAAATAAAACAAAGCACGTCCCTCGGATTTAAATTATATTCAGCAGGCTGAGGAGGACGCAAAAAGCGGCCAACCCGGCTGAATATTTGGCCCTAATTGGTCGGCCCTGCTTGGCGAACAATCGCCCGCGAAACACAGCCGAGATTAATTAAATAGAGAAAAAGTCCATAAATAAAAGAAGAAGGGGAGGAAAAAATATACATGGTGGACGACGAGAGGTGAATCAGAATTACAACCGACCCAATTAGCGATTAAAATATACATTATAACGGAAATAATTATTTTGTTCATTCTTCTCGGAACGACTTTTGTGGTGAATTAGAAAGGAGTTTCGCGAACGGAGACGAGCTGCAAAAAATTCCATAAGCTTGTTAGTATGGAGGAGTCGAGAAGAATAAGCAATTGGCTTTGAAGAGCATCTTTAGCCAAAGTTATTTTTTTTTTTGCTTCATCTCCGAACTCAGGAAAGATAAGAATTGGACGAGTGGGAAGTTGTTTCATTTTAATATAACTGTTGCGAAATTATATATTCCGTCTCGTTCAATTTGATACGCATGCACGCGTTAGAAATTAAGCTCTTGGGTACACCAACGTTACGCGATGGCCCCGAGATAAGAAAAAGGACAGAGAGGCACGCATGCATGCAATCTCCTGCTCCGGCGTCAAACTTTCATCGAAATTCAATATCTCAGCTGACAAAAATTTCGCTTTCTCCTTGACGACAGTGAACCCTTTCTTTGTCGCCAGCAAACTTTTCTTCCTTTCGAAAGACGCCCAGAAAATAAAAATATGAAATAAACCCTTTGATCGAAACCCGCCCTTTTCTGCCGCCGTTGTGTACGATTCAATTAGTGATTAGGATTATCACTTGATTGATCAGCTAATTGCCGCCGATCGCAGCCACAAGGAAGAGGGTTAAAAATAATTGCCGGTTTCAAGACTCACCTTGACGCCTTTCTGACTGCTGAAGTCCGTGCTCAGGCACTGAACGGCCACGTTGATCTGAAACGAAATCACAGCCGTAATCAAAATTCTCGCGTGAGAGGGGAAATTTACATCGACTATTAAAAAATTTATGGGGTTTCATAATGGGTTTTATGAACCAGCGCTAATTTCCTTTGATTTATTACAGACAACACGCCACAGCATTGAAGGATTCTGCTTTAAATGAGAAGAAGATTGTATTTTTGCTCTTTGCATTGGCTAAATTGTATTAATTTAATTTTTTGCTTACAAAATAATCTTATTGACTATTAGTAAGTTGTTTACTAGAGCTGGCTGCCAAATCTCTTTTCAATGTGATAATTAAAAAAAAACCCTTGACCTGTAGTGAAAAACTAAACAAATTGAATTTAATAAAATTTAGTTTAAAAATACATATTATTGTATTTTTATAGTTTTATTTTGATTTTTTTTCTTTTTACTTTTTACGTCTTATTTATCATTATTAAAAGTAATTAATGATTAATGGCTCTCATTAGCCTAAGAGTGGTAAGAATGTTTGGCATGAAAGAATTATTCACATTTTAATTGTTCTTTGTACTTTTCTCATTTTAATCAAAAAATAATTTAAAAGAAGCTTTCAATGATCTTTAAGATGGATTGTTTTCGGTATAAACCGATTTTCATTAGATTATTTTGTCTCCACATCAAACAATAATGACATTTTCATAAATAAATTTAAAAATACCTCTGATTAAGTTAGAAAAAATTAAAAATAAAGGACAACTAACTTTATCATAAAATTTACAATTTAATTTAAGAACATCGTTTTGGTATACAGAAGATTTTGGTACTTCTTACAGTGTGAGACCTGCTACATTAAAGTTAAATTAAGTAAAGTAATCTTATTTTCAACTGTAATAGAAACTTTATGAGAATTCCTGCACATTTTTTTTTTTCAAATATTGTGAGAAAATGCGTGCGCATTAAAGTGGCCGCGCTCGTTTCTCGCTAAAACGTCGTAATAAGGCACATTTTCGCACCAAGAGAGCGCGAGCCGCGGAATCCTGTTTCATAATTCCGGCGAGCACGTGGAGCATGCAAATGGAATAAAATAATAATGTGTGTTAAACAAGAAGTCTTGTTTTGCCGAGAGATGTACAAACACACCGGGCGCTCACTTGGCAAACCTGATTTTCTGCTCCAGATCAGGTGGCTGCGTGACCCCTGACCCAAAACAAACTCCTACCAGTCTTTCTTCCTCCCATGCGCTCCGTGCGTGCTCTTTTTTCGTTCTTTCCGCCGGGCCGTTTTCCGCCAATTAAAAATGTTACAGCAAAAAACATCAACCTTGGTTTTCTCGCTCGACGCAGAGACGCCTTTGTTTTCCAATCATAATTACGTATTATTCATCCAGTGCAGAAGAGGAATTTTATAATAATCACCAGACGCACTGCTCGCGGACCCACCGGTGGAGAAAAATCATGTAATTGGCGGTTTGCTCGACAGCCGAGCGAAAAGAGCGCATAATATGGGCAAACGAACGGAGCGCACAGAGACGACCTCTGAGGTCGCTCCCAAAGCATTACGCAAACAGGTAGTAAAATGAGTTGTGCTCCTGGAAACTCGCCAAAAGGAAAATGTGCCGTTAATGAATATACGGCTCGATTTAATTACTACGTTGGATGAATTAAAAAGAGAGAGAGGGACGATTAACTAAAAACAACTTGAAGAAATCAAGTCACGAGGACAAGCCGTGGTTATGTTGTCGGAAGATTTAAATAAATACAAATTTACACACTTGAGATGAGGTTTTGGAAAACCCAAGTGGGGAAAATAGTCACTTTTCCCCAAAAAAGTGTACCAGCTTTTTGAAAATGTACATGTATAGTAGTCAATGGAAAAAATATGGCTATTTTAATTTTATTTCAATTCAAGCAAATTTTATTCAAATAACCCATTTACCTGTTGTTTGTTGTAAAATATGGGAAATATGGAAAAATATTGCCATACTACAAAATTCTGCTAAAAAAATTAGGCAAAAAAATGAAAATAAAATCAAAAGATTAATTTCAAAAGATTGAGTAAAACTTATAAAAAGTCATTTTTGGTCTCAATACTGAAACCAGAGAGACAAAATGACTGTGAAGATTAGAATGAATTTTGAACCAAATTTATATAATCTCAAATATCCTATTCATAATTAAAATTGACTTTTACAACATTATCAAAATGAATAATTTCAAAGAAAATAATTCAATTATTAAACCACAAAGTTTTTACACAGCTCCGAAGTAAATTGTTTGCAAAAGAAAATTTAAACAAACTCACCTTTGCCGAAGACTCGTGCGGATTCCAATAGACGGCGATCGCGTTGTGCGCAACCTCTTCTATCACTCCGACCAGTCCGACGCTGTTCTTCGTGTCTGCAATCAAACAAAACCGTCGTTACAACTAACAAGTGGACGATGATTCGGCGTTAATCGTAAACACCAAGTCGAATTTTCGCCGCTGACAAGCACCGCAAATTAACAGTTCCGCAGACGAAGCGAAAATTAATCACCATTTTAATGCATCAAATAGGCGGTCTGTGTGTGTTTTTAAGTGCGCCGCCATTAATTGCTCGCGCCTCTCACATTTCCATCGGATTATATTATTTGGCGAGAGCCAGAGAGGTTGTTAAATTTATTAAACAAAAATATATGTAAGCGTTTGAATTACGCCAAGTGTGCATTTAGCGGAAAGGTCACATGCTTGTTTTCGGGTCGCATATTTTATTTTGAATGAGAAAATCAGGTGTCGTGCAGCGGTGCAATAAATTTTTGTACTTTTGTAGAAAGCAAGAATAAAGTTTTTTTTTTATCTCGCAAATGCTGATTTATTCGCGAGCTGCACGGATGAAATTCCTCTTCCCTCTCTCCGGAGACTCCGCAATTAATTGTCCCAATTGCTTGTTTGTACCAAAAGATGTAAATCTCGTGCAGGTGCGTGGAATTTAAGATTGGAAATTTATGCACGAATTACGCATGCAAAAGTTAGTTTTTCAGCCGACGCAATAAATTCTCAAATTGCGGGCAATTACCGGCTGGGCGCGAGCTATGCATAAAACCGTCAACAAAATACACATCAGATTGTAAATAAATGGGCAGAAGTGAGATGGAAATCGGATTCGAGAGAGTCATGATCGCCGATGATTGATATTTCACGCTCGGCCGCGTTTACTGTTCGGTTTTTGCAGCCAAATGACCTCATCGGTCGTCGCTTCGTCGGGGGAGGCGAAACGCACAACATACCATTTATTAATGATAAAAAGCTACATTGTAATTTAGCGATGTAAATCAATCGGCGGGACAGCAATATTTATAATTACAAACCCGCGCGTCGTTTATTCGAGTTGCATCTCGCGGGGAGAGTTGTAAGGAGGCATTGCGCTCATTTCGAATCGCAATTGGAGATTTTATCTCAGGCTTTGCTGACCGATGTGGGTTCTGCAAATTACGTTTCATTCGCAAGGATTGCTGCTTCCTGTGGCTAGCTTTCTATCAATTAGGGGCGTTACGATGCGGAATATACAAATATCATTTATAATATATAAGACTCAGTTTAAAAGGTTAAAAAGAAGAAATCTTTTTGTACATTGAATGGTAAATAAAAAAATTAAAATACTATGAAAATCAAGAATACAATTACTGTTTGTTTGTTGAAGTTTCAGTATATTTGTTGATTGATCGATGTTTAAATAAAAAATATGGATTCATGCTTGTATTAATGTTTATTTTTTATAGATTCAATATTTGGAAGGTGGTGAAAATCTTCTCTTAATTGATAATTGCAGAGTAAGATATATGTTGTTATGAATATTTTTATAACTGAAACGATTAACTAAACGATTCGTCACAATAGAAATGTACATAATTTTCGTAAAGAAATTTGATTATTGAAAGAATCTAATACTCGAGAATATTTATAAAGTTTCCCAAAAAACTAATTTAAGTTTCATTAGCACTTGATTTGTGAAGAATAAACAACAAAAATGATAAAAGTAGAAAAATTTTGTTTTTTAACTAGATTATAAATAAAAAAGCTTTTTATTATATGAAAAAATATTGAAGCTAAAAATATTTTTGTAAACTTACAATTTTGTAAACATATTTTGCTTGACATTATGTTAAGCTTTAGATTTAAGAAAATTTTGTGAGCCAAAAATCACTGATTAAATTACAAATTTTCAGCTACATAAATACTTTTTTAAACAAACTAGAAAAAAAATCCCAAATTATTTAATTCTTTACGATTCTTTATATATTCATAATTAATACATACTTAAGAACCGAAGATTACAAGTCTTATTACAATTCACATTGGCCATTTGGCGCGTTGTTCATGAATTTGATCCCACCTTTCCCTCACTGCGCATACTGAAATAATTCATATATTAAACCCTTATTATAATCCATAAAAATGAAAAGCGATCAAAAACATTTTTGAACTTGCGGCAAGGAGTGAGCAATTTGCGCTAATTGCGCGTGATATAGTCAATTATTATATTTTTCCGCGGCCGATTTGCCTCGCTGGAACGACGGACGAAGTATAATTGCGCATAATAAGATTATTTCAGACCCGGAGCGAAAAATATAATTTCGAAGAGAGGGTCTTCGACCTGGCGCGGCGCGGCCCAACTCTGGGGCCTCGGAAGGGCCCTGCGAGCGAACCAACCGCACGAAACGAGAATAAAATCGCGTGAAACCTGAGTCTCGGCGGAGAACTGCGGCTGGCTGGACGCGCGGATAGAGTTTCACGCGGGGAGATCGCGCACCCAGATATCCGCTTTCAACCAAAATGCTGCCGCGCACCAGCCGAACGTGCGTTTCTGTGTTACTTGTGCACGCCTGCCCCGCGTGTCTCTTTAGTTATAGTCCTTTATTTATTTTTTCCCTCTCATTTAGTTGAGATTTTCGCTCGCCTCGGGCACAACTCAACAGGTCAACACTCTTATGGATAGGCAAGCAAAGGTCACACTCTGTCCGAACAGTGGGGAGGCGCCGGCAAAAAAAAAAAAAAATGTATTAGACTTGGAAGTTTAGTGGTCTGTGCTAAAAATATTAACCACGGATCATAAATTTGTTTGCGAGAGTGAAATAGAGTTTGAGGTTTTGTGAAATAGAAAAGGTAGAAAATATTTTGAAAAACAAGATTGGATGAATTTAGTGGACTTACAAGTGGGCAAAATTAAGTACAATTCAAGGGAATTTAAAAGTGAATTTGCTTGAATTTGATTGAATGTTTACTTGTTTGTTTTAAATTATAATTTGGCTTTTTAAATGCTCTTAAAATCAAATATCACAAGTATTTAGCTACTTCAGACGCAGTTGAATAAAGTCTTTTTAACAATGGCAGTTTTTATTTTGCTAATTGATGGTCAAGAATAGCAAAAAATGTCCGGAATTTTTGTAAGGATTTATTTGACTTTAAATATACTTATTAAGCTTGATGTGGCTAAAATTTACAATATTCTTTCAATAATCATAAGAATTGACTCTTTAATTGTTGAAAAAATTGATTTGATTAATTTAAAATAAAATTTCTATATTAATTTTGTAAATTTTAATTGTTCCAGAAATGAAATAAATTGGCAAAACTTCTTTAAACCTTTTTCGAAATTAGAAACTTTTCTATAAAACAGCAAACTTTACTAATTAGATGGATAAAAAAAATTTTAGCCTCCAAATTACAAATAAAATGTGTGAAAAATGAGGTTTAATTAAAAAAAGACCATCTCAAAAAACTTATATATATTTTTTGGCTAGCAAAAAGTAGAAGCAACAAGATAATTGTTTACGTTTTTTGTGTCCTTTCAGGTGTTAGATTAATTTTCGCCAGTCGTAAAAGCGTACAGAGCAATTATCCTCTCTCGTGCTTGCTAAGTTTTCGCGAGCACTTCCGTTGATCTCTCGCGTGCTTGTTGATTGCACTCTGCATAATTCTCCTTGTCGGCGTGAAAAAGAGCCTCAAAGCAAAAGGACAGCAAATGTAAAATCTATTTATTTGCTTGAAGCAAGTTCAACGAACTAGACCGAAAATTCGGCGCGACAGAGGCAGATTATAATTTTGTTCTCAGTCAGGCGCGAAATAACTCTCGGGGAATATTTACAAATAAATCTCGCGAGAGAGATAAGTAGTGACGTATTTTATGTACACCTTAAAAGTAGTTTGTGTTTTTAATCCCACACATATTCGGTCTAATCTCCGTTGCGCGCAGCGTTCTTAATTCGCCTCTGCATCAATTTTAATTCCCCCTCTTTTGGCAAATCCGCTCTCGAAAGACGGACGTGCGTCGATTACAGGAAAGAAGAAGAAGAAGTTTTTATCAGCGGTTTTCTTTTGATAAGATCAGGGCACACGCCCATGACTTGACCCTTGACTCACCTGCGTCCAGGATGCGTTGCTTGACGCTGTGTTGGCGGCTGTGCCAGAATTGCCACGCTTTGATTTCGTCCTCGGGACTCTTTTCTTCGCGGAACATCAGCATCACCACGCTCTGAAACACAAGATTTCGTCTAGATTAGAATCTGCATGGAAATGTGAGGATTCACACTTTGCTACCATCTTAAAGTCATGTAATAAAAAATTAAACGAGAAAATTAGGCAAAAAGTTTTGACACGAAGAAAATACTTTGAAATTTTGGTTCATATAATGAGCAAATTATGCAAACTTTTTTACAGCAAGTCACATAAGATTTTAATTAATTTCTTAGATTGCTTGATAATTTGTTTGTTTAAATTGAACAGTTAAGTATTTCATATTGTAAAAGTATTTAATTTTGTTTTAATCTATCATCCATATATAAATTCAAGTTTAATATTCTCATAAATTTGTTTCGTAGCTAGAAAATTTAAAAGTTTCTTGGTTTTCTTTGTCAATTCCTCCAAAAAAATTAAATATTGAAATAATTTTTACGAATTTTTACATTTAATTAGTGGAAGGAAATCGTTAAAAATCTTTTTATGCAAGTCTGGCACCGATTTAGTTGCAGCACAAGACCATTTTCGGACCAAAAATCGATTCCCACGCTGCACGTTTCCCATTATCCAAAGATAGCCGCCGGAGAAATGTCGCTTTTCCCGAGTTTCGCGGAATTTTCTCAAATAACAATCAAGATCGCACGCTCACAAAAAAGCGCGGCTGCATTTATGGATGAAGAGCGAGCGATCGATTATCGATTCAGGTCCAGCCGCGGCCGTGATGTTTGCGTCTTTTCAGTTAATTATTCCCTGCACTTATGCCGCGGCCGCTATTTCGTATTCGCGGCACGAGAACCGCTCTTTTTCAGCTCTATTGGACGATTTTTACGCGGCACCTGCACACAGCCGTGGCCAAATATGGCGCGCCAAAGGACGCGCAATGAGACGGATTAAATGGAGAAAAATCCTCGTCTTTGCGTTAATCCCTCACTTTTAGACGAAAGGTTTTTAATTACAAAGAGATGCAAGGTTCTTTTTCTCACCTGGCTGATAAATTATGCATGAGACTTGCTGCAATTCTCGCTGTTAATTGAGACACCCTTTCCTGTCTTGATAACAATTGTTTGAGAGCGCAATTGCTCGCCACTTTGTTAATAGAAAACAAAAAGAGCGGCTGCTGCTGGAAGTTGGCAATTATAAAAATTGCCAAGTAAATAAATTTCAAGTTGATACGCGTGAAAATGTCGAGTTGTGAAAGGACTTTTTAAGAGCGCCGAATGTACACTTTGAATCGTCGGGGTAACACGCGCCTTAAATCACTCGGGTCGACAGTGCGGGCCGAATGTGAAAGTCAACAAAGATAAACGCGGCTGCTGAAAAAGAGCACATTCCGTTGCGCACTGTGACAAGAATTCCGCCCACTTTTCGGCGAACGCGATTTTTTATTTATTGCCCCATTACGCGCACATAATTATATGCGAGAGTCCGAAATGTTTGAAACGGTTCACTTCATTCATTCGTTAATGTCGCGCACTTTTCATTAAAATTGTTGCAAAATGTATTTAGTAAAGCTGAGAACTTCCGGCAAGTCTTGACGAAAGTGGCAGCTGGACATGATTTCATTCTCGTCGACGTACATTTGTGAGACGGTAAAATCCTTTTTCGAATATTAAAATTCTTGAATATTTTGTTCTGTTCTATTGCAATGCCTTGTATTTTTAGTGAGGAGAAAGTATGAAAATAATTTATTGATATGTTATTTCATCATTAATATTTGTCTGTGGTGAATTGAACTAGAAATTGGCTTTACCTCGATTTTAAAGTCAATTCACAGGCAAAAATATCGGCTGTAAAAACCAATCGTTTGTATTAATTAATATAACAAACAATTCAGAGATCTTGAAACTGTAGAATTATGCTATGCAATTATACTCTTCCCATCTCCCATTTTTAGTTAAAACAAATTTTGTAATAAAAAGTAATATATTATTGAGAGTAAATAAACGATTCAATTTGGAAGTAAACACGCGAAACTCGAGAGATATTGTTTATTAGAATTCAGTGTGATGAGAAAGCACACAAAAATTTATAATTTTATATTACTTATTTAAAAACGTCAATCTGCTTTACCGATTACATAAACAAAATTTTTATAAAAAGTCTTTTATAAATACATAATAAATTTTACAAAATAAAATATAAATTATTTTAATAATTAAATCACCACGACAAATTACATGTAAAATGATAATTTTCTAGCATTGTTAAAAATTTAAAATGGTAATGCTTTAATTTTAATTACATGTCGCTTTGCAGTTCTTTCAACTTTTTGAGATTGGCTTGGAAACTAGTTTAAAGCAAATTTTTATTTGGACGTATTATTATGTATTAAGAGCAGAGATTACGAGCAAAAACTCGGCGAATTTTAAGCGTATATAAAAGAGTTGTCAATCGGGGCGAGTCGCCAATCCGGAAAATCACGTGTCATCTTTCTTCAAAAGCGCCGTGTATGTCGCTCGGCGCAATTACCATATTCTTATATACATAGAGCAAAGGTGCTCCAATTATCGGCCTCGTCCACTCGGATTTCTGCGAGTTTTTGCTGCGAGTTTACAGTTATTTTGCGGTGACCATATCAGCGCGGGGCTGGGTCACTGCGGGGCAAACTTGTTTGGCAGCATTATTCAAATTGGAGAGGAGACTCTCTCGCCGGGCGGCAAATCAGGCGCCCGAATCTCCAAGCAAAAACACGCGAATATTGGAAAGACCTAATTGGACACCACATGCATGCAAAAATGAAATAAATTAACCGAAAATACCTCCGAAAAATATTAGTTTGTTTGCTAGAAAAAACATAAGTTTTGTTTTATTTTTGAAAAATCTAGAAGGGATAAATTTTATTTTGAAATTCAATTAGAAATTTCTCCAGAGAGAGATGATGGATGTTCCAATATAGCGGATAACGTACTTTAATAAAGTCGTGCTGGTTTCTATCGCTCGGAGATGCAATTAGCTGCACACCGAGAGTGTCGGTCGGTAATAACGCGAATAATTAGTGTGTGGCGGCGGATATCTAATTGAGAGAGGCGGACGAAGTAAATGGACATAAATTTATTCAATAAAGCCAGTGTCGCGGTCAAGAGGTCACAATCAGTCTTGCGCAAGAACCCCACACACATATGTATAATTATAAAATAAATAATCAGCAAATTGCTCATCGGCGGAAGAAAACACGCATATCTAATTCGCATTCATGACATAAATTGCGCCGAGCAAAGATTTTGACAGTACTTTCTCAACAGTCCATAAATCAACAGAAAAGTTTTATTTATTAACATATAAAAAGTTGCGAAAGGACTTGTAAAAATATATAACATTGCTCGAAATTCTATACTTTAACGATTTTATTTTTATTGCTCTAATAAAATTGCTGGACCGAATCGTGATTTCCGGATCCATTCAAGCTTAGGAGTGTTTTTTTTTTAATCATCAGTTTGGTTATTTTGAAGATGGAATCAATTAGAAAAGTTTTTGGAGGGCCGGCGGGGCAACGGCGCGCGCATTAAGATGATGAATAAACGATTGGGTCGCTAAATGATGGGCTTCTTCACGCTCGGTTTCCAGCCCAAATCATGCAGCCTCGGGACAAAGCAGATTAAAAAATTGTTATTAGAACGGCGAGTGTTTAACAAGAAAAATCGCTTTCGCGCCGCTAATTTGATATGGAGGTCGCTTCTGCCAAGCCGTTCCCGTTTGCGAAAAAAAAAAATGAGATGCCCTGTCATGCAAAATAGTTATGATTATAACTTTGAAATTTGTCAGATGTGAAATCTATTAGGTGAAAAATGGGTGTTTATTCTGTTAGAAGAACTAGCTCTGGGGGCTTTGCAATTCAGATAGAACGGGACGCCGCAATATGAAGACATAAATCTAAACGATAATTGGATTTTTTTCTCCCCGAAGATAGCGGATCGTCCTACGAATTTAATTTAGCCATAATTTAACTATCGGAATTTTTATTATACCCTGCTTCCATTATTGATTTGACCAGAGTTAGGTGTGCTCGATTGCAAATTTCCTCCAAGCCTACAATTATAAAAAAGTATATGCGAGATTATTTATGGAAAGTGTTCTTCATCTCACAATCTGCAGCAATAGAGTAAAAGTGAGCAATTCGAGTGTCCGGCGGCGAGACTCGGGATACAAAATGCATTCTTTTATGGCCTGGGTGTGTAATTGCTCGAAATGCACTCACGCATGTTCGACTTTCCCACAACACACATGCAGAGATGTAAATAATAAATAATATAAACGCGCGGGCCCCTCTCTCACTCTTTATATATTCTTTGCTCTATGCTTTTCGCGTTTTTTCTCTATGAGCGCGCATGCAATTACCCGCGCTGCCGCTCATTTGCATACGGCCTGCTGCTGCTGCAATTTTATTCATTTACTTATTTATGCTCACCCCAAGGCCAAACGGAAAATTCTCTCATAATATTTCCACATTAACGCCTTGGCTCCGAGCGAACTAACCCTTTTGCGCACAGAGATTGTTATAATTATTAAAATCATGCGCTGTAGTTTGCTCGCCGCACGGCTTCCTTCCGTTTGATATTTATTCCGTAACAAGCCGCTAATTGGGTACCCCCTTTAATTACCATGGCGATGCTATTTTTAAAGCAAACTAGCACTTTGTTTAAAACTGCTTCTAATGAATTTAAGCTGAATATATAATTAATTTTAACGTCAATTTGAATTTTTTTTTCATTACAAGAGAGAGATTATGCAATCCGCGAGACTACAATGCAAAGTAAATGAGAGTGGTAAAAAAAAAAAAAATTTGATGGAGTAAAATCTTGATTTGAAACTAAAAAAATATGAGTCACATACTGAATAATAACAAAAAATAAATGTCGTGTGCTTAGATTTTATTTTATTTGAATTTAATCTGATTTTTTTTACTAGAGACATTAAAACGCAAAAATTTGTGTTAATTTAACTTAAAACAGTTTAATTAGAGGAGCTAAATCACTGCTGACAATCAAACCTTTTAATAATTAGAGTTAAATCTTACCTAATAATTTAGAATTAAAATAATTGAAACTTGTACTTTTGTTTCGGAATGATATGCATAATAATAAAAAAATTAGTTACCAAAGATTGATTACTTTTCCTGGTAAAATAAATTGCATAAAATAAGGTATTTCAATTTCATGACTTGGATTTGAACCAAATTTTCACTAAATTCAATAAGAAAATTAAATACTAAGTAAAATAATGCATTGAAATAGGTTTTTGAAAAAGTCATTCTTCTTATACAAAAAATATCGACAATTGTCACAATTTTTGAATATTCCTTTCTTTTCTCCCGAGTTAATTAAAATTCTTTTTGCTTCGCTAATTGAGGTTCAAAATTTATGCAAAGAGTCTGATATAGTCTCTTTTTGATCTGAGTCTCAAGGCTGCGCGCATAATCTCGCGATAAAATGGGACCTTACCTTGACAGTTTGGAACTTGATGGCCGACTCAGGGTCAGGCAGGTACTCGAGGGTGATTCCGTAAAACTGGCCCTTGTTGATGTAGGTGATTCTGTCGTCCTCGCGGCGCTGACTCGTCGAGATCGGCGTTTCCAAGAAGTAACGGAAACCGTACTGTGAGAATCTGTGCAAACAAAAATTACATAATCGCGTTAGAAATAAATTTATATCACATCTTCTATAATGGCCAAACACGACCAGCAATTAAGAATAGACGCTACCTTAATTAATCAAGCACCTTATCTACTCGCATTAAACTGCCCCATTTAAATTCATTATGCAAATAAATTTCGGCGAAAATCAGCACAGGTGATCTCCGAGACAGCGACATTTTCTCATTTCCAACACGACCATTTGGAATTGATAAAATGTGTGTGGCTTCCCAGAGGCCGGTCGCATTAATTTCTAACGAGCTTCGCAATTATTGCCCACTCCGAGTTATATACGATCGGGTTTCGACTTCTTGAGCCGATTTATATAAATTTCATATCTGTCGAAAAGAGCTGCTGTCTAATGGGTGACGCACATTAAATAAATCCGCCTCTCATTTTGAATTTTTTTAAGTGTCGCTGAAAGGTGCTATTAGTTTTTTCCAATTCCATTACAATTTCACCTGGCGGCTGCAATAATAAAATCATACAAAATTTTTTACTTGCTCACTTATACATTTTATTGCCGCACTCTAATTGAACTGCTCGCTTGACCAAAAGTTTGATCTAACTGTAAAAAGGGGCACTCTTTCTCATTTGCATTTTGCGAGAGCCGGTCGAGTGTCCACGCGAGATTTCTTTCTCTCATTTCGTCCGCCATTAAAAGTAGAGCAGCGAATTTACAATTGCAAATCGCAGAGCGACGCACGGCAAACATGCAAGTAGCGACTTTTATAATATTATTATACCGCCCGGTGTACATATATAATTATACTTTTCAGCAGCAGTTTCAAACAAGAGAGAGAGAGAGAGACACACACACGTAACTGATATCTCGGAGAGCAGAAAAGACGCCGGAGAGCGGCTCAAATTGCTCGCTCACAATTAGAAGAGGAGAAGAAGAGAGGCTTTCTGTGTTAAGTAATAAAAATTGTGTGAGAGCAGGGAGAACCTTGTGAAAAAAATATATTTAATATTTGCGCTAGGTCCAATATAATTAGTTTTTCGCCTTTCCTCCAAGATGATTTACGGAGAAATGTAATAAAATTTATTGTAATTTACTAACGCTACTTTTATTTACAAAGATAAAAAGTGACATCAAAATCTCACTATGGCAAATTTCTTTCTAATTTAAATCTTGGTAAAACGTTAAAATGTGCTTTTAATTTATAGACTATGTTTATTAATTATTGTAATAAATCCAAAATAAGATATTTTACCGATTAAAGACGAAGAGCCTTTGCAATGAAAATTTGTCTTAAACACCGAACAGTCATTTTTAATTGAGAGATACTTTTCTAATATTCTTGGTATCCAAGTATGACTTCTGATTTTGAATTTCATTGTTTTATTTAAGTAATTTTCAAACATCAGATAAACAACACATGCTTGATTTCAAATGAAGCAAGTTTTTTTCGGTTGCTTTGAGATAATGAATAATTCAGCCTACGATCGCTTTACAAATGAAAGTTTGGAATTCTAGTTTATCGGGGAAATTGAACAATTGTGCAACAGGCGATTTTGCCAATTTTTTTGCGTGCGACTTTGTCAACCTGCACCGCCACGCTGCTTTCCCGACGGGAGACGAAAAAAGCAGGCGCCTTTCTCCAAAGCCGCGCGCTTGTTTGCGTGTCGCCGCCGCGAATTTCTCTGTTCATTTATTTATAAAAGCCGTAATTGATGGGCCATTGTTTGGCCGATTTGAATGCGCAGTGTCGAGAGTGACCCCGAAAAGAGGCCGCGTTACTTTTATTGGCTGCGTTTTTTGCGCGGTCTCTTCATTTTATTACGGGATACGTGCCGCAGAATTTTCTGCCCAGAGAGATCTTTAAACCGACACACGGCCGAGAGAAAAGTCAAATTACACACTTATATATACATAGGGGGATCGCATGAGTCACACTGCAATCACGCAATGCACCCGCCACAGGCCAAAAACAAAATTAAAAAATCTCCACACGCGCAGCGAATGATGCTGGCTCGGCCGACTTGAAATCATTTTATTGTTTTTCACCATTTTTATTGCTCGTTTCCGCAGTTGCAAAGACGCAAGAATATAAAAACAAAACGGTGTCCAGAAAGAAGAAGCGTAATTAAATCAAGAAAAGTCGAACAATTTGTAAGCATTTTTTTAATCATTTTAACTAATAATGATATATAATAAAATTTTCATAAGATTTATATATTTATACTGAGAAATTTCTACTGCTCTTGATCACAATGCATGGTAAGTTGCTTAGCATTTCAAATAGATATGCGGTTTGAACATACTATAAATAGTTTCTAAAATTGTAATAAGGCTAATTAAAAAATTGTTTTTTAATTTGTTTAAATAAAAATTAAAAATAAATAAATGAAATTAAAAAAGGACAAAATTATAAAATATAGTAAATTATGAAACAAGTAAAATAAAATTTTAAATATAAAGTTAAATAACATATTCATACAATAAAAAAATTAAAAGTTGATTAAGTTATGGATGATAAATAATAAATTTAAATCATTTGATTCAATTTACTTCCATTTTAATATAGGGGTCTTGGTGCAGAGGAAGATTTCTCTTTGATTTGAATTTGACAGTTTTCTTACCAGTTTATCTGATCAAACTTTTTCTTACAAAAACATTGTTTTTCCCTGCTTTAGTTGTTATTTTGTCAAGTGTTAAGTGTTTATTTTTTATTAAATTGGACACAATTATACTAATATACAACAATTATTATTATTCTTTTAAGGTATGTTCAAATTTTTCATTTCTTGCCCTTTTCTGCATGAAAATGGTGTTGCGAGTGTTAAAGTCTCTCTGAAGGATTGAGCACGAATGCCCTTTGCCCCCTTTTGTGACGTTCTCTCGCCCAAGAGAAATGCTAATTCGCGCATTTCTGCTCGGCCTCTGTGCATTTTGTTAATAATTTATATAAAGAGTCACGCAGCGGAGGCGACACTTTGGCCGCTTTGCATGCGGGCTCTGATTTTTGAGCCGATTTTTCGGGCGCACCCACCTTTTGGCCCGTGAGGCAGAGAGGAAAATAAAACAAACCCATCCATCCTTGTTCTCATCGCCGTTGATGGATGGCCGGGCCGGATTTTTAATTGAGCGGGTCAACTGAGGCGCACCAGCGAGTGTCTCTCTCTCCAAAATACAATCTGTGCCTTGAAATCTGGCTGCTATTTTTTATTTTCTGCCTCGCTGCTCCCTCGTTAAATCAGGCGGAATGAGAGAAGGAGAGGAGGAGAGAGAGAGATAGAAAAAAAAAATAAAAACACACACCTCTTTCTCTCTCTTGGGACACAAAATCTCCTCGTTCGCCGGCCCGGATAAAATTCAGGCTTAATTATTCACGTGTGTGTGTGTCGCCGATGCCGCCGTCCCCCTTTCCGCCGAGTTGTCCTCCATACCAATTAGCCCAACACTCTAATGAGCACCAAAATTCGCCACGACTTTAAAATATATACGAGAGTCTCCTTTTTCGTTGTTCACCGCAAAATGCTCGCTTTTTTTAATTAAACCAAACGCGCCCGCTTTCTCTCCACGGTGGTTTTTTTCCCGCAAAACTCGCAAATTAGAGGCACTTCATTTAGCGAAACGTGACTCGAATTCAAAATTTTTCTAGGAATATGGCGACAATGTCGAATATTTTCGCACTCTGGACGCTCGCGTTCTCGGAAGACACACGTTTACGTCAAACGTGAAAAATTAGCGATAATAAATTATCTCCTTTGTCGGAGACGGACGCGAAAGATTACATCTGAAAGTGCGGCAGGAAAGGAAGTTTTGCCGAAAATGAAGAGTTTTCCTCAAAAATCAGCCAGCGATTTTTGGCATTTAATTCTGGTTATTCATAGACGAAAATGGTCTTTAATTGCTTTATGGGAAAATAGAGACTAACAAGGTATGATTTTGAAAGAACAAAGTACACTGATTTCGACGAAATTTTGTCAGTGTTTCCTTCCTTGGGTTGCCCAGAACGGTTTGCAATTTATTTTTTGGTTTTATTCTTTATATAAAATAGGCAAAATCTCTATGAAAAGACAAGTTAGTTGCCTGATTACTTCACGGAATTAAAGATCTAATTAAATTTTTATAGAGAAACAGCACAAATGATTTTGAGATGTCTCCATCAAAATTAGAAATAATAAGTTTTTCTCTCTCTCTCTCTAATATTTAATTATTCCTTCAAATATGTATTATATTTAAAAAAAATAAATAAAAAGTCGCATTGTAGAATCGTTCATTTGTAATTAGCTCTAATTTTAAACAAAATAAAACATTGATATTGGTACTCACAATTTTGGAATCTGCACTTTGTCCGCGTCGTTTTGCCTGCCAAAGTCGTGCCACGGCCTGGAGCGGCCCCCGGGGGTGCCGATGGAGGTGTTGGAGGCGTTGGGGGAGGCCAGGCTGCCGGAACTGTTGGACCGCTGTTGGTTCAGCGTCTCGGGGAGCAGCGGATTCTGGCACATGTCGGTGTAGTCGAAACTCTGCGGCACAAAAAGCAAAAGGGGTGACGATCAGCGTCGAAGACAAACACATAAATATTACTGCACGGTGAAAAAAAATCACAAGGGGACGTGCAATTGAAGGAGTTCATAAATTTTAAAGGCAGTTGGCACCTTTGAACGGTGTTTGTTTTACGGATTAGCGTTTACGTGCAGAGAAAAAGAGACGCTTTTCTGTTTGTCGCGCTGTGCAGACGGCAGCTGATTCAAATAATTTATACAGGTGGGAAAAAAAATAAGCAGTGTCGCGCCAAGACTGCTCTTTTGTGTGTAGATATGTGAATTATGAATGCAAAAAGACTCAAAGGTATTAAGGACTGGTGTCAATTTACTTTGAGGTGTGATATTTTCAAATATTATTCATGCAAAAGTAATTTTTTATGGTTTGCAGAAAAAGCTGCGTAATGTCAATTTAATTTTTTTTTCAAAATTCATAATTTTGTAAGAAAAAATTAATTTAATTTCAAGTTAAAATTTGTTGGTTATAAGCAGGAATTTAAAATTTAAAACATATAAGTTTCAAAGTGTAAAAATGATTCTTATTGTTATGAAAGTTCTGAAGATATTCAGATGTTTAAAATGCATAAAAATGGTGAGAAACATTGTTTGTTACAAAAAAGTTATAAAATGTTTCCTATTGAATATAATATAAAGAAGTAACAGTAAACATGATACGCCTTACATCAATGTCTAGATTTTGAGGTCAAACTCTATATCCCACAGTCATTAGTTTAAATTCAAAAGTTTTCATTAGAAGTATGTGCAAATATGTTGTATTTGAAAATATAATTTTATTTAATAAATTTTGGTTTCTTTATTCAGCATTTATCAATTTTTTTAACACATTATTTTGTGAATTGAAGAATAATGAAAGCTAGAAATTACTATGGAAAAAGGGAAGCAAAGACGGTCTTGAATTTTAAATTAAATGATTCCAAAAAAATTCATGTAAACAATGAAATTGATTGAACAAATTAGTGATTTTTTTTTATGTTTTTACCTGTTGAATGGCCGTCTGGTCCCTGGGGGTGATGGCGTCGGTGCCGATGCCGCTGTCTGGCGAGGGCAGGTCAACGGTCAGCGCCACGTTGCCCGTCTTGTAAACCGCGCTCTGACGAACGTAGCGTTCGACGAAGGCGCTGGAAATGGCGCTGGCCGTGCTGGTCGTGACGCCCGTGGCCGAGTCGGCGCCGTCGGCCGCCGCGTACTGGCGCTGATAGTCGGCGCCGAAGTAGTCGCGGTAGTAGGGCTCTGTGTAGGAGGCGCTGGACGTGCGGCCGGGCGAGGCGGCCGCGTAGTTGGCCGCCGACTGCTGCGACTGTTGCGCGTACTCGAAGGTGGCGCCGCCGCCGCCAGGCGAAACGCCGAACATTTGCGTCGCGTACGGCGGAATCGGCGCCTTGAGCAGAAGGGCTTCGTCCACGGGACTGCCCCGACCTCCAAACTCGTCCTGCTCCAGGAGCAAAAAATCAAATTCAATGTTAAAATATGCCCTCTGTTTTATATTTTGCCGATAATTTAATGAATAAAAGGTCTATAATACAAAAATTTAAATAGAAAAACTTATCAGAATTAATATATATATGCGTCAAAAAAAGTATCTTATGAGGCGTTCAAAATACCAAAAAGATTGACTTGCTTATTGAGAAATTCATTTTCAGTTAACGGTTTTGTTTTTTCCAAATTTTAGATTTATCACAGCAAATCATTAGTTTTTTTTTTAATAATACCGAAATGATCAACGAAGAATCAATCATTTAAATTTTTATTTAATTATGAAAAATTTAATGTATTTTATTCAAATAAAAAATAACTTTGAATGTATGCATCACTAATTTTTTTAAACATTAATTATGCTCTCGATCTGCAATTGATAAAAAAAAGTCGCTAGAATTTTTGTTGTGTTATAATTTATGTAATTTATAATGTCAAGATAGAAAAAACAGGCGCCACCCTAGTCATAAATAACAAATTTTCATTATAAGAGGGGAAAAGAAATAAAATCTATTACCGATAAGAACATAATAAAGAGCTTCACTGGACTCGCTTGAGTAACATTTAAATTTCAGATTATAAAATTTACATGGTGATATAGACAAAATATATATTTCATAGAAATTTCAAATTGAACAAGAAAACTTGTCAATGAATTTCCAATAGTAGCATTAAACAGAAATAATTCATTAGAAAAAATGGAAAAATTATTTAAAATTTATAATAAAAATATGTTTAAATTTATTTAAAAAAAGACATTACATTAAAAATCATACATAAAGTAAAAATAATTTAAATTAGATTATGTTGAATAAACTTTAAACTATGCTAAATTTGCAAAAAAAAAAAATTTGCATCATCAATGATTCAGATGACGTATCAGTTTGTGAGTTTTATTTCATGCATTTTTTCATTTTTTTATTCAATTTAAAAGCTATCATACGTTATAAGGGAAAATAAATTATATTTTCAATAAGCTTGTTAGAATAATATTAAGAGCCTTACCTTGACTGCTTTCCTTCCGAGTACGAGAACGCTGTCGGTGCCGTGTCTGCTCGAAGCCACTTTGGCGGCGTCGACGACCCGGTCAAGCAACATTTGCTTTCGGGGCACCGGCTGGCTCAGGTCCTCGGGTTCGCGCTTCACGCTTAGCCCGGGAGTGACGAACAAAAGTTCCGTACCGGCCGGCGACGCTCGGCGCGGCGAATCGGCGCCGTCCCTTGCAGGACTCGGCGCCGCCGAGGGCGCCGCCGGCGACGACGACGAGTAGTCGTGGGCAGGGCCGGCGAGGAGGCCCGCTCCGCCCACCGAGAGGCCATTGGTCAGCTTGTGATGGTGCGGAGGAAGCATTCCCGAGTTGGACGTTCTGCAACAAGAGGAAAACACACGGCGATTTTAATTAACTTCGAAAAACGCGGGTCCAGGTGTGGAAATAAACATTGGTGACGAAAGTGTCAAATTGAGAAATTCTAGAAGTGGATTGCATTTGAATGCGGGTTTCAAAATGAGAAACTGTGATTCTTTCATTAGCTCTGGTAGTTTTGATTTGACAACTTAATTAGGATATGAAATAAAGTTTTTTCATTAATTTAACTAACTTTGCGCAAAAAATTATATTAGAATATCTAACATTCATGATAATGGTAATCAGTTTTTCTAGATTGTTCTCATTCATATATGTGTATGATATGGAAATATCCATAAAATGACAGTTAAACAGCAATAAATTGTCATCAAATCAATATTTTAGACAATAAAAATATTTATGACCCCTAAAAACACAATTAATTTCATCATTTTACTTTTGTCGTGACAGCAACAATTCAAAAGTCTAAATACGGTCTTTTGATATTGCAAAATGCAGCGATTATAATAAACCAATCGTGTATAATCCTGCAGCGAAGCGAATTATAAAATTATTAACAAGACAAGCTGTAAATTTTACGACGTGCTGCTGCATCCTGCGTAAAATTCCAACCTAATCAAGAGGCTTTTGTGTTGTGCGTCGGGATTGCATTCAACACGATATGAAATTACGTGGGAATATAAAACAAATTTTGACATCTCTCGAGGTGATGGTCAGCTGCTTTATGGCATCTTTTGATCATTATTTATCCCATTAAAGCGAAATAATGAACGAGTGGCTTTGATGAAAAACGCCGGCAGCCCGAAAGGGTTGTTTTTAATGCACGGCCTTTTCTCACATAGAGAGATGATTACGATTATTTCTCATTCTATCAGAGCAGATGATTCTCTATTCGCCCCGCTATGTTTTAAAACACATTTCATGCGCAAACTTTCTTTCTCTCTGTGTCTTTCTTTCTTTCTTTCTTCGGACGGAAACTTTTCGTTACGGCGCGCTTTTTTCAAAGAGTGTCTTCCTAGACAAAAAGCAGGACCGGTTCGACGACTATTTTTATTTGCACTATTATCACTTGTGGCGGTTGCTCGCCGTGAGAACGCGGCGATGTGCGCGCACATGGCGCGCGATGAGATGCATTTTTGCTTCTTCACCGACGCGGCTCGAGTGACGCTAGATTTCAGCCGCGTATCAGGTTTTGTGTGTGTGTGTGTAGATTAATCTCGTTCTGCGGCCGATAATTCTTCATTAAGGCGTGCAACAGATATGCAAAGAGAAGACCTGCGCGAGATGAGCCACTCAATTTAAAAATATGCGACCGTAGAAAAGTTTGAGAGGCTTCGGATTTTTGACGGATATACATTTTCAACTGATTCCTTCAAAGTGCGCCTAAATCAGAGTTTGAATAAATTTAATAGAACGTAAAATTGAAAAGATCTTTAGATTTAGGGAATATAATAATAAAGAAAATTAAATAGTGAAACTGACAATGAGAGCGAGAAAAACCAGTACTCTTTTGGAAATGCTAAAATTTCTACATTGGAAAATAATTTTTGAAAATTTAAATTTAAATTGAGTTAGTAAATATTTGGAAATTTATGCTGGAAATTTTCATTTGGTTTTAGAGCTTTAATTTTTCACGCTCATTTTAGGATTATTATTTAAATTATCCTTTTGCTAATAATTCATTTTTTTGTGAATTATATTAATTGGTGTTTTGTTTTCTATGCATTCGTTTTTGACTAATGTTCTTTGATAAATAACAAATCAGAGAGAAAGAAAAAAATTGATCAATAAATATTATGATTTTTTTTCTCTTTGAGGATTAAAATATCGGTTTCATTAAATCTTTTCATCTTTTTCGGTCCTCCTCGATTTTCTTTTTCATTTCTGTGTATGTATTACATAAATCCTGAAGTGACAATAGCACTCTCACTATATTCACCGAGCTCACTACTTGAAATATGACAACAATATAATGTCGAGGAAGCAGGAGATCATCTTGAAAATATACACACGCATATTATAATAATTTCATATCCCTTTCTCGAGTTGTCACTCCGAAGCTCAAAAATCGGTTAAGTCCCGACGACGGAAGCTTGATGGAGAGAGTAAATAAAACTTATAACAAAATGCATCGGCGGCTCGGCGTGGTGGAAAATCTCATTAAGTCGCGCCCCGACCCATCTCGTGTCAACACTTGAATGCGCGGCCCCTCTCGCGACGGCGCGGAATTTACCTGCCGCCGAGCAAAAAGTGTAAAGACAAAAGTAAGTACATTTATTTATGCGTCGTCCTGCTCCGCGAAGATTTTTTTTGGAGGGAAGAATAAGTAGAAGGAGAAGGGGTGCTTTTTGTATGCACGGAGAGAGAGAAAGAGACGTTCTTTTCATTTTATTTGCATGCGCCGAGCTGTTGGCTTGAGACGCGCAATTGAACCCGAACGTGAATAGATGAGAAGCTGCGGGGAGGTGTTGCACGGTTGGAGGCAAATTTCATTCAAACTTGCTTCGTTTACCTTGCAATTATTTACAACAAAATTTCAAGCAAAATTCAAAGGCCTCTATTATTGTATTAAAAAAATTTAAATCCATAATTTTTGTTAAATTTGAAAAAATAAAATACATTAAACTGATTTTTCCTATTTAAATAAAATTAATGTTTCCTTCAGAGGGAAAATTGCAAGCAGATAATTATTACTTAGAAAATTTTAATAAAAAAAATATGCTTCAGGATGAAAAGGAAATTTGGAGAGAAAATTCAGTAATGATTTGTATTTTAAAATTTCCTTTTTAATTTTTAGATTTCAAAATAAATTAAAATTACTTAATTTGAACAATTTCAGTCCTTCGGAATGAAGAGGAAATTCCGGAGGTGTTGAGAGCGCTTGTGAAAAAAGCGACGCAAAAGCATCAAGTGTCACACTACGGCGGCGGTGCGGCTGAAAATCAACAGGCGCTAATATATCTGATTACCAGAGCGCGCACGGTGGCGCGAAAAGGGGTGCGCGCCCCTCCAGGCCCCCGACGGACACCCCCGGGCCCCAAGCCTGTCGCATTTGCATGAGAAAGCGCGTGCTCTTTTTTGCCGGCCGAGTCGGTTTGAATAGCAAATAAGCGTCCTCCGAATTGAACACGCATTGTTGAGCCTATTGTTGGCCCGCGCAGGGCGATGAAACCCGAGCACATTGTTGTGCACTGGCCGGATGATTTTGGGCGGGCGTGCACTTTGCAGCCTTGTGTTCTCAAAAAATAAAAACTGGTAAATTGGTAAAAGAAACCAACACGTGGAATAATACAAATTTGTTTCAAGATTTTTTTTTAATGTTTTTTAGACGCAAATTACTTATTTTAGGCCTTCCAAAATATAAAATTTTCTTTATTGAAAGTCAAAATTTAGATTTTATCTCCATTCTTTAAATTGTAGTTTTTCTCCCACAGTAAATCTACAAAAAATTTCAAATAAAACAAGATAAAATAAATGAATTTATGAATTTCTGCAAGGGAAAATTAACAGGGGTGGAAACTTCTGCATCCAGTTGGGCTTCCGTGTTGGGCGCGTTGCATAACTCAATAATATTAATAAAAAAAAAAATGGGTAATGTTATAGTACGCGCGACGTGTTTTTTCATAAGTTGGCAGCACTTATGCTCCCATGTAAAACTATCACGTCGCGCGTTCGATAGTGGTTTTACGTCGCGCATACAATAATGGTTTTACGTCGCACGTTCAATACTGGTGGCGGTATAATAGTTAAGAAAACCGATTATTCCATCGATACCTCGGCAACATGTATAGCACTCGCGACGCAAATATTTTCCTACAATCTCAATTTAGGGGACTGCTAGGAAGAATAGGGGCCCTTGGGATGGGTTCAGAATGGGGCAAGACGACCTCTGGAGGGCCGTGCGCACCCTTATAGCAGGCGCGACGCATGCTTATAGGAGGCGCGACGCACGACTAATTAATTATTATAAAAGGTGTTGCACGCAGCCGGAGTTGTGGGCACCCCACGAACCGGCAACTCGGAGGTGGGCAACCCCCAAGATTAATTTTTGCAGAAGCCGCGAGCGAGGGGTGGAGGCGCAGCGAGGTCGAGGACGTGGGGAAGGCCGTGCGGAGGGCGAGGACAAAAGGGCGGCTGTGTTCATGAGGGGGCTCCGCAGGAGCCCCCTCACGATCCCCGCCCTTTTGTCCCGCCCGGAGCCGGCCTTTACCACGTTCTCGGGCGAGCGCGCCTCAAGCCCGAAGCTCGCAAACCCACAACGGAGTTGCCCACATAAGGAGTTGTCTGCAAAGGGAGTTGTGGGCACCACATTTTTTGCATTCTAAGCCCTTTTTGCAGACAATTCCTTTTGTAAGCAACTCCGTTGTGGGTTTGCGAGCTTCGGGCTGGAGGCGCGCTCGCCCGAGAACGTGGTGAAGGCCGGCTCCGGGCGGGACAAAAGGGCGGGGTTCGTGAGGGGGCTCCGCAGGAGCCCCCTCATGAACACAGCCGCCCTTTTGTCCTCGCCCTCCGCACGGCCTTCCCCACGTCCTCGACCTCGCTGCGCCTCCACCCCTCGCTCGCGGCTTCTGCAAAAATTAATCTTGGGGGTTGCCCACCTCCGAGTTGCCGGTTCGTGGGGTGCCCACAACTCCGGCCGCGTTTAATTAATTTGCCGTGCGTCGCGCGTACTATAACCGTGCGTCGCGCGTTCTATAAGCATGCGTCGCGCGTACTATAAGCATGCGTCGCGCGTACTATAACCGTGCGTCGCGCGTACTATAAGCATACGTCGCGCGTCCTATAACCATGCGTCGCGCCTCTGACGATGGTGAAAAGCGCCCTCCGGAGTTCGCTTTTCGACCGTCGCGCGTCCCATAGTGATGCGTCGCGCCTGCTATAAGGGTGCGCACGGCCCTCCAGAGGTCGTCTTGCCCCATTCTGAACCCATCCCAAGGGCCCTTATTCTTCCTAGCAGTCCCCTAAATTGAGATTGTAGGAAAATATTTGCGTCGCGCGTGCTATACATGTTGCCGAGGTATCGATGGAATAATCGGTTTCCTTAACAATTTCACCGCCACCAGTATTGAGCGCGCGACGTAAAACCATTATTGTATGCGCGACGTAAAACCACTATCGAACGCGCGACGTAATGCAAGTGATGCCAACTGAAATCAGGGATTTTGGGAAACACGTCGCGCGTACTATAACATTACCAAAAAATGCTTTTTTCAGCACTTAATTTTAATGAAAAAGAAGAAATCTTTGAAAAATTGTCATCATTTTAAAGTGAAATGAAAAAAGAATCAAAATACTTTTGAAATAATGTTTATAAAGTAATTTAATTAATTTTGCTGCCAATGACAAATCCTCAAACTTTTATTCCATTAGAAAAGTTAATTGAAAACACAAATCAATTCTGTAATGGATTTCTTGCCAACTTCATTTGCAAATATTCCGATTTCAGAATTAGGAACGCACGTGTGTGAGCGGAGAAGGCAGGTTTAGGCGCAAACAAAGTTAACACTCGGCCAAATGAAAACCAGTTGAAAAGAAACGAAAACAACAAACGGAGCGAGCAGCGTTGGGTGCGATATTGGGTGGGGATAATTGAGGAGTTGCGGCCGGTGGCGTGCCGCCGCTGATTACCAGGCGATATTTGAATGAATGAATGAAAAGTTGACTGTTCAGGTTCTCATTGAGCACGATTTTTACTCCACGAGAGAGCGAGCGGCGGCGAAGATGCTCTGCAGCGAGCGGCACTCTCGTATTTCCGGTCTGGCCACTTTTGAATATATATTTCTCGTGGGCGGCCGCCAGCACTGAAAACTCAAACAGGTGCTGCCGAGAGCGCGTTTACAAGCGGCACCGCCATTGTTTACAAACAACCGGAGAGCGAGAGATGATAATAGTAATATTGCTGACTGAGCGAAAGAGAGAGAAACAAACTCGACGGCCGTCAAATATAAGAAAAGATTTTGCACACCACACTCACGACTAGCAGTCGAGACGTGATGATTAATTTGCCATTTTGTGCCTCTGAATTTTGTTCTTCAGATCGTTGCTGAAATTTGAGGAACTTTATGATTGTTTTATTTTCAAACAGTTTTGGCAAATTTTGTTTAATATAACCAACATTTATTTTATTTTAAATTTTTTTTTAAATAAAATTATTATCTTTGTGGATAATTTATAGTTTTCAAATAAATGGTACGTTTTATTGCGTAAAGAGTAATTATTCTTATCTAGAAAAATGGAACATTTTTAGTATAAAAAGTGTCAGGCCAAGTTCATCATGATTACAGCATAAATGTATTTTTATGCAGCAAGTTTTTATGAATTCATTGGAAATAAACAAATTTAATTGAACTAAAAATATTGAGGGCGATCCAAAAGGCTAACTTGGCCCATGCTAAATTAACCTGGTCCGGGTTAATATAACCCGCCATTAAATTTTGCTGATGGGCTAAGTTAGCCTGAGCCAGGTTAGGCTTTTGGATCGCCCTCATTGTTTTCTTAAATTTTTTATTAAAATGTGTTCTAAATTTGTTGTTTACTTTCAAACAGCCAAAAACTATTTTAGAGTAAAAAATAAAGTTGCCCCAAAAATTCAAAAGCACCATTATTTTTTGATGTCACTTCTCTTTCAAATTGTTTTTTTATTATCGAATAAAAATTGAAATGTTTTTCATTTTAACCAGTCTACGGTCTATGAATTGCACGTAATAGGTTTTAAATCGTGTGTTGTATCAGGTTTCTGTTTTGTATCTTAACAGAGGGACAGACAATGCGTGAGACAATTCAATTTCATGCCGACACTCAATCAGATTTCGCCGCTCTCGCCAATAGACTCTCTTGTGTTCTCTCCACGCGGAGTTTTATTTGAGCAATAAAAACTCATTAGGAAATATGCTGATTCACGTTAATAAAATAATTATCTCGGCGGCCGAGACATGATCAAGAAGAAATAAAGGCACGACGAGAGGCGAGTACTCTTCGCTGTATCACACAATGTATATTAAATTTTCTCATGAAATCGATGCCTTTTTCTCACAATTAATGTTTTTTACAACTGATCGGGTTGCGAGTTGTTTTATTATTGGAATATTACATTTCCGAACTGTTTCAGATTGCACGAGAATAATTTCAGCTATAAATAACAGGTTTAAAAATAAGATTTATCCGTCTTCATAATTCAGTTAGAAAGTTTTAAGTAAAATGATGAAATTTTGGAAGACAACGAAAGATAAAAACACTAGTTTTCGTGTTTAAAAGTGTCAAATTATATGATTAAATTTGATCAATTTAATTGCATCTTTTCATTCAACACTTTTAAAAATGAAATTTTCGAAAAATAAAATTTTCAAGTCATTTAATAACACTTTAAAATAAAGAATTTCAATATTTTTTTTTAAATTTATACTTTCAGCTATTGAACGGTGCGGTATACTATATTAAATTCAGATCATAAAACAGCCGAGGGGGCCCATCTGAAATTTAAGCAGTCCAGATTGCCAAAGAGCCGCTCTTATTTTTTATTTTTCGGCGCCCGACAATAATTATTCCCAGTTTAATGTATTCGCCCAAAATGCTCCCCAAGGGCCTGAAATTTTGTAATTCGGTTCCCATGATGAAGACGTCTGCTCGAAATGTGCAGCAATATTTCATAAACGGAGGCCAATTGCGGGCAATAATCGAGCCGAGGGCGGTTATTTTATTTTTTATTTTTATTGCAACACACGGACGCTCGCGGTTCGGGCGCACCACGGGGCTATTTATTACTGCGCTGCTTTTCTGACCGCAACTCCTCAATTTAGATAATTACTAGCGCAGGCTACCGTACGTGATTTATTCAAAATCACTCTCCGATCGCAGAGCCCGCCCAGCTGTGTGTAAAAAATCTACCGACTGCGAGTGCGTCAAGTCGACATCAAAAAACACGAGACGATCATTCCAATTCAATAACTAACGAGATCAAGGAGGAATTCCTGTTTGTCTTGAATAATTTGATTAAAAGAGAAAATCACATTTTTTGTTTTGTTGAACAAGCAATCGAAAATAAAATCAAAAGTGTAAAATTTCCTGGTGGCGAGTATTTCATCTTTAAATAGAAGAATAAAAAAAAACTGAAAAATAATCTTCAACTGGAAAAAATGCTCTAGTTTTTTACTCTCCAGAAAAAAAGCATTTTTGTTTTAGTTAATTTAAAACTTTATATTATTTTCTGCACTTGTTCTGAAGCTGAACATGGAACATTTTGCCACCAATCTGATTATGCAATCCTTCAATAATTTTATGAAGAAAAAAAAAATGAATTTTAAAAATTCAGCACTACCAATTCTTGAGCATTTCAAACAATCTCTCTTTACTATCTTGATGCAAAAAAAAAAAGAGAAAAAAACACACTCCGCTTGCACCAAATAAATCCTGCCGTCTTTTCATGCATATAGAAAATGTAATTCGATCCAATCGCGGCCCATTTATTAAGTTAAAAGTCGCACGTAATGTCCTCTGCAAGAAATTATTTCACAATTTAACGACGGCTTTCGAGCGGGCCTTTGCTACCTGATCCGTCCGCGCGTGACTTTCTTTCTCGAGAGAGTGACCAAATTAAGGTGTCCCCTCGGTCAATTTCACCCACCAGCCTTTTGCTCGCCAAGATTATTTGCATCGAACGAGAGTGCGCGTCGAAAGGGCCGATATATCCATTAATTAAAGAGCCGATCTGATAATTTACGTTCACGGGTGGCAATTTCACCTCAAAACTTTTCGAACCGCGTGACGAAAGAAAGTACCAAAAGTGTTCCACTTGAATTAAAATTGCAAATTGAAAAGACCGGACGCGATTTCTAATGCAAGAAAAAGTTGAATTTTTTCGCTGAAAAAGCCGATCGAGTTTGGCGGGAATTTAAATATTCAAAATTTCACTATAGTTAAAAGTTAAAAATAGAAAAAAGTACTCACTGCCACAAGTCGCTGAGGGTGGAGGCGGCCGCCAGAGTGGCCGCATTGGCCTGTGGGCCGATTTTCAGACTCTCCTTGTCCTGTGGTTTGTAGTAATCGTAGATGAAGCCCATGGAGGCTGTTTGTTGTTCTTCGTGGCCACCACCGCTTATGTTCAGCATAGCTATCGGAAAATTGATTGATTTTCAGATTAAAAAAGGGAAAAAATAAAAATTATAATAATTTCTTATGAACTGAAGGGAAAAATAAAAGAAATAAAACAAAATTAAATTAATAGATTATTAAGAAAGGGATTAATGAGAAAATTATGTTTAATTTAGTTGATCCGAAAACCTGGCCAGGGTTAATTTAAATGATTTAAATGGCAGATTAACTTTTGGCTCATCCTCAATTATCTCTCATCTCTTTTAATCTGCATTTTTAATTTCTTTAAACTTTTATATAAACTGATTTGCATTAGGGATTTTTCTAATTATTTATATATTTTTCTCACCTGAGGTTGCTGCGGTCAAAGGATGTTCGTAGTAGGCTCGCCAGTTGTCGGGGTCGCCGTCTGAGCGGGGCGGCGCGGCCCCCTCGGTCGCCCCCAGCTCAGCCATGTGTGTGGCTGTGAGGAACACAGGGCCCGCCTGCTCGCCGCCCTCAACCAGACCTAATTCCTTGCGCCGTCTGCAAACAAAAGCAAATCAAAAAGTTAATTTTAATGCTCATTACTGTTGATTAAATAATATGATACAATGTTGAAAGTTCCATTATAAGCTGAGATTGGATAAAAACTACAGTCCTTTTCAGGACCATCAGCAACTCTTAGTTTTATATTCATTAATCTTATAATAGGTATTTAAATCAGTTTTTTTTTAATTCAAATAAACCAGTAGGATTGCAAATTTAATTAATATAATTAAAAATTTCAGGATTTGTAATTTAAACAAATTTTTGTAACCTTCAAATATTGAATTTTGAAGTTTCAAATCTCTTTTAACTTCCTCTGTAATTTTTTCTGTAACGTATTAACTTGAGTCGGTTATTAAAAATAACCCTTTTATTCCTACAAACTTTAACTCTCTGCATGGACTATGTATTTCCTAATCGAAAAAAATTGCGCAGCGCCAAAACGATTTCAACACTCGGAGTGTGAATAAATTACATTTTCACCAAATGACTCATCCGCCGCAGCTTAAGTTTATCTCATGCTCAGGGCTCTAATAAATCTAATTTTTTTTTTCTCTCGAGAGAGCGACGGACAATGATAAATTTAAATGCAAAGCAAACAATCGGCTCGGCACCGCCTGCAGAAATTGGATCGGCGAGAAATTGAAATGCGACGTGCAGAGCCAGGGAGCCAATTTAGATTGCGCGATAGCGCGAGTGTCGCGTGTGTTCGCGCGGCGTCGGTGCGTTTGACCTGCGCTGACCCTGCCCCAGCTAACTGTTCGCTCTCGGCGCGGCTAGTGAGCACCGAGAGCTAGCGGACCGCTCTGGCCGGCAGCAGAGCGGGTCACCGGGTAGGTGGTCCCCTCAAAGTCTCTAGCGAATTTTTTTCGTAGGTGTATAATTAAAAATTCACGCGCCAAAGATGAGCCCGAAAGCGAAAGTATATAAATATATAGGACTGTCTTGTTTAGTAAGAAATTATTCATAAGGTGGGTCCCGTTTTTTTACAATACATGACGATTTATGACTTATTTATTTTGTCCTACTTCTTATGGCCGAAGGTTTTTAAATGGCAAAAGTGTTATCTCGAGAGAGAATCTATGTTTTACAATGTCTAGTGGCCCAGAGGGTCAAATAAACAATTAATTTTATGGGGAAGGCTTTGGGCGTGGAATACGATGAAAAATAAATATGTAAACTTTTACAAATTATAAGTTGCTAATTAAAAATGTTTTAGTTTCTTTTTCATAATTGAAGTGTATTTCAGTTTAAGTAACACTTTTCAAAGTTATATAAACAGGAATTCCAAAGATGAATTACAGAATTATCAATCTGAGATCAAATTTATATGTCATATAATTCCAACTTTTGATTGTAAATAACGATTTTCTAAAAATATAATTGAATTCTTCTCAATAAAATTCCCTCGCTGTGACCATGAAAATGAAAAAGAAAGAAAATTTAAACCAATTTATATCTGTCTCAATTTCATATGCTTATAGTACAATGTCACTTTAAAACTTCCACACTTTTATCACATTAACCATTATTTTCAATTTTATTATGGATTTTATTTTGCCATATTTGTTAATTATTACTCGATTTTTCTTAAACATTAAAATGGATAAATCCAGCTCACAATATGATAAATCAAGCAATGTTTTAATTAGCTAGGTATATTATTGATTTAATCAATTTTTATCATGATATTTTAAGATAAAACTATGATAATTTTACAATTATTGAAATAAATTATATTGATTAAATTAATTTTTTTTAAATTTTTGTTCAATGTGATCGCAAATGCTTCAAGACTTCTATTTTATAGCCTTTGATATGTTAATTTTGCATATAATTGTTCGAAAAAAATATATTTAATTAACTTCAGGTGAAGATTAATACATCAAAATTTTTTACAATTAATCGTATTGAGTTGTATTTTTTTTTCATTTCATTCATTGCAATTGTTACAAAAATACCTAATAAACTTCTGATACTTCAGAAGGCACAAAGTAGGCTTGAAATTATCTCAAACCATTCATTTCATATTTTGAGTTCAAGTCTGATTTATGCTGTTTGCTACACGAACACCGTTCATTGGTAAGCAGAGTGGGCTTGCAAATGATCTGTGTTGAGGCCGTTCTAGCAATAATCGCGACCACGTGTAGGAAGTAAAGCGAGCATAAATTTCCACAAACGTTTTCATCCCGCAATTACGATACTTTTTCGCATTTGATTCACTGCCCCACAGTGGGCACAACATTTGGAAAAAAGTGCATAAATCAAGTGCGAAACAGGAGAAAAAGCCCCTGGGCGTGTATGCAGCCGGCAGGACCGAGCGCGTCTCTTTCTTTCTTTCTTTCTTCGGCTCGGCTTTAATTCCCATCACGTCCTATTCGCTGTAATACGCGCTTAAATAAGGAGCCGTTCATTAAATTTAACGACGGCTATTTCGATGAGCGCGTCGGCCATTTTGGATAAGACTCTCTGTGCCTTGGAAATTAAACAAATTGCTATTATCGCGGGCAGCTGCGCGATCCAATTTTAATTATACACAAGAAAAAAACGTACTTCTTGTTTAAGTTTGGAAAGATTAGATTTTATAGAGGGTTTGAATGGCACGGCTGATTGCGAATAATAATTCGCAGGTGGAAATAAATAAATTTTCCTGCATTAAAACTTGCATATTTATATAAATAAATCGTGCGGCTAATTTATGTGCATCCTGTAACACTTCTTCTTGATTCTTCTGATATTTATTTTGTCTGCGGGGGTCTGATTTGGAAAGAGCGGCAGCCAGCACCTCTGCACATAAACAACTACTCTCTCCGTAGTTATATAAATTTCCACGCAAACCTTTTCTTTCTTTCTCTCTCTCACTCTAGCTGGCGATGAGATCTTTTCTTATCTCTCAGATTGAGTCAATCTTTGTAAAAGTTTATAATTGGAAAAAGTCAGAAATAAATCAAAGTTAATAATTGTATTGCGTTCAATTTTGACCTGCCATCAGGAAAAGAAAGAAAGGTGCGAAAGAGGATGGTGAAATCGGATCATCCTGGGTGGATATGGATACTTCGCGCGAGAGAGATATACACAGATGGGCCACACCTTGGCCTCCAGCCAGTCCGTGCAGCGCCACAGATCGAAAACATTTTATTCTCTCGCGCAGGTGACACACAATATTGTACAATTCTTACAGGTATTTATTTTTCCTCATTATTTCTTAATGGTATCGTTTCTACCCATGGCAACAGGAAGGATTGGCGAAAAATATAAATTGTTTGCTATTTACGAAATGAACTTTGATCTTTGAAAGGTAAGGAAATTAACTTTAAAATCAGAATGCAAGAATTGAAAATACATACTTTGATTATTTATCTGATCTTCTATAAATTATACATTAAAAATATATGAAAAGGGATATTTAGTCCGAATTTATAATTTGATATTTAAATAAAAAAATTTTATGCTACACCGCGGTGCGGAAAAATATTGTGATTTTATTTAATTAACTCCCAAAAATTCATTCAAACAGTCACCGGTGGATCATCGCGAGTGTTATGCAGTCTAATACAAATTACTTGTAATATTTAATATAAAAGGCTTTTTGTTCATTTTCACAAATAGGGAAGTTTTTCTAGTTTTTACTTTTAGACTTTTCCGTGGATCTTTCTTGTATTATATTAAAGTTTTACTGTAGTTTATACATTATTTTGTAAGCAGATCGTACTAATGTCATTAGAAATTATTGTTTAAAATCACAAATTTCCCTTTCTACTTTCAAAATAAGTCCCTTCTTAAGTTTCATTACAAAAATGAAATTAATATTCATCCTGGATTATGTATTATAAAAGAATTTTAAAAATGCATGTTTTGTTGAAATCCTTTTTTATAGCCTGAAACTTTATTACTTAATAATTAAATTCAATAATTTTTGAGCCTCATGAGTTGCTCATTTAAATTTTCTTTGTGAATTCTAAAAATCCTGAATTATTTAAGTTCTTTGTTTTCAATTTAAATTTAGGCTTGAGTTTTGAATTTATGCACAAAATTTACACAAAACGATTTATGAGAAATTTATATCCACATTCCAAAGTAGCTGTTCGTGGCCTCATCCTATGTAAAACACTTAGAACGCCCCTTTCAGCAAGTAATTATCTTAAGATCGGCCGAAATCAGCAATAAAATATGCAAAATAACTTTACTTGAGCGACCTTAATTTAGCACTTCATTTCGTGATTTCCCACAAAAGATGAGTGTATATTAAAATTTCCAAATATATAAAAATTGCGGCAAGGTTCCCAGCGGAGCTACAGCGTCAGCGTGACTTGATCGCAAATGCTGTGTGCAATTGATAAAAGAGTTGGGCACCTAGAGCCGGGCCGAAACCAGAAATACCACACGCATATGCAGCATCATTAACTGCATGCGAAACCCCTAAATAAATTCCGAATTCGCGCGTCCGCAGAGAAAGATTCGCGCTCTCGATCCCAACACAATAAAACGATTATCAAATATATTCATCGTCGATTTAAATTTCAAAAGTCTTTCCCACCGAAATCTCGGCCCGCGATATTGTAAAAAAAAAAATAAATTGTATAACAGTACATTATTTAATATTCCGATCTCATTTCTTTTTCCATTTCATTAATATTTATCCCTGTCAGCGCACAAAAGCAGGAGAAGATTCGCATGTCTGCGGCTTAAAAATTCAGCGCCTCGGGCCGCAGCTCCGAATTGGTTTGTAGACAACCCTTTGGGCCCTGCTGTACGGCTCCATTATATGAGAAACGTGGTGTATAATAATAGTAATGCGTGCTGCTGCCCGAAGAACGAACATCGCTCGCAGAGAACCAAAGCGTGTTTTTGAATCGGCTCCCCTTCTTGGTGCACAAAAGCTCATTCTCGGCCGGCCGAGATGCAAATAATAATAAAAAGAAAATAAAAACGAGAGAGAATAAACAGATCACGTGTGCACAGTGGATGTTCTGAATTCAGAAGCGTGTTTTTGATAA